GGGGGGGGGGAGGCTGGGGAGGGGTTGGCCAGGCAAAGTGAGGCGCCTGGTTGCGCTCTTGCTTCTCGAGGGCCTCCTCCAGCTCCTGTTCACAGGCGGGGGTGTGAAGAGGCGCTCTCCACGCCAGCCGCGTCGGTCGAGCCCCTGTCGTGGGCTCTCCTGCCGGTGTCTGGGAAGTGTCTGGGGAGTGTCTAGGGAGTGTCGCGGGCTCGCCTGCCGGTCGAAGCCGATCTTCATCACCACCTCCATCAGCACGTCCTGGTCGATAGACCGGATCTGCGACATGATCTGGTCGGGCGTGACGGAGAGGTAGAGGGGGAGCTCGTCGGTGAACCAGCGGTGCCGCCGGATCTCGGGGATGGTGATGCGCTGCAGCGGGTCGACGACAAGCATCCGGGAGATGAGGTCCTGTGAGAGTCGCACGAGGGGCGAGGGGTGAGGGGTGAGGGGTGAGGGTGAGGGGTGAGGGTGAGGGGTGAGGGTCAGGGGTGAGGGTGAGGGGTGAGGGTGAGGGGCGAGGGTAAGGGCGAGGGCGTGAGGCGGGGAGAGGTGCGGTGGAGAGGTGCGGGGGGAGGGGTGCGGGGGGAGGGTGTGGTTGTCCTTGATCTCGTCGGACATGTGTCCGGGGAGAGTGAAGATGCCGCCCTTGATCTTCTTGAAGAGGTTTGGGATGTTCTCGTCGTCGAAGGGCAGGGAGCCGCACAGCAAGGCGTACAGGATGACGCCGCACGACCAGACGTCGACCTGCAGCACCGGCACGTCGGGGCAGCTGGGCGGCGCCGTCGGCTGGCGAGAGAGGGCGGCGTGGCTTGCAGGGGGGGCACGGCTCTGAAGCCGCGGAAGGGTGTTGCACCGTGCAGTGCGGCAGCGTGCAGTGCGGCAGCGTGCGGTGCGGCAGCGTGCAGTGCGGCAGCGTGCAGTGCAAGGCTCTGGCCTCGCAGCAGTGTCGAGGGTCTGCGTGCAGTGCGGCTGCGGTGCCCCTGGAGGTTGCGCACCTCCGGCCCCGCGTAGAGCTTGCCCGAGATGACCTCCGGCGCGGCGTAGTTCGGAGAGCCGCACGACGTCTTGAAGAAGTCGCCGTCCTTCATCACCTGCGAGTAGGGGGGGGGCGGGCCATCCCGCGGCGGGTTGAGCCTGCGCGGGCGGTCCTCCGCGATCGCACGCTTGAGAGACCGAAGGCCGCGGTGCAGAGAGAGCCGCCTCTCGGCTGCCCTCTCGGCTGCCCTCTCGGCTGCCCTCTCGGCTGCCCTCTCGGCTGCCCTCTCGGCTGCCCTCTCGGCTGCCCTCTCGGCTGCCCTCTCGGCTGCCCTCTCGGCTGCCCTCTCGGCTGCCCTCTCGGCTGCCCTCTCGGCTGCCCTCTCGGCTGGGTCTCTCGGCTGCCCTCTCGGCTGGGCCTCGCGTTTGAGAGTCCAAAGTCTGCGATGCGGAGCTGCTGCTCGGCGTCGAGGAGGAGGTTCTCGGGCTTGAGGTCGCGGTGGACGACGGCATGCCTGGCGGGGTGGGGGCAGGAGGGGGGGGGGCAGGAGGGGTGGGGAGGGGGGAGGGGTGGGGGGGGGAGGGGAGAGGGAAGGGGCGGGGGCGGGTGGTGAGTGGGATTTGGAGGGCGGGCGGGCGGGCGGGCGGGCGGGCGGGCGGCGGCGGCGGCGGGGGGGGGGGGGGGGGCTGGTGTCAGGGGGGGGGGCTGGTGTCAGCAGCTAGGCTGGTTGTCACTGGTGGCAGTACTCGACTCCCGAGATGAGCTGCTGGAACATGGCCCTCGCGCGCGGCTCGGAGAGGCGGCCGTTGGAGACGATGAAGTCGAAGAGCTCTCCGCCGGGCACGTACTCCATCACCTGCCGCCACGGACGCATCGCACCGCACCCGCTCGCTCTCGAGCGCAGCTAGGCGGGGAGAGGAGCTAGGCGGGGAGGCGGGAGAGGGGCAAACGCCGCCACCGCAGCCGCCGCGGCCGACGCAGCCTCAGCCGCGGCGGCGGCCAGCCCGCGAGTAGGCGAGGGCGCCGTGCGTACGCGGCCGGGGGACGGGACGAGCGGGAGGAGGGGAGGGGTAGAGGGCTTGAAGGAGGCGCGGGGCAGCGGACCATGTAGATGTCTGTCGGAGTGTAGATGATCTCGTAGAGGCGGATGATGTGGGGGTGGTAGAAGAGCTTGAGGATCTTGATCTCGCGGCGCACCTTCTCGTCCATGTCCAACTGCCGGATCCGGTTCCGGTTCAGGATCTTGACCGCAACCTTCTTGCCGGTCAGCTGGTGCTCGGCCACTGCAAAAGCGCGGGAGGGGCGGCGGCGATGGTGTGAGGCGCGCGGAGGCAGGCCCTCGGCGCGGCGGTGACGGCAGCGGATACCGACCCTCCCTATCTTTCCCGCCTCTCCCCCCCTGCCGACCTCTCTGCCGGCCACCACACACAATGTTTTGGCCTGTGGGGATCGACTCGCGCGCGCAGGGCACGGCGCACGTCGAACTTTGCCAAAGGACCCGATGCCGAGGTTCTTCCCCAGCCGGTAGTGGCCGATCCTTTGGACGTGCGATGACATGCGAGGTTAGCGAGCACACAGGAAGAAGCCCGACAAGCGAAACCTGGAGCGGGCACAGGACCGAAGCCTTTGACGAAAGAGAAAGAAAAGGGCCCCGATCAGTGGTCGGCCCAGTTTCGGGGGGATTAAAATCCCTGTGTGGTGGCGGCGTGCCGTTCTCCCATCCCTCCCTTGGGTTGTCTGTTTTCTTTCTTTCTTTCTTTAGTTTCGGGGGGCAAACCCTTTGAGGAAGGAGAAGAAAAATTCTCCATATTCGGGCGCACTTCCATGAATTGCCAGTATCCAGCAGTATCCAGCAGTATCCCGCAGTATCCTGCAGTATCCCAGTATCCGATGCGCCGGCTCCGAGTATTGCGGTGAAAATACTGCGCGATACTGCCATGGCCATCCTTCAAGTCCTCCACTCAAACTCCGTCTCCGAGTACCGAGAGGAGCACCCGACCGGCAGGAAGGAAGGACATAGATTCTCTGCGTCGCCGCACTAACTAACTAGCAGTACTAGCGTGGATCGGGGAGCTCTGGGGACGACACGCTGCGGAATCGGATCGAGCCCATGCACGGGCAAAGAAGGACGCTGCAGAAGCGATTGGAGAGGCAGCCGGCGTCTGCCGTCACAACGAGTCCCAGCGCTGGTTGGACATGCGCGTCGGCTCGCCCGAGGACTGCTGTCGCGACCCTCCCGTCGTGACGCAGCCTCCGACGAGCTCTGCAACCGAGGAGAGTGAGGGTGCGCCTCCCCTCACTGCTGGCCTGGCTGCGCACCGCCCCACAAAGCAACCCCTCGAGCATCTCTACAAGCACAAGCACAAGGGCGACCTTCTCCAAGTCGTCAACACGCCCGGCGGCTCCGACAAGACTTTAGCCTTGGCCACCCTCCTTGCGGAGCAGGAGGAGATCCGCTCTCGGTCGGCAACGTGGCAGCTAGTCGAGAGACTCGGTAGTTGTGACCCCCCTCTGTGCTCTGAGTGAGGACAGGAGAGAGAGAGCTTTTGTGGTGTTGGTGTATACGCAATAAACGGGACAGGGTAGTCGTTCTCTCTAGCTCCCCTTCTAGCTCTTAGCATGAGCTGCGCCCTGTGTCCGACCCCTTTTGCGCAGCAACACCTTAAACTTTTAGGCCCTCCAAATTCGGGTCGGTCGGAGCGTAGCGGAGTGGGCCCCGAGTTTGAAAAGGGCGACGGACGCTTGTGTCCTAGCCTCCAACAACGCCTCCCCGGCGCAGAGGGGCCCCCGGAGGGATGCTCAACCGCTCCACGCCACGCCGCTTGCGGCGGTCCTATTCCCAGCTCCGCTGGAGGGCCCCTGCGTTATATTAGACCAGCGCATAGCGCCATAGGACGTATTTTCTTGTCAATAACAAGGCTGTGAACAAGGCTTCTGTTCCTCGCGTGCTTCTCGACTGGGATTCAGCGCTGACTTCTGACTGTCGTTGCGGTCCATCCCTTTCTCGACTGTCTGAGCTTGTGCGTCTTGGGTCCGTCCGTTGTGTTTCAAACACGGTACAGGATCGAGGTGTGCACGCCGCCGAAGCCAAGTGTCGTCCCCTCTCTCCATTATCTCACTGCACACTGGGAGACGTCGGTGGTGGTGGCGGCGGTGACTGATCGAGCTACCAAGAGGAACTTGTTCAACGCTCTACAATAAATAGCAACTTACGCGCACGCGCCCCCAAAATCCCAAAAGCGACACGGGAGGCAAGGGTAGCAACCGGCCCACTCACTCGCCCGCTCGTCCAACCGCCGCCCCTCTCCCCACCCCGGCGATTCGCGACCCATGACCAACCGCCTCCGGTGACAAGTTCAGTTGTCGCAGATAAATTCGTGACTTCAGTTGTCCTCCTCCTCCACAGATGAGGCGTCGACCGGCGCGACCAGCTCCGGCTGCGGCGCCTCCGCCTCCTTGCCGTCGTAGCGCGAAAACGTGAAGGCGGTGGAGTAGGGCCCAGCCAACTCGTAGTTGCGAACGCTGCCCTCGATGGCCCCTTCCGCCTGCGCCGAGGTCTTGAACGAACCGACGACGGGGTAGAGATCCTTCTTGCCGTGGCGCGGCGCCGTCGACGAGAAGGACTGGCCGACAAGACCGTGGGGCAGGGAGCGGGCGGCAGCGTCACCCCGTGCGCTCAGGCTGACGTCGATCCGATGCTTCGGACCGGAGACCCACCCGTATACGAAATTGCCGTGCACGTTCACCGTCCAGTTGCGAAGGGTGAAGATGGCGGACGAGATGCCCATCCTCATCTCGAGCTCGAAGCAGCCCTTGTACCCGTTCTTGCCAAACTTGAAGGTTCGGCCGGCGCAGTTGCCTCGGACAACCTCCCAGCCCATATTGTGGACGTCGAGCTCAGAGGCATAGAAGGAGGCCGTGGCCTCCCGCCGCCCCTTATCGACGCTCGCGACCACGTGAGCCTCGGTGAGGTATGTCCCGTTCACAGCCACCTTGCCTCCACGAAGCGTGAAGGTGCTCTCCTCCACCTTGACGTTGACCGCGAGCCCCGGCGCCGATAAGAAGGCGTAGCACTTGTCGTTTTGACCGCGAAAGTCTGCCTCGCCGCCGTGCGCAAAGTGCAGATGGGGGTCACCGTTGCTCTTCCCCTGAGTGACGGCGGGGTCGACGTAGTCGGGGATGCCGTCGCCGTCCGTGTCGACGGTGCCCTCTGTCGCGTCGGGGATGCCGTCGCCGTCCGAGTCGAGGTCCTCTGCGTCGGGCGTGCCATCGCCGTCCGTGTCGACGGTGCCCTCTGTCGCGTCGGGGATGCCGTCGCCGTCCGAGTCGGGATCGGTGAGGTCCATGATGCCGTCGCTGTCCGTGTCAGTGAACTTGCTGCAGGGGCAGCACTCGGCATTCATGTAGCCTCTGCGGCAGCACGAGGAGCAGCCATTGCCGCGGCTGGAGCAGCAAGAGTGGCTTCCGCCCTCGGCAGCGGTCTTGCACGGCACGTTGTAGAGGAAGTCGCGCCGCGATCCTGTGCCCGTCATAGCCAGGGTGGAGCACTTTTCGCCAGTGGGGCCAATGACCTGGCCATCGTGGCAGTCGGTGCACGTCTCTGTGCCGCCGCCGTTCAAAGCAGGGGGGGGCGCGAGGGTAGGAGGGGGGGGCGGGGGGGGCGGGGGGGGAGGAGGCGGAGGCGGCGGGGATAGCGACGGCGAGGGATCCGGCACGACTGCAGGCGGTGCGGCTTCCTCCGCAGGCGCAGGCGCAGGGGGCGGCGAGGGCGACGGTGAGGGCGACGATGAGGGCGGCGGCGAGGGCGACGGCGAGGGCGACGGCGAGGGCGGCGGCGAGGGAGACGGGGAGGGAGACGGGGAGGGCGGCGGTGGCGCTGCTGCGGGCGGCGGCGGGGAGGGCCGAAATGCAGCCGTCATTTGAGGGGTTTGCACTTGCGTGGCCCAGGGCAGTTTGCCGATGGTGCCGGCCGAATAGTCCTTGCCATTGTGGAAGCCATTTTCATCTGGGTCGTGGTTTCCAGGCCCCGCTTCAGCGTCAAGAGGGAACTGTCTCCATCCCCCTCCGGGCATCCGGCCATTGCCCGGAGTGAGCTGCTCGGCGTCTTGGCAGTAAATCACCCTTCGCGCGCAAGCTTGATGTATCTGCCGAGTTGAATAGTGCTCTTTTCCGCTTTCTGTCACGTACAGGTTGGGGTCATCCCTGTCCCGAGGCGGCCCGTTTCCGACGCTGTTCCCTCGTACAGTTCCGTACATATCCCTTGTTCTCGGGTGGGGATTTGAATCAAGATCCCCCATCGCCGGTACGTTTGGGTCATAGGGCTTCGTCGCCGGATACCCGCCTCTGTAAACGCACCCATCATCGATTCCGCCGCCAGTCGTGTGAGGTGCGCCGTTCCTTGTGAATGGGTCCACTGTGGCGCCGTTGGAAGGAGCGGTGTTGCCCCATGCAAAGCCGCCGCCTCGCCAACCTCTTATTTGCGGTGGGATGACTAGTTCGTTTGTGAACTCGCCGTAAATGCACTCCCCGCTGGCCAGCAGCTCATCGTAATGGGTCAGCATGCGCCGTACGTGCTCTTTGGAGCCCTCGATTTTGCTCAAGTCGATTTCCGTCAGACCATCGTCATCTTCGCCGAGTCTGCGCCGGTGGCTAGCGCCTCTGGTGGCCGGCGCAGCCGCGGCCGCACCAAGTGCGGCCGCCAGCATCAGCAGACTCATCGGGTGTGGCCGTCGGGCGGCGACTGGGATTGTGGGCTCGCAATTGGAACCAAATTTCGTGTGCGAGACTAGTACGAACGTCCACGATGCGTTCGATTAAACCCAAACACAAGTTACAAGTGCTCATTGCCGTATAAGGTCTCGGGAAAGGTCGAGGAAAGGTCGAGGGAAAGGGGGGATGGCACGTAATGATGAGCCCGAGCAACCGCACGACCAACTCCCAAAACGAACGAAGTCAGTTTTCCTCACCCTCTGTCAGGGTCCACACCTGCACGAGCAGGATTTTGGAAGGACGATCAGGGGGACAGGTGGGCTCTCCTGCTCCTGACAAGGGACACGACAGTCGGATAAGGTCAGAGCACAACACCGGGTTTCTCGATTTGACGCCGGAGTGCCTCCACCTATCCTCGCCTGCCAACGCGGCCAGAGGATATCCACCTCGAGACGTCGAGAACACGATGGACGCTCACATCCTGGAGCAGCACGAGATCTTCGAGCTGCTGCCCACCCACGGCAAGGTGGTCACGCTCGACGCCGACCTGCCCATGAAGCACGCGCTCGCGGCGCTCGCGTCGCACGGCGCAACGTGGTGCGCTCTCCGCGCCCGCGACCCCGGCCGATCCACGCCCGCACCGCACGCGGACGCGAGCCGCCACCGCGAGACGCGCGCCGCGCGCCGCGCCCCTGTCCCAGTCCGCGCGACCACCGCCCACCTGTCGCCCCGCAGCCTCCCCGTGTGGGACTCGGCGCTGCAGCGGTTCGTGGACGTGTTTTCGTGCACCGACCTCGTCGACATCGTCCTCTTCGCGCACCGCGCGCTCGCCGGCGCCGGAGCGCCGCCCGCCGCCGGAGCAGCGGCGGGGGACGCGCAGACTGCCCTCGAGCGGTGCGCGCCAGCGCGACCTCGCACGCCGCTCGAGCGGACCCGAGCCCAGCCCCCGACCCCGACAAAAGGTGCCACCTGCGCGACCTGCATGGGCTGAAGCGGCCGCGGCCGGCGGGCTTCCTGATGGCGTCGGTGGACGACTCGATGCTCCACGGCGCCCCTCGCGCAGCGGCAGTGCGGCAGGGCCGACAGCCCTCTTCATCGCCAGCTGTCTTCTGACCACAGGCGCTCTGATGCTCAAGCAGCACTGTCCACGACACGTTTATGAAGCGTTCCATGACATCTCCCAACAGGCGCTCTGATGCTCAAGCAGCACGCCCTCGAGTGCCTCCCGATCGGGGACAGCGCCTGCTCCTCATCGCTGCTGCAGCCTCCAGCCGCCCGCTCAGCCGCTCCCTCTCCTCGCACGCGGGTCACGGGGCGGCGGGGGGTTGCGGAGATAGGCACCTGCTGCTGCCCGAGCAGCTGCTCGCCTTCCTGGCGACGCTGCCCGAGCTGCGGACGAGCCACGGCCTTGGAGTTGCAGAGATGGCCCGAGAGTGCCCCCGAGTACCCCCGAGATTGCCCGAGCTGCGGACGAGACACAGCCCCGCTGCTGCTCGCGCACTCAGCACGCCAGTTTGACGACTCCAGTTTGACGACCCAGGCCCGCTGCTTGAGGAGCCGGTCGGCAAGGCGCTGCTGCCGCTCTGCCGCCAGCCGCAGACTGTCCGCCGCGACGCGTCGCTCCTCGAGGCGACTGGACTCGTGATGCCAGACAGCAGACAAGCTCCCTAGACACCTCCTTGGACACCTCCTTGGACACCTCCCTAAACTCCTCCCGGACACCTCCCAGACAGCTCCTGGACAACTTCCTAGACTCCTCCCGGACACCTCCCAGACACCTCCTAGACACCTCCCTAGACTCCTCCTAGACACCTCCTAGACACCTCCTGGACACCTCCGGGCTAGCTTCGCTCCTCGAGGCGCTCTGGCGGCGACGCCTCGGCTGTGGTCGATCCTCGAGCTCTCGCGGCCTCTAGGCGCTCGGCCTGCTCTCGGCCGAGCGGCTGCACGCGCTGCCGGTGCTCGACGCAAGCGGAGCCCTCTTCGACGTCCTCTCGAGCCGCGACGTCAGGCAGCCTCGCGTCGCAGCCGAGGCGACCGGCGCTCGCCGGCCCGGTGAGGGCGCCGCCTCCTCCCTTCTCTCAGGCAGCTCGCGTCCAACCCGGCGACCGACCTCGCCATCCCTCTCGAGGAGGCGCCGAGACATTTCCTAGACTCTTCCTAGACACTTCCTAGACACTTCTGGCGACCGACCTCGCCATCCCTCTCGAGGAGGCGCGTCTCTCCGCCGCCACCCGGAGGACGGCACAGCAGCCGCCGTGCGGAAGAGGACATGCGTCGACCATGCAACCCGCAGGCGCTCCGCTCGCTGCCGCCCAAGGACAGCCGGGTACAGACGTGCGCCGTCAGCGACACCGTCGCCACCGCGATCACGCGCCTCGCCGACCCGGAGGCAGCGACCCCACCCGAGATCAACCGAGACACGAGCACCCCTCTCGCCCACACGCACTCACCTCCCCCCTCCCCCGCCCACTCCCCCCCCTCCCCCCCTTCCTTTTCAGGCGGCGCAGCTCGTCTGCCTCAACGACGCGGGCGCCGTCTGCGCAGTGGTCACCGCTTCGGCAGTCCTCGCCGCGCTGCTGCCTAGCTCGCCGCCGCACCACGGATGAGCTCTCGCCGCACTGAGCTGGGCCGGCGGCGCCGCGGACGCGCCGGGGCATTTGTTACATCGCACCCCAACGCGCCTCGGCATTTGTTGCGGCTTGCGCGCGCTTCGATCCGACGTTGCCCCTCGCTAGCGATCACAGCCACGCAGGGGGGCCGTGTCCGTGCGCGCCTGTCGCCCCGCGGTCGGGCGGGAGTGGGCGTGGACTGCGCGCTTTTTGAGTTCGAGCCGGGGTAGGGACTCGAATTCACAAGTTTCGCGTGACGACATGAAAATTGAAAGTAAAGAAGCAAGTAAAGGCTTACTTGAGAAACACTTTACAAAACGGCGAAACGGGGCCATGGCCGACGCTCGCGATGGCCCGTCCGTTGCGGCCAGGCTCAAACTGTGCGCGCAAGCCACAGGAGAGGCGGTGGCGCCGCAAGACGAGGCGATGATTCGCATCCTCTCGCAGCTCGCCGTGGAGCGCAACTGGTGGAGCTTCAGCGTCAACCCGACGCCCATGGGCAAGCAGTTCATTGTCCAGCCCCAGTCCCAGTGGGAGAGGGACAGGGAGCGGCAGCAGGCCAAGGAGGGCAGTGCCCCACCGCAGCCTGTGCCTGCTGCCACCTCCGCCGCGGCACCGCCCGCAGCACCGCCTGCCGCCGCTGCAGCTCCGGCCGCAGCACCGCAGGCACACCCGCAGCACCAACAGGTGCAGCAACCCCAGCCCAACGAGTCGCCCGAGGGGTGGACCAGGGTTGGGAAGGGCGGCATGCCGGACAGGTTCACCATGAGGAACCCTGGCCGCAAGCCGCCGGGCAAGGCGGTCAAGCGCAAGCCTGACCGCCAGCCCGCACCCAAGGGAGGTGGACCCCCACCCCCCTCTCCCAAGGTGAACAAGAACAGGCTGAGCGCGCTGGCGCTGGCCCTTCTGGCACCAGCGGGAGCCACGAGCGCGCACCGCCGCGCTCCCCCTCCCCCTCCTCGCCGCCTGCCAAATCACCGCGGCCGTCTGTGCCTGCTTCCGAGTATGACTCCGAGTTCGACTTTTCCGACGCTGAGGCGCAGGATAGGACGGCAGGGGTCGTACACGACGCAGTTCAGCAGGCTGTGATGCAATACGGCTATGACGACGAGCTCTTCCAGGCGTGGAGGGACGGCGAGATACGGCGAAAGGACTTGCCGGAGGAGGTGGTGGCTATGGCTTTGGACCTTTGCGAGAGGTGGCGAGCGGAGCAAGAGCGGTGTAGGCGCGTCCACGCGGCGCAGCGGCTCTCCCGCGACCCCGGCCCCTCTCATAGCCGCAGCCGTAGCCGCAGCCCCAACTCTTGCCGCTCTTCCGTGTCGGGTTGTGACGAGGGGTGAGGGGACACGGATTGAAGATCCCTCACACCAAGATCGTGCAGGGCGGGGACACATGTCCCTAAATCCCATCTCGTCTCAGAGTTTGCCCGTTTTATTTATTTATTTATTTAAAGGCTTACTAAACCGCTTTAGACTACACGGTACACGCGTAAAGGGGAAGAGGACCCTCAGTTGACCAGAGGAGTTGTTGCGCCAGGCCCTCCTGCTCGGCTCCAGCCAGTAGACAAGTCTTGTCATCAACAGAAGAGAAGGATATGACCTCAGGGCTGATGTGACCAAGCGCTGGTAGCGTGGTTTAACCCCTCACACCCGTGGTCTCACAGTGTGCCGGCAGTCGCCGAGCAGTGTCGTTCACACAAGCCGCAGCACAAGTGACTGAGGGCCAGTGAGGGCGAGCCCATCGCTGTGACAGCTGTGGCAGCCGCACAGTAGGCTGTGTCAGCTGTGCAGAGTGTGTGAGCAGCAGAGGAGCTGCTCTCCAGGCTTCTGTCGCAAAGAGCTGCATGCCACCGAAAGCGCTGTCGAGGTTCGCCGAGTGCGACACAGATTGGGGGAAAGCCGCCACCGACGAGCGAGCGCGTTGGAGTATTCACTCCGGACAAAGACGGCCGCACGCACACGAGCTGCGGTCGTGCGGCCGCCATAGCGGCGAGGCGCGGGACCGTCTGTGGCGAGGTGGGTCGCGTCCCCCGATTTCCGTCAACTCACGGTCCTTCCCCCGTACCCGCCGTAGCAACACGCGACGCGCACCACAAATATGCACACAACCACACGCCCAAAACTGCAAAAAAATCCAAAAATGACAAGAAGACAAACATCAACCCCCGCGCGCCCGCCTTGCCCTTAGCGCTTATTGAGGCGGGCGCAGGGGGTGGCTTCATCCTTCAAGCGCGCGCCCAAGGGCGACGACCGACGGCGACATTTGCGTCGAGTTTCCTGGGGCTCCCCCCCCCTGCGAGCCGGCGTGAGGGCGTCAGGTGTGGCGTGTGGCTGTGGGTGTGGGGTGAGCGCTGAGGCGCCGCCACTCTTTTGCCCCCCCCCCCCCCCCTCCGCCCTCCCCCGACGAACGGCCCCAACGACGACACTGACGTTGCGCCTGAGTTTGAGATGCAAAACACTTTCCTGCATGCTTTCCTGACGCTTTTTACGCTCGCCCCCCACCGCGCTTTCCCTTCCTACCCCCCCAACTGAGAGAGAGATTTAATGATGACATTGGCATTAGGCGCGCCAGCGCGCTGTGTCAACACGTCGCTGCGCGCGGACGCGTTCGCCGGCGAGGAGCTGGCGACCCACACGGCGCCGCCGCATCGCGCAACCAAGAAGAAGGCCAAAAGCACAACGCGCCCAAGAAGCACACGAATCACGGGCGCGGCGGCGGCGCAAAGCGGTAGAGGGCGCGAGAGCCCAACCTAGTTAGAGGCCGCACCCGCGACCCTCTTGCCTCCGGATCTTGCCGGATGCCGCGGCGCCGTGCTGCCCGCCGCGCCCGCGGCGGAGCGCTCGGCGGGGCGGAGGGGGGCGCGAGGTGGCTGGCGCGCGCGGTGCCCCGAAGGGCGGCGCCGAGCAAACACACACCCCTGGACTCTAGAACTGGCTGTCTTTGGATGGATGGGAAGACGAGTCTGGGTGGGACTGACTCTTCCGCCCGGACACGCACCTCTCCTGCTCTCCACCTCGCATGCGAGTGATCGGCGAGGGACTGCGTGCGACGGCGACATGCGGCGGTGAAGAGCCGCAATATGTGGCGGAGATCTTTTCTTTTGTTGTCATCACGGTCCACGCACAACTCGAGCAACAGCAAGCAAAAAGGCGGCACGTGAGTGCGCTGCGACAGAGGGACGGACAGGGACGCGGCGTTGGCCCGAAGGATAGCTCAGATGGACGTGCCGTTGGCCTGGGCGAGGAGGGCCCGCACCTTGGGCGCGATCGCGAGGTGGTTGAACGCGTGGTTTGCCTGACATGCGCTCCAGCACTCGTCGATCTTGGCGCGGATGCGCGCGAGGTGTGGAGTGGACAGCCTTGCGAGGAGATCCAGCAGCATGCCGATCATGAGCGGCGAACAGGAGCTCCCAGCGATCCGCGCAAGAACCGCGCCGATGTCCTCGACGTGCTCCTCGGCCACAGAGGTGGGCATCAAGCCGAACAACAAGCACAGGTGGGATTGGATCGACGAATCGAAAACGGGGTCGCTTGCACGCAATGCTGCCTTCACTGCCGACTTGTTCCGCTGGGCCCACGCAGGTGTTGGCTTCCCTTTGATCATGATGCGCCAAGCCATCATACCTGACAAGTCGGCCGCCTCGAGCAGCTTCAGTAGCCTCTCGTCGTCGAGCAGGGCGTGCAGCACCGAGTGGTGAAACGACCCCAGCGTCCAGAGGTCGTCGACCTCGGACCGCTCGAGTAGGGCTGGCACCTGATCCACCTGCTGCTCCAGCTGCGAGAGCAGCTCCGTCGTCACCTTCTCGTCGGCATCGACCGCGAGGCCGAGGTTGCGCCGCCGCGGGTCGTTGGGCAGCTGCGGCTCGTTGGGCTTCGGCGGGGGCGGCCGGGGCCGCAGCCGCGCAGGAATCGCGCGCTCGACGGCCTGCAGAAAGTGCCGGTTGACGCGTGCGGCGACGGCCATGTCCTCGGGAGAGAGCTGAAACACAATCTGCTCCACGATGTCGAGCTCGAGCCGGACGCGGGGACAACCGACGGTGCCGAAGGTGGCGCCGAAGGTGTCGTCGGTGGGACGTTCAGCCGCAGCCTGCTTCCTCGCCGCCTCCTGCTGCACGAAGGATTGCCGCAGCGTCCAAAGAAGCGTGTCGACCTTCCGCAGCCGCTCGGCTGTACCAGAGCTGAGAGCGTCCGCGCCGAGGGTTTTGAGGGTGTCAGCGGCAGACTCGATCCTGGCAACTTGCGTCTCGACCTCAGACACGCCGCCGCCGCTGCTGCCGCCGCCGCCGCCGGACTTGGTGGCGGCCTCCTTGGTGGCGGACCCCTCGGCGACGGCCTCCTCGGTGGCGGCCTCCTCGGCGGCGGACTCCTCGGCTGCGGCGGGCTTGGTGGCGGACTCCTTCACGTCAGACACGCCCCCGTCAAGGCCGCCAGCGCCCAGTGCGTGCAGCCTTGCTGGGCGGCCGGTCCGAGTACGCCGAGCTGGACTCCGGCTCCAACTCGTGCGGCCTCTTCTTTGTGGCGGGCGTGGTGCCACCGAGCGCGGCGTTTGGCGTGGACGGGAACATGGAGAACTCTTGGCAGCGTTTGGCCCCGCGTGGACGGGAAAGTGGAGACTGTTGGAGACTCCTTTCCCGCGCCGCGGTGCACTTTTTCTTGGGAGTCCTGGCAGCCCCCCCCCCCCCAAATGTTCTTCACCTTCCTACATACATACAGACAGGCCTTGATCGCTTTTCCAGTAAACGGTGAAAGAACGCGAAAGATTCTGGGGGTCGAGATCTACCTACATCTCACGCTGCCATCACGAACCATCTCCACCTCTACCCCTTCCTCCCGCGGCGCCCCTTCCGCGCGGGCGGCGGCTCCCCGGGCATCACGTGCGCCCCGTTGAGCTCGGCCGCCGCGCCGCCCTCGGCCGCCTGCACTTCGAGCATCTTCATCTGCGCCTCGAGGTGGATGGACATGTCGCGCAGCTGCTCCTCGAGCTCGCGCACCTGGCCCTGCAGCGCCGCCTCCCGCTCGCCGGCCGCCTTGGCCTGCGCCGCAAACTCTGCCTGGTTGGCGACGAGCTGCTCGTTGAGCTGCTTGTTGAAGGCGAGGTCGCCGCGCACGCTGGAGAGCAGCGCGTCTGACGCGGCGCTCCGCCTCGCCTGCGCATGCGCCTTCCGCTCCACCTGCTCTGCCCTCCCTCGCAGCTCGGCACGCTGCCGCTCGACGGACGCCTACTCACCGCGCTGCGCCGTGAAGAGACGCCGTCCGCGGCTCGGCGAAAGGACAAGCTCGGCGGGCACCTCGAGCTCGGCGGCGACGGCCGCGTGCGCGCGGGTGGCGGCCTCGAGCTGCGCCTCGAAATGCTGCCGCTGCACTTCGAGCTGCCTACGGGGGCGGTCCGGGGGACGGTCCCGGGGGGGGGGGGAGAAGGAGAAGCGCTGCCGCCGCAGCTCGAGGCAGCCGCGCCCGGTGAGGAGCAGCGAGTACTCGTGCACGACCGCCTGCTCGCACCCTCCGGTGTGAAGAGGCGCTGTCCACGGCAGGGAAGCACACTCGCGCCGCCGCGCGCCTCGTGCTCGTCCTCAAGCCGCCGCTGCTTCATCTCGAGCGCCGCCGCGTCCACCTGTTCATACCAACCACGGGTGAAGAGACGCCGTCCCACACCGCCGCTCCACCGCGAGCGCCGCCGCGCCCACCTGCCCTCGCGAGTCGCCCCGCGCAGCCGGTGCGCGGCCGCCCGCGTCGCCGCCCGGGTGAGGCAGCTCGACCAGCTTGCCGTCGACTCGGTTCTGGAGGGGGGGGGGGGGCGGCGCGGGCAAGGTCAGGGGCAAGGCCAGGGGCAAGGCCAGGGGCAAGGCCAGGCGTGCGTGTCTCCGCACGCCCAGAGCCAGTGGGGCAGGCGCCAGGCTGTCCCTCGCATCTCCTCTCCCCCGTGAGAGCTCCACGGCACTCCCAAGGGGGCGGGCACATGCAGTGGGCACATGCACGCGGGTGAGCAGACCCGGAGGGAGCACGAACCCGGCTATAGCTCGGCTACCGCTCGGCTACCGCTCGGCTACCGCTCGGCTACCGCTCGGCTACCGCTCGGCAACAGCTCGGCTACAGCTCGGCTACAGCTCGGCTACCACTCGGCTACAGCTCGGCTACCGCTCGGCTACAGCTCGGCTGGCTCTCGGCTGGCTCTCGGCTGGCTCTCGGCTGGCTCTCGGCTGGCTCTCGGCTGGCTCTCGGCCTGCAGCTGCCTCTCCTCCTCGCGCGATGCCGGCCACTCCTCGAACGCCGGGCTGCGCGGCTCCTTGCCGGTCCTGTGCACATGTCATGGACGTGTCATGGACGTGTCATGGACATGCCGGGCTGCGCGGCTCCTTGCCGGACCTCGGCGTCCGCTCCGAGCCCGTCTCCCCAGACCAGCCGGCGGGCGTGCCTATGTGGGACGCGTCGTGGACGTGTCGTGGACGTGTCGTGGACGTGTCGTGGACGTGCACCTCGCGCCACCCGCCGGCGGGTGGCCACGCCGCAGCACTTCCCAGAAGTTGTCTAGGAAGTGTCTGGGAAGTGTCTAGGGAGTGCCTCGGCGGCGCTTCCCAGAAGTGTCTAGGAAGAGTCTAGGAAGTGTCTCGGCGCCACCTGCGGGTTGCAGCGCGCCGTCGATGCCGCGCTGCAGCGTCGTGACGAGCAAGTGGAGAGAGACGCGCACGTCGGGCGGCGGCGGCGGCTGCGGCTTGGCAAACTCGATCTCGGCGACGTGCACTGCGAGCAGCACCTGCCGGGGTGATCTCGGGCGATCTCGGGTGATCTCGGGTGATCTCGGGAGATCTCAGGCGGCTGCATCTCGGCTGCATCTCGGCTGCACCTCTGGCTCGAGCGAGTTGAAGCGCCGGCCGTGAAAGTCGCGCCGGAAGCGCTCCTACGGGAAGTGCGTCGGACATGTCATGGACCTGTCCTGGACATGTCTGCGAAACTCACGCCAGAGGTGCTCCGCGAGGCCGCTCGACACGAACTGCAGCAGCACGCAGCAGGCGTGCGGCCGAGCCGCGTCACGCACCTGCCGCCAAGTGCGGCCGAGGGTGCGGCCGAGGGTGCGGCCGAGGTGCGGCCGAGGTTGCAGCCGAGATCGATCCGAGACACAGCCGGGATGGCGCGCCAGCCTCGCCCGCTTGATGCAGCGCAGATACGCGCCGATGAAGCGGAGGAGCTCGGCGGCGGTCATCGAGGTGGGGACGTTGAGCATGGCGAGCACGTTGGAGCGGAGCGGCGGCGGCGAGAGCGAGAGCACCCCGGCAGGGTGCTCGAACCGGTAGAAGGACACGCTGCCCGCGCACAGCTCTGCGCTCGGGTGGCCAGAGTAGAGAGGCAGCACGACCCGCTCGACGGAGCCGCCCTCCTCCGCCTCGCCGACCTCCTCCTCGTCGAGGTTCCACGGCGCCGGCGACGGCCCGCCCGACCGCACCGGAGGCGAAGACCCGCCGAACGCCGGAGAGGAGGCGCCGCCGCTGAAGCAGAGGCCGACTTCGTCGAGCGCGGCGAGCGACGAGGAGGATGGCCGCTCCTCGCGGCGCGCGAGGGACTGAAAGGGTGCCACCTCGCCGGCGGCGGCGCCAGCCCCGCCGCCGCCGCTGCCGTCGCCGAGCTGTGGCCAGCCCGACTCTGCAAGCGGATCGCACTGCACGGCACGGTCGATGACGACGGTCGGAAAGTAGGCCTCGTCAGCCTGCGCCCGCAGCAGCTCCGCCTCGGTCTCGGCAGTGAAGCGGAGCTTGTACATATACAGCGCGCCAAAATAACGAGCTACCACGCGAGATCTTGGTGTTCCGGGTGTAAGGGCTGGCCCGGCCGCTTGCTCCAAGCGCCTGGCGGTGCCGCCCAAGAAGAAATCCGCGCGGCAGGAAATTCTGCTTGAGCCGTTGCCCGCCAAAAAGAAAGCCGACTGCGTTCCCTTGGGCCCTCGTTGGACAGGCGGCCTCGAGGTAGGCGGCCTCGAGGTACACAAAGCGGCCATGCTGCTACGAGCCTCGAGCCTGCGCGTGCAGCATCGCCTGCGATCGTCGCGGCTGTTGTGCTCCGCTCCAGCGCCCGCGCCGGCTGCTGCTCCGGCGCCCGCGCCCGCGCCAGCACCCGCGCCCGCGGCGCCCGCGGCGGCGGCGCCCGCGGCGGCGGCGCCTGCGGCGGCGGCAGATCGCCTCCACTCGACCGACATCGCCTTCAAACCGACAGAGAACGGCTGGGGCTATTCCAAGCAGTTCTCCAACAACTGGGACAACATCTTCGGCGGGAAGAAGAAGAAGCAGGCGGCGCCTGCAGCGGCCGCTCCCGCCGCCGCTCCCGCCGCCGCTCCCGCCGCCGCTCCCGCCGCCGCTCCCGCCGCCGCTCCCGCCGCCGCTCCCGCCGCCGCTCCCGCCGCCGCCGCCGCGCCTGCCCGTGCAGAAAGAGCAGCACGGCTCGCGCTCCTGCAAAAGGCGCTTGACGGCGGTGCCCTGAGCCCACAGCTCTTTGAGCGAGCGGTTCTCGAGCTGGAGGACGAGTAGATCAAATAGGTGGAGAGAGCAGAGGTATGGCGCTGCGCTACGAGAAGAGTCGCCGCGCACCGGAGCTTCATCAGGTAGGGATCCTAGCGATAGCCGTAGTGTGCGGAGGAGGTCTTGCCGCTAGCTTTGGTGCCTGGAGCACTTGGAGCACCGTGTGGGAGTGCATTCGATCCTGTTGAGTCGGGCCGCACAATATTCGACATATGTGTGGTCCTTGGTGCGTGGTGGGTAGAGGGTTTACTCGAGACTCGAAAAAAAAGAAAATGACGAGCGTCTCGAGCGATCCGACGACGTTCGAATGCCACAACCTGCCCGCTCTCTCAAACCGCCGCCATTCGCTTCTCATGATCTGCATCCTCGCCGTCGTGGCCACCCCGCCGTCGTCAACCGCACGGCAGCCCGCGTCGGTGCCTCCCTTCCTCACGGCTCCTGCGTGCACGCCAGATTTTGCGAGCGGCGGGCGGACGACGCTTTTCGAGTCCCAACCTGCGAAGCTGTCGACCGAGCCGCCGCCGGACGCGATTGTCCCTCGCGAGACCCTTGAGACGGTGATCGAGGGCTCGGACTCGCTCAAGCACGTCGCCCGCATCAACCTCCGGCACTCGACAGAGGCGGCGCTCACCGCGCTGCCCGACTTGACGGTGAGTGGGGGCGGCTCGACCAGTCCGTGCGGCGGTGACCCGCGTGATGGTGGTCAGAAAAGGGAGAGGGGCGCTCCCGGGTCCCGCCTCGTGGGCGCCCTCGTGCTGGGGTGCCTCCTCGCGCTCCTCTGCTTCCAGCTTCGGTCGGGTGGCTCCTCGGCCAGCAAGGTCGGCCCAAACAAGGTTGAGGGGCAGAAGCGCTCGAAGAACGCGGAGAAGGACGAGGTCCTGACCCCGGCCGGCGGCAGCACGCCCCTCATCTACCTCATCGCCGTGCTCGTCTTGTGCGGCGTGGCCTTCGAGGCCTCGACCATGAAGTACAATGCGATCAAGCCGGCCGCCGAGATCAACGCTCGGGGACGCGGCACCGTGCCGGCGACCCTGTCCGTGAACCACGTGCCCGAGTGTGTGTGGCCCGCAAGCGCTGCTGGGAAGGCCCGGAACACAGGAGGCCTCGTCGGCGCGGGAGCAGCCGGGCGGGTCGCCTTGCCACCATCCGCCGCACATGTCCGCGTGGCCGTCGCCGCGCTGCTCCTCGTCTTCCTCGCCATCGCTTGCGGCGCCTCCGGGCTGCTCGCGGCGAGCGGAAAGGGGGCTCGCGGCGCGGCCTCGTCCGCCACCGTCTGCCTCGCTGCCGCCACGGCGTGCCTCGCCGGCGCGGCGGCGGCGCCTGCTGGTTTTTTTGCGAGCGCCATCTCGTGGCTCGCGGCGCCGCAGGTCGCCGCCTCGCTGCTCTTTCTCCACCCTTGTGCGGCCGTGCTGGCGCTGCTCCTCTCAGCGTGCCTTGAGCCGCTGCTACGTGGGCAGGTCAAGAAGAAGAGGGTGGAGGGCCGCAGCCACGCAGCGATCTCCGTGCCTTTGCTCTCCAGCACGCGTGCTCTCCGAGTTGGCATTGTGATCCTCTTCTTCCTGCAGGGCGTATGCGGCACACCAGCGGCACCACCGATCTCTCCACCACCGAACCCGCCGCTGTCGCCGCCGTCGCCCGAGCCGTCGCCGTCACCCGAGCCGTTTCCTGAGTTTCCCGAGTTTCCCGAGCCGTCGCCGTCACCCGAGCCGTCGCCGTCACCCGAGCCGTTTCCCGAGTTTCCCGAGCCGTCGCCGTCGCCCGAGCCGTCGCCGTCACCCGAGCCGTCGCCGTCACCCGAGCCGTTTCCCGAGTTTCCCGAGCCGTCGCCGTCACCCGAGCCGTCGCCGTCACCCGAATTTGCCGAGGTTGGCTCGGGCGAGCAGGGCTCCGGATTTTGGGAGGCTGGCTCTGGCTCTGGCGAGGTCAGCTCTGGGATTTGGGACGACGACGGCTCCCCCTCCCCCTCCCCCTCTCCAGGCGGCCCTGGCGATGCCTGCTCCGTGAGCAATCCGTGCGCGAGCGACGCCTTCTGCAACTTTGACGACGGCAACAGCGACTCCTGCAAGGCGTGCTCTGATTGCACGAGCGCCGGATTCACGTGCGACACGTGCGGCTTGCCCGCTGCCGGCGCGAGCGACTGCAACAGCGCGTGCGTGGCGCCCTCTTCGCCGCCGCCGTCCCTGCCTCCGCCGTCCCTGCCGCCTCTCGCGCCGACATTCATTGTTGGAACAGGGATTTGCCGCGAGGCGGGCCAAGCGACCAACACCTTTGATTTCCCCTCCATCACCGGCTGCCAGGCCTTGTTCGAGTGCAAGGCGCTCTGCCAAGTCGACGCGGCTTGCGCAGCCATTGCGTGGGCCGCTAGCCCTGATGAGAACGACGACGGCTGCAAGGTTGCGGGCCATCCGCGTTGTGTTCGCTACCTCACCAGCTCCGGCCAGTTAGCGGCAGAAACTTCGGCGTGTTGTCAGGAGTACACCTGCTATTCCATGGTGCCACCACCGCCGTCCCTGCCGCCTTCGCCGCCGTCCCTGCCGCCGCCGCCGCTCGCTCCACCGGCCCCCCCAATCGAGTTCCAGGTCACCGTGGGTGGCGGCAGCTGGGAGACCGAGGTGTCGTGGGACCTGACGTGCAGCAGCGGGTTGATCGGCAGTGGAGGGTCCCCCTACTCCGGCACCCTGTCCGCGCCGCCCGGCGAGTGCACGCTCGACATGTACGACTCGTACGGCGACGGCTGGAACGGAAACTTGTGGGAGGGTGCGGGCTATACGTTCACGCTCGACTCCGGATCCTACGGCAGCGCGACCTTCATCCTCGCCCCCCTCCCTCCGCTCTCTCCACCGGCCTTGCCGCCGCTGCCGCCGCCGCCCCTGCCGCCATGCCCGCTCGGCGACGTCTGCGCCACCGGCCCGTGCTTGATCACCGACGGCGGCTCGTGCGCCACCTCGCCCGACTTCCCGAACGACTACCCGGTCAACGAGGGCTGCACCATCTACAACTTGCCGCAGGCCGCGCTGGAGGTGATCGCCTTTGATGTGGAGGGAGGGGGGGGTGGACGGCGGCTCTCCGCGCGGCTTCACGTGAAGGCGCCGGAGCCAAAACACGGCCGACAGCTCTCTCACTGTGTGAGCGAAGGGCTCTGCGGCTACTGCCCTCAATGCCCAGCCTGTGACGGCTCCTGTGACACCTGCTGTGAGATTCTGGGGGAGGAGCTGTCGCCAACATGCACGGATCTCCCGGGTGCATTATCTGGAGATATTTGGTTCGACGGCACCAACGGGTGTGACGCTTACTCAGCCAACGGCTGGTGCGAAGACTATGGCAATACTGATTACAACGGCGAGGGCATGGCCACCGATACGTGCTGCGTGTGTGGGGGAGGGGTAATAGCGCCCTGCCCCAACGACTACCTCGTCGTCAACGGCGTGAAGTACTGCGGCACCTCCGGCCCGGCCGGGATCGTGCCGTCGGATGGGACCATGACGTGGGTCTCTGACGATGGGGTCACCGAGTCAGGCTGGAAGGCGCGCGCTCTCCTCTCTGCGTCTCGGGCTCTCCACACACTGCCCTCTCTTCAGCTCTCGCGACCCCCCCCTCCCCCCCTTCCGCAGGTATGCTGGGCTGCGCAGCCGCCGTCCTTGCCGCCCTCCCCGCCGCCCGTTCCGCCGCTCGCTCCACCGTCGCCGCCCTCCTCGCCGCCCTCCCCGCCGCCCTCCCCGCCGCCTTCCCCGCCGCCGCCCTCTCCGCCGCCGCCGCCTTCTCCGCCGCCCTCTCCGCCGTCGCCGCCGCCGCTCCCACCCCTACCGCCGCTCGGGCCCAACGAAGCGTCCGCCGCGACAGAAAATGAACTCCGCAACTTGATTCGCAAGGCTGTGAGCGAGGGCCGGGAAGCGCACATCTTCGTCGCGCCAGGCGCCCACATCATGCTGGGATCCTCACCATCGCCGCCCCCCTCCCCGCCACCTACCCCGCCGCCCTCCCCGCCCTCGCTGCCGCCTTCGTCGCCCCCGCGTCCGCCGCCGCTGCCGCCGCCGCCAGTGGTGGTGCAGCCGCCGTGCTTGATCACCGACGGCGGCTCGTGCGCCACCTCGCCCGAATTCCCAAACGACTACCCGAACCTCGAGGGCTGCAACATCACTGGCTTGCCGCCCGTCGCGCTGGACGTGATCGCCTTTGACGTGGAGGGAGACGAATACTCCTACTACGACTACGACGGCGACGGCGACCCCACAAACGATTGCCCCTTCGCCCACCTCGTCGTCAACGGCGTGAAGTACTGCGGCACCTCGGGCCCGGCCGGGGTCGTGCCGTCGGATGGGACCATGACGTGGGTCTCTGACGGGGAGGTCACCGAGTCAGGCTGGAAGGCGCGCGCGCTCTCCCCTCTGCATCTCCGGCTCCCCGCACACTGCCCTCTGAGCTCTCGCGCTCACCCAAACCCGGTGCCCAAGCCCCTATGCCCCCTAATTCCAGGTGTGCTGGGCTGCGCAGCCGCCGTCCCTGCCGCCGCAGCCGCAGCCGCCGCCGTCGCCGCCGCCGCCTCTCGAAGCGCTCCAGCTGATCATCACGCAGAGTCCCCCGGAGCCGCTGGTGTCGGAGGTGGTCATGTGCGCCGTCATCATTGACCTCTCGCTCGGCTTCGGGGTCACGCCCGAGGCCGCATGCACGGTCACGACAGGGCCGCAGAGGCGCCTGTCGCAGGCTGCAGGTCTCGCCCGAGGCCGCATGTTGCAGGGCGCTTCCATCGTCTACACTGTTACCATCGTCGACACTTTTGCGGCGGCCTCCCTCGCGGCTGTGATAAACGATCCAGCAAACCAAGCAGAACTCCTGCTCTCGAGCGAGCTCTCTTCCGGGACTAGCACGATCAACATCGTCTCCGTGGAAGCCGCGGTTGTCCCCGTGCCTGGCCCCGGCCCTGGCCCTGGCCCAAGCCCGTCGGCCTCACCTTCTCCCTCGCCGTCGCCGTCGCCGTCGCCGTCGGGTGCCCCCGTCGCCGTCGCCGCCGCCCTCCCCCTCCCTGCCGCCCTCCCTGCCATCGCCGTCCCCGTCGCCGTCGCCGTCACTTTCACCCTGCCGCCGTCGCCGTCGCCGCTGCCCTCCACCTCCCCCTGCCCCTCCCTCCCCCTCCCGGGCCACAGCCACTGCCTCCCCCCCCCCCCCACCCCCCACCCCCCACCCCACACACACACACACACACACCTGTCCCCAATGTCGCTCTCCAGGCGGCCCTGGCGATGCCTGCTCCGTGAGCAATCCGTGCGCGAGCGACGCCTTCTGCAATTTTGACTATGTCAACAGCGGCTCCTGCGAGGCGTGCTCTGATTGCACGAGCGCCGGATCCACGTGCGACACGTGCGGTTTGCCTGCTGCCGGCGCGAGCGACTGCAACAGCGCGTGCGTGGCGTCGGGAGATATCGGCCGCCGCGCTTCCGAGGCGGGCGGCAAGGGGCCTAAGCCGCTGGTGCTCGACTCGTCGCTGGAATGCAGCGGCAACATCTCACTCGTTGTTCGCAGCGAAGGAGTCGGCGCGACTCTCGACGGCCAGGGCCGATCGCGGCTCTTTTCCCTCTCTGGCGGCTGCAGCCTCACGCTCCAAGGACTAACGCTCGTCAACGGCTACTCCAAGGAAGACGGCGGCGCCATTCAAGGGTCGGGTGCGGGCTCCCTCAAGCTGGCCGACACGAGCATCAAGGACAGCGAGTCCCAAGGATTCGGCGGTGGCATCGCCATGACCGATAGCGGAGATGTCGAGCTCCACAAGTCCACCACGTTGGGTTGCCGCGCGCGGCGCGACGGCGGCGGCATCTCAATCCGGCAAGGCGGCGCGCTCGCACTTACCGAGAGCAGTGTTGCCCAATGCTCGGTGGAGGGAAGCGGTGGCGGCATCGCCCTGGCCGACAGCGGAGATCTGTCGCTGATTGACAGTGCCGTGAGCAACAGCACGGCCGCGAAACGCGGCGGAGGAATCCAATTCGAGAGCAGCTTGAGCATCGCAACTTTCCTGCGGTCCACGCTGAGCGACAACCAGGCGGCGTCGGCCTCAGCCCTCTACTACGGCGGCTCCACGTCCACGCAGGGCTCGGTGGACGACTCGCGCTTCGTGGGCAACATCGCCGAGAACGCCGTCACCATCACCGCGGCGTCCGAGCTAAGCTGGCACCCATGCGCGCTGGGCGAGTTCATGCCCGTTCGTGGCGAGTTCAATGGTGACGTGCGCGGCTGCAACGTCTGTCCTGAGCGATACTTTGGAAACGCCACCGATCTTGAAGCCGCTGCGTGCAGCGGCATTTGTCCGCTTGGCCATTTTTGCGAGGAGGGGAGCGCGCTTCCGGTTCCATGCCCCGCCGGGACCAGTATGCCTCTGCTGGGAGCGTCCAGGCGCGAGGACTGCCTCACGTGCCCGCGAGGGCAGCACCAGCCGGATGGCGGGCAGCCGCGATGCACCCCCTGCCCTGACGGAACCTACTCGGCGGACACCGGGCAGAGCTACTGTGAGGAATGCGAGCCGGGCGGCTACTGCGAGGTGGTGGATGGGAGCATGGTCCGGCAAGCGTGCCCCGCCGGCAGCTACAACCCGGAAACCCGCTCCACCTCAATCGAATCGTGCCTTCTCTGCCCTAACGGCACCTCGAGCTCTGACACCGGAGCGACAACGAACTCTACGTGTGTGCCTTGCCGCGCCGGCAGCTTCGCATCTGGGGAGGGCAACGAGGCCTGCAAGCGGTGCCCACAGGGTTTCTACCAGAGCGCGACAGGAGCGACAAGCTGCCTACGCTGCGCGGCTGGCAAGTTTTGCCCCGCGGGTGCGTCGCTCGAGCTGCCCGCGACGTGCGACCCGGGGATGTACGCCAACATGACGGACGACGACGGCATCCCCGACTGCTTTGACTGCCCTGTGGGCTCGTCGTGCGGAGGCGGCGGAGCTCCGCCGGTCGCATGCTCTCCGGGCGCCTTTGCCAACACGACCGGCCTCTCCGAGTGCTTCCGCTGCGCGGGCGGATCGTACCAGAGCGAGGCGAACGCGATGGGCTGCCTGCCGTGCGACAAGGGCAACTACTGCGAGCCGGGCGCGTCGAGGCCGCTGCCGTGCGAGGGCGGTTCCTACTCGGACAAGACGGGCCTGTCGGCCGCCTCGCAGTGCACGCCCGCCGATCTGGGCCACTTCGCCACCACGGGCTCCACCGAGCAAAAGCCGTGCGCCAAGGGCAGCTTCGCCGCCACGGTCGGCCTCGCGGAGTGCGCGCCGTGCGAAGGCGGGTCCTACCAGCACGACACGGGCGCGACGGGCTGCCGCGCGTGCGAGAAAGGCAGCTACTGCGAGCCAGGCGCCGCGGCGCCGCTGCCGTGCGAGGCTGGCAGCTACTCGAGCGCGACCAACCTCACCGACGCGAGCGAGTGCGCCGACGCCTCGCCGGGCCACTTCGCCACCACGGGCTCCACCGAGCAGAAGCCGTGCGCCAAGGGCAGCTTCGCCGCCACAAGCGGCCTCGCCGAGTGCGCCAGCTGTGACCCTGGCACTTCCTCCGGCACCGGCAGCGACTCCTGCAGCGAGTGCGCTGTCGGCTCTTACGCCGCCAACCCTGGCCAGGGCGAGTGCACTCGCTGCCCCCATCCATTGAGTAGTGGGAGCGGCGGCGTCACCTGCTCGATCTGCAAGGAGGACTACTATTTGTTGTCGACGAGCGTTGACCCAAATGACATCTGGATGGCACCGACAGAGCACTGCAAACCTTGCCCGCCGAACGCCTTCTGCCCGACCAACACCACGCTCGAGACCCTCGTCGTCCCTCAAGGCTACTGGCGCGCTAGCTCCTCGAGCGCCGCACTGACAGAGTGCCGCTCCTTTGGCGGCGACGGCGAGGCCGGCAAGACGCGATGCGCTGGCAGCGAATTGGATGCGGGGGACGCCTCTCGCCGCCGGATGATCGAGGAGGTGAGCCCGTCAGACGAGTACTGCGCTCCCGGCTTTTACGGCCCCGAGTGCCGGCTCTGCGTCGCCGACAAGCACCACCTCGTCGACGGTGACACCTGCAGGGATTGCCTCCCACTTGGCTCCGTGGTGGGTCGCATCGCCGGTGCCGTCCTCTGCGTCTTTGTCGCGTGCGGCATCGCGGCTTGGGCTTACAGCAAGAAGGGCTGGCGAAAGAAGCCAGGCTACATCGGCCGCATCCTCCGCCTCGCGGACCGCGCCGTCGTCTTCTACGTCGGCATGGGCTTTACGCCGAAGCTCAAAATCCTGCTCGGCTTCTACCAGGTCTGCATTGTCCTCACCACCACCTACTCGGCGCGGCTGCCCATTGAGTACACGTCCTGGACTGACAAGCTGGCCGAGGCGATCAGCATCGACTGGACTGGCTTCCTCTTGCCGGCGCAGTGCTTGCCCTTCCAGTCTCGACTTCTCGCGGTCACGATCACGCCGGCCAGTCTCATCGCGCTGCTCTTACTCACGGGCGACCTCCCACCCCCCTCCCCGGCCCGCCCGCCCGCCCACCCGCCCCGCACGCCCGCCTGCCCGCACGCACGCACGCACGGTGGGCTGACCCCCTTCCCCATCGGCAGGTATCGGGCTGCGGATCCACCGCAGGCGTCTTCGCGCTCGGGCGCCGCGCAGCGCATCACAGGAACAAAGCAAAACAGGAAACGCTGTGGTGGAGGAGGATGTGTCGGTGGTGACGGCGATCACATTGGCGATAAACGCCATGAACGAAGACGAGTCGAAGGTGTCCGCGTCGGCGATACCTTGGTATGTGGAGGCGGCCCTCGGCCTCCTCGATTTCATGCCGGCAGCGCTCATTCTCATCTTTTGCTTCGTCACTTCCGTCAGCGCCTCCATCTTCCGTGCGTGGTCGTGCCAGGCTCCGAGTCGCACACCAGCCGCGGACTGTGTCGTTCAACCTTGTTCCCTCAGTCCTCGCAACGTGTTGCTCGTAGGCCTACACCATCTCTCCGCCCGGCGAGTCGCTCAAAGAGGTCGAGTACATGCGGCAGGACGCGAGCGTTGAGTGCGGCACCGACGAGCACAAGCCCATCACGAACCTCGCCATCGTCTTCATCGTCGTCTGGCCGATTGGCTCGCTGGTCCTGTACACGTTGCTCCTCGCCGCCTGCTACAAGCCTCTGAAGAAGAAGACGCGGACTGCTCTGACGCGCGCCACTCGCTTCCTGCATCGAGAGTACGTGCTGACCTACTACTGGTGGGAGGCGCTCGAGCTGGCGCGCAAGCTCGTTCTGACGGGCGCGGTGCTGCTGATCCCAGAGGAGCGCGCCTTTGTTCGCCTCGTGGTGGCGACGCTCGTCTGCGTTTGCTATTCGGTGGCGATCGCCATCGTGCGCCCCTACAATCGGGTCGAGGACGATGTGCTAGCCGTCGCGACCAGTCTCGTGCTCCTCCTCTTCTTCCTCGGCGCCAACTGGACGACCATTTTCCTCGGCATCGAGGAGCGGTACCAGGGAGCCGACCCCGCCGACGTCCTCGGCTTCAGCAGCCTGACGGGTCTCGTCAACTCGATGATAGCCCTGGTCGGCGCAGTCCTCATCTTCTTCCTCATCGGTGCCATCTTCGCCGCCCGTCGCGTCGCCAAGCTGCCCACGTTTCGCCTCGTCTCGACCAAGCAGCTGCCCGAGCTGACCCTCGCGCACGGGCTCAAGTGGCACCTCTTCAACAGCCACATCTGGAGCACGGGGCAGGTGGTCCCCTCTGCTGCACCACTCGTGACTTGTGTGAGCGGTCTGGAGAGGTGGCCTTCTTTCCCTTAGGACGCCGCCGCGGTCATCAAGAAGCAGCTCATGCTGCTGCTGCCCGGGGTCAAGATATTCCTCGACGCGCGCAGATGCTCAGCCGCGCTAGCTGCACACGCAGAGCCCCTCTGACGCACCGCGGTGTGCGCACAGGTCGATGATCTCAAAGACATCGGGGCGCTCGAGCAGTACATCCGAGGCACGACGATGATCCTCTTCTTCCTCTCGCAGGGCTACTTCCGCTCCAAGGCGCGCCAACCCCCCACCGATGGTGTCTGCACACGGGCTTCACCCCCCCCCCCCCCCCTGCGCCGCAGAACTGCCTCCGGGAGGTTCGCTCGTCGCTCGAGATGAACAAGCCGATCGTCCTCGTGCAAGAGGCGGACCCGACAAAGGGCGGCGGGACGATGGAGGAGCTGCGCGAAGATTGCCCCGAGACCCTCCAGCGGAGCATCTTTGAGATGGACCGGCCGCACGCAGTCTGGATGCGAGCCGAGGAGTTCCAGCGCATCTCGCTCAAGATCATCGCAGAGGCGCCGCAGGCCGCAGCCACGGCCGAACCAGCATCTCCCCCACACCCTGCACTGATGCCTTAGGCGCTGCTCCTCTGCACGCCCGCCTACATGAACAAGGTCTCCCTCCCGCTCTGCATCGCGGGCGAGCCGCGGATCGCGTCGTTCGACTTTAGCAAACAAGTGACGGTCCGGGTCTCGCTTGCCAACCCGGGCGCAGAGGATCTCGCCAACGAGCTCGCCAAATCCTTCGCCCGCCTCACCGTCTCCACCGCCGAGGCTGCCGACGACGCGACCCACATGCTGCTCTACCTCAACCGGGAGACATGGTCGGACGAGCGGCTGGCCGAGCAGGTCAAGCAGGCGGGCGAGGACAAGCTGAAGATCGTGATGGCGCACGAGAACGACCCCGACAAGGGCGGCTGCATCTTTGCGAGATTCTTCGAGACCACGCCGCAGGAGCTCATCAATGATGGGCTGTACCGCGACATGGCGCACCCGTGCTTCCCGAGGGACTGGCCGCACCACGAGGCGCGCTCTCTCTTGCGCTCCGAGGCGCGCAGCGCTGGACGTGTCACATGCGCGTTCATGTAGGTGTCGCTCGTGCACCTGGCAAAGAGCCTCGGCGCGACCGCCACGAAGGGCCTCCGCGCGCGCGCCTCGGAGGACCTCCGCCAAACGGGGATCTTAATCAAAAGCACCCTGGGTAGCCCAGGGCCTTTGTCAAAGGCGCGCCGGAGCTCATCCACTCGGGACGCCGTCAGCACCGAGCCTTCACGCATTCGGCCCTCCGTCAGCACGGAGCCGTCTCTGCCGCACACCATCAGCATGGAGCCAGAGCCGACGTCCACGCTGTCGGAAAAGCGCCTCGGAAAATCCCGCATGGCGGAAGCAGGTAGTAGTAGTCAACCGATTGTGCCGCGAGACATCGCGCGAAAGCACGCAGAACAGCTTCGCGGCAGCAGTAGTAAGCAGCTCTCCAGGGTGTAGAGCGAAGGCTCTCTGTGACAGTCAGGCGACAGCCGCGGCGTAGAGCTCCTGTGCGGCATTAATTAGGCATGAGGGGGGGGGGGGGGCGGTTTCCTTACTACTGACTCTTGGATTTTTCAATTGTATGTATGAAAAGAGAGAGAGAGAGGATTTAGGATTACGTAGGTTTGGGGAGCGGGCGCGAGTGGGAGACTTTTCGGCGGGCGAAATGCGGCGGTGTGGTTGCGTCCTCTTTTACTTTTTGCACTTTGGGACGACCTTTGTGGGACTGGGTCGACCTGTGGGACGACCTGTGGCGGCGCGTCGTCGCCGGACGCGGCGGCGCGAGGCACACGGGCGCCGGCGTGGCGCGTCGGCAGGCCCACCACGAGCGGATGCGCGACGAGCGCGCTCGGGAAAAGCGGCCGCGGGCGACGGCCGACGCGGAGCTTCCGCCGGAGAGGACGACGCGGTCGAGACGGCGAGCGCCGTCCACGTGCTGGACAGCGTGGCGGAGGTGGGCCCGAACTACACCCTGGAGTCGCGAAAATCTTTTTCGAACCCAGCCCTCGACGCATTCGTGGAAGTACTCAACCCCTTACGCACTCTTCACAGATAGGTTGATAAGAAACAAGAAGCTCACATCGCACAGACAGTGAGGGTGTGAGAGGCGGACCTAAGGAAGGTCCTACATCTCTTTACGACCCCTGACCGTTCACACAGGGGCTCTCACAGCACTGAGTGGAAGGAAGGATCTCAGATATGAGGTATTTTTATCTCGCCGCGTCTGTGTCGTACTACAATATTGCAAGAATAGCCGCCAATATTGCCATAGCTGCCCTCGTTCCTCTAGTTTGGTCAGATATCCCCACTCCCGTACACCGAGCCAGCGCAACCGGTACGTGGGTACAGCCTGATACGCGACATGCAGTCTCATCATACTGCAATACTGCATGAGATACCTCCCCTTACTGCTGTACCTCACATGCACACCATATCCCAATACGGCGAAGTAATCATACTTGGATACTGCATCACAGCTCCATCCGTACTGCTGTACTGGGGCATACTGGAGAATACTGGAGAATACTGCTCCATACTGGTGCATGTGCAGTGCTGCGGCGGGATCTACCACTCGGCTGCCAGACTCACTAGAGCACCCGGAGCCAGAACTCACACTCCCAGGTTGCAACTGCTAGCAGCGGCGCTCGGCGGCGCACCTGGCCTTGCAAGGGCTAGCTAGCTTAATGCCGGCCGCATACTGCAACTGCTGCTGGGCGGTCCTTGCTCAATGGATTGATCCAGCGCTCGTCGATGGGCAGTCCTAAAGAGGCAACGAGGCATCCTGAAGAGGCCGGCCTATCCTGCAGCGGCATCACAAACAGGTTGTGGTTGCAGGTGCGCGCGCGCCCACGCACACGCAGAGCCACCACGCCGCCTCTTCCCACTCCCACTGATGCGAGTTTGACTGTGGCGAGGTGTGACTCATGAGATGTGACTCTCGTGGGTGGTGGCGGAACACGGCGATCAAGCAGGGGTGCTAGGACGGGACGCACCAGACGGGATGAACCAATGGATTGTGTCCACCGTCCCCAGAATGCGCAGTCCGCAACCGTCGTACTTGTGGCTGAGCTCGTCGCAACGCGGAGGGAGGAGAGGCCTTTGTGGATTTGTGCCCCGATGATCCACAGCACGGCGATCGCTCTGTCGCCAAGCCCCACGGAACGGCGCACTAGTGCAAGTCGCGCCGCACCCCAAGTGCCCCCGACCGCGCCTGGAAAAAGAAAAGAAAGCGTCTGCCTTACTGAAATATTCGAATCAGAAAACGGGGGGCTGGCGCTGCACCAGGCCAATGGCTTGGGACGCAAGCGCAATCTGCGCCACAACACATCGCACAAGCGCAATCTGCGCCACAACACATCGCACACGCAAGCAGATGACCACACAATCCGCTTGTGGTCGCTTCTGGTGGGCGGCAGGACGTTGCCGACCGCGCCGCTGTATTTGTCCCAAGCCGTCTGCAACGTGCTTGGAAGGAAGCCAGTGTCATACAGTGTACCGCGCCTGGTGCCACAGTCCCGCACGGTGTAGGTCAGGGGCATGCCCGCCACGAGGGCGAGCATGCCGACCGAATGCATGTGTCGCACAAACCTCATATTCGTGCGTCCCCCCAAATTTAGGTATTGAAGACTCTGCTTCCGTCCTTCTTTTGTTTTTTTCATGTTGAGGACTTGCCACTCGAGAGGCCGCCGTCGACTCTCCAGCAAAGGCGACGCGCCACTGCGCATTGAATCGCATGTTTCCCGAACCGCACACACAAAAACGACTCACGCACATACCTCGTGCGCACGGCTGCCGTCTTGGTGCAACGAACGAGGCTGGCAGATAGCGCGACCGCAGACTGGCAAACGCGACAGGACGTTGCCCAGGACAAGAGCGGCTCCAAAGTTTGGTCTCTTCATTCATTTAGGAACGGGGACGAGATGTCCACATTCAGCTTGCCTGGCCAGACATACTCCTGTGCTGACACGCAGCGCCAAATACAGCCGGCACCAGCATTCGTGAGAACTCTTGCCGTGCGCACCCCCGTACAACATCCTGTTACCACTACCTTCGGCACTGCGGGATTGATGCATTTGCTCGAGCCGTCCCATTCCAACGCCAACGATTGCGACTTTGGAGCTACTGCCAGCTTCTCACCTCTCCCCCTCGATGTGCACATGCACATGCACACATTACGTATGTGTCGCTTCCCGACGTTGCGCACTCGGTCGGGATCAAACACGAGGACAGTGGCGGCCCTGGCAAAACTGCGCAGCATCACCGGTTTCAAGATGAGCAAAATTGAGCCAGAGGCGCGCTACCTGCTGTGTCACTGTCTGGCCCGATGCCTCCCCTCATACTGCTGTACTGGGCCATACTGGAGAATACTGGAGAATACTGGCAGATACTGCACTGGTGCTTCCGAGATACTGCGATACTCCAAGGCTCGACATACCCAAGTATGATGCAGTACACCAGTACCCATACTCTGGGAGGCGCCCGGCGTACCTGCATACGTCCTAGCGTGCCGCGCCTACTGCCATATTGCGTCGTATTGCGCCGCAGCCTCCCAGTTACTCCGCTACTTCGCCCACACACTGAAAGAGATAAAATCAAGTATTAAAGTATGTGTACTTGTGATTGGACTGGAAATACGTGTGTATTTCAGTTCAGCAGTGTTGTACTAGCATACTCCCATACATGAATTATACCTGAAATCCTCCTTTCCACTGAAGGTTCACGGCCGACTACAGTGTCCGGGGCCTGCTCACCACAGTTAGCACGCGTTCCGGCCGCTCTTGCCGCTCTGGCATCGTGGTGATGGTGTGGTCGTGCCAAGTGTGCACCTTCGAGAACGTTCACGACGAATATCTCGCGTGCGAGGTCTGCACGAGCGAGCGCGACGCGGCTCGTGGCAGCGCTGCTGACCAGGATCCTCAATGGCGTGTCCGACTCCACACGTCCTCCGCCACGCACCTCCCAGCTCCGCCCGAGGCCAAGCGGCCCAGACTCGCGCCGAGTGCTGAGTCCGCACCGGTCGGCGGACCCGCGCCTGCCGCTCCCGCTCCCGCGCCCGCTGCTCCCGCTCCCGCGCGAAGCATTGCCAACGTGCTGCGCCCAAAGAGGAGCTCCGACTTCGCCGGCTCCGTCACAGTCAAGGTCGGAGCCGAGGCGCCGCGCCGCGTGGCCGATGCGTCGCTCCACCAGTATGCGCCGGCTGCGTTCGCGCGCGACTTCCTGCCGGCAAGGGAGGCGCATGCCTTGCTGCGGCTGCTGCACGCCGACGGCGCCTCTTGGCGGCGGCACCCGTGGTTCATCTTCAACCAGTGGCGGGAGACGCCGCGGTGCAGCAAGGGCTTTCGGATGGAGGCCTCGGCCGCTCCGTCGCGTATCTGCGGAGAGCAGGGCGACGGCGAGGCGAGGCACGGGTCCATCTACGCTCCGGCGGACGCGTCGGCGGACGCGTCGCCAGACCTGCTCGCCGCGCTCCGCAGCGCGTCAGCCCGGCTCGCGGAGCACGTCGCGCAGATCCGGCCCGGGCGAGCCGCGCCGTGGCTCCCGACGCTCGCGCTGGGCAACCGGTACGCCGACCACCAGGACTCGGTCGGCGCGCACTCGGACTACCTCGGCGAGCTCGGCCCGAGACCGATCATCGTCGGCCTCGCGCTCGGAGCCTGCCGCGACTTTGTGCTCGCGAGCCGCGCCGCCGACCCGCCCACGACGGTGCGGATCCCGATGCCGCACAACAGCATCGTTGTCATGTGGGGCGAGTGTCAGGAGCGGTGGGACCACGCCGTCCCCGCGTGCGGCGAGGGCGCCGTCCTGCGGCACGCGCTCGTCGGGCCGGTGCGCTACTCGCTCACCTTCCGCATGAGCCGCGCCGCCGAGATCTCGCGGCCAAAGTGCCGCTGCGACAAGCCCGCCGAGCTCAAGTGGCGCGGCACGGGCTATCGGTGGTGCTGCGCCGGCCACGCGCCTCGCGGCGACGAGCACACCAGGCCCGACGCGCCTCCGCCGAGACACCCCTGCGGCTTTTCCGCCGAAAGCCCGTGGGCAACCGCGGAGGCGGCGCGGCTCGCCGCTGCGGAGCCCGAGTATGCGCGGGTCGTCCAGCCGACATGATATGTATATTCATTGTCATATACTTTTCTTCGCGTCCCCTTGTGTGCCCCGTGGTGAGGTGTGGTGCCTCAGGGTGGATCATCGCTACCTCGCGGATCGGTGTTGACACCCCATCTAGCCCACGGAGAATGGACGCTGTCCGACACAATGAAGGAGTCCGACGTTATCACAGAGTCCGAGGGATGCGCGTCGTGTGGTTCGACGCCCAGGGCATCAAGCTTGACGTAGAAGTCCGTGATGCGGACAGAGTCGGTAGGGTGGACGTCGTGGGGCTGGACGCCGTAGTGGGGCTGGACGCCGTAGTGGGGCTGGACGCCGTAAGTTGGCGGCCACCAATTATGCGGCTGGCTGCCGAAATTTGGCATTCGTCCGATCGTCGGCGGTTGGCCAAAGGTCGGCTGGCTTGTCACGGCTCCGCCGACCGCGACGATAGCGAGCGACGCCAGAGTCCAGAGCTTGCAAGCCGACCGCCGCCAGTACGCCAACTCTTTGTTCTCGACAGGCAATACGGGCTCGATGGCGGTCAGCTGTACGGGCTCGATTGTGGTCAGCATCGCCGCCGAGCAAGCAAGGGGCAAGGCAACGCGGCCGAAAAGAAATCGCCCGGGCTTTAAAATCCCTGTGTGGTGGCGGCGTGCCGTCCTCCCATCCCTCCCTTGGGTTGTCTGCGTCTGAACCACAGCGTGTCCCGACTCGACTGCCGGCGTCCCAGTCCGGGGGTGTTTCTCTTCTTATCCGTTACCATGTAGAGCAACGCCGAGGGCGGGCCCTTTCGGGCTCGGGCCGCCCTCTCGCCCGCACCTCTGCGGGGCTCGCACGTGGTAGCGGCGGTCTGCTCACGACAGTGAGTGGGCTCTTCACGCTATCCACTGCGCCGCGGCTACGCCGCGCCCTATCCAAGCCCAGGGCTTGGTTCGCCGATAACCGCATCTCGCTCTGCGCATCTCTGAGGCTACCCGCGCGCCGACTGCTACGCGCGCGGCGAGAGGCGCACCCCATCAGGGACAGGATTGAGGCCCCTGTACGAGCTCGGCAACGCCGCCGTCGTTGCCCTCCCGAGCCCTCAACACCGTGCTGCACATAGCGCAACCCGTACTGCGCACATACCGCAGGGAGGAGTTTTCACTCAACCATCCGAGTTTCTCCTTCCTGCAGGGCGAGAGACATCGGCCTCTCTACTTCCAGGAGAACATCTACGCCACACGCTATCCCGACGGTCCACAACCCACACTGCAGTCGATCCAGCCCTCGCACTCCCCACTGGAGATCTAGCGAGGCCCCCCAGGCTGGGACAGGATTGGAGCCCCTGTGCTGCGTCTGTGGTGATATGTGGGGGACACTTTCTCCTCCCTATTCATGTCAGTGACTCGACTGCGTCGAGGGGGGGGACGTCTGAACCACAGCGTGTCCCGACTCGACTGCCGGCGTCCCAGTCCGGGGGTGTTTCTCTTCTTATCCGTTACCATGTAGAGCAACGCCGAGGGCGGGCCCTTTCGGGCTCGGGCCGCCCTCTCGCCCGCACCTCTGCGGGGCTCGCACGGTCTGTTTTCTTTCTTTTTTTTCCGCGGCGATGCCCGATCGCCGATGCGCCCTCCCCCCTCGCTTTTGCAAAATCCTGCAAAGGTGGGGACGTTTTTGTCCTCGAACCAGCCCTAGGCCTAGCTTGGGATGTCCGTTTTAATTATTTATTTTTGGATTTTGGAATTTTTGTCTAGTTCTAGAGAGAGGATTTTTGAAGACCAACAAGAAATCTTCTCTTCTCATAGTCTCTAGTTCTATGACTATGGCCGACTACACGGAGTTATAGGGTGTTGTGTGCCGTCAGAGTGACTCTCTGTGTGTCAGGGATAGTCAGGGCCGTCCATTAGAGCTCCAGTAAGCTCGGAGACACCCCATTAGCGCGGCTTGACCTCTTTGAGTCACTGCCTTCCCGCGGTTTTGCTGTAGAGCCTCTACAACAAACTCTACTAGAGAACACAACCCCCTCTCTCTTTTCTCCCAGTAAGCTAAAAGTACGTACGTACAACAAAATCGCGCTCTACATCGCTCTACAACGCAGGCGCTTCGTCCCGCGGCGGATGTAGAGCTCTAGAGCTCTACAGCGCTCTACAGCTCTACAGCTCTACAGCGCTCTACACTCTACATCCTCTACACCCTCCCTCAGCCTCAACCTCTCATAGATAGACCAACGCAAAAAGCGCCATAGAACGTATTGTCTTGTCGATAACAAGGTCTGTGTGCGCCATAGAGGTATTTTCTTCTCAATAACAAGGCGTCTCCCAGTGAGACGATGGAGAGGGGGGGACGATACTGCTCGATCTACCCCCCGGGGTTCCTCAGCAGCAGCGTGCACCTCGATCCTGTACCGTGTTTGTTATGACCGCCCCAATGAGCACACCAGCGAGGGAGGGCGAGACGATCGAGGGGTCCCGTACCATGCGGAATCGACCCTATCCAGTCAGTGCTCAAGTGCGCACAAGGCTGTGTTTTACCTCAACAAGTGAAGCTGTGGAACAAGGCTGTGAATGAGGTGTTGCATGTCACTGTCATCACTGTGCGATTTCGGGCCCGGGGTTGTGCGTTTACGTGAATGAGGTTGCCTGGCGGGCGAGGGCGGGCGAGGCTCGAGCTAGTCCTCCCGTCCTCGCAGGAGTCGCTTAGGCGGCTCCGCACGTTTGTCGCACCCCGTGCGGATGTCGCAGTGCCCTCGCGACAATCGGTGCGATAAGCCAAAGGGGCACGCGGGGTGGTGCCGCACGCAGGGCGGTGCGCGCTCCGGAGCTGCGCGGCGGAGCAGCGGCGCGGCGGCGGCCGATCGCATCGCGCGCATGGCTGCCCTCGGAGCCCAGCGCGGCATGACCAAGGCGGAGAGGCGCCAGCAGCGAGTGGAGGAGGAATGGGGCGGCTCGGACGATGAGGAGCGGCAGCTCGAGAGCGGCAGCGAAGAGTTTCCTGATTTTGAGGAGGAGGGCGAGGGCGAGGAGGAGGCGACGGCCGGCCGCCGCCGCGCGCGGAAGAGCAGAGCGGCGCCTGCAGAGCGGCGGCGCACGGCTGCCAAGCGGGCTCGCGAGGGGGGAGTCGAGGCCGACTCGTCTGAGAGCGGAGGAGCGAGCGCCGGGAGTGGAGCGGCTGGCGAGGGCGGCGGCAAGGCGGCGGGCTTTGGCGGCCACCCCGACAGCGCGTTGGAGGCGGTGCGGCTTCCGCGCGCGCGGCTCGAGATGTGGCAGGTCGAGCCCGTCTTCGAGACGAAGAGGCGGCGATTACGGACGGAGTAGTTCCGATCTGCTCGCTACTCCTCACAGGTCGAGCCCTTCTTCGAGTCGATGGCGAAGGGATGCCTGGTGCGGATCGGCATCGAGCACGACGGCTCGAAGCTCTACCGCGCCGCACTCGTCGCCGGCGCAGCGCGAGGGTCGCGGGCGGAGTCAACTCGGCGACACCTCGGCCGCATCTCGGTGCGTCTCGGCTCAGGCGTCGCGCAGGGCTGCGAGCCGTACAGCCTTGCCGGCCGCAAGTGCTGCAAGAAGCTGCAGCTCGACTTTGGGGAGGCGCGCGAGGGATCCGAGATGAGGCGAGAGTGCCCGAGATTGCATTTGGGGAGGTGCGCGCGAGATCTCCCCAGAGCCGCCGACCCCCAAAGCCTCTCCTTGATGGCCAACCCTCAAAGCCCCTCCTGGAGGCAGAGGCAGCGCGAGCCGCCCTCGACGCTCGTGGGGGAGGCGCGCGCGCGCGCACTGCTAGGCGACGCTGCCCTACCCGATGACCGTCGTCTCCAACGGCGAGCTCTCGAGTCGAGCGGCGCGCACTTGAGCCCTCGACGCGACCTTTCGCGGCGCCTTCCTGCAGGCGAGTTCGAGGCCGTCGAGCTGCGCGCCTTTGAGCAGGTGCTCGAGGCGCGCGGCCGCTCGCCCTTCTCGGGAGCGCGGCTGGCGGAGAAGGCGGCCGAGCTGCGCCGCGCGGTCGCCGGCGAGCGAAAGTCCTACTCTGAGGCGGAGGTGACGCGGATGGTCAACCAAAACAGCCAAAACAAAGCTGCCGGCGCGGCGCCCCAGCTCACCGCGAGGCAGAAGCTGGCGCAGCGGGCGGGCGTGGGGAGCGGTCATGTTGCGGTGGCGCGGCCGATGCAGATGCAGTACGACCGCTTCGGGCGCGCGATCGTGCAGGAGCAGCAGGGGAGCTGAGAGGGTGCTGCTGCTGCGCGCCGGCCAGCTCGGCCTCCTGGACGACAGAGGCAGCAGGGGTCGCCGGCCGGGAGTCTGCTGAAAGCTGGCTGGCTTACGATTTTCCCACGCGCAACGAGCGCGCTTTCGCGGGTGCGTTGCGTCAGGACGGAGTGTAGAGAGGTCTTTCACGGAGGGGGGGGGCGGAGAGCGGAGTCACACGCCCGTCAGCGTCACAAAAACGTGTGTGTAGCCGTAGGAATAAAAATACGTTGCAAGAGTGTTGTCAAGAAAGTCCGGGCCAATCCGTCATCCGCTAGAGGCGCTACGATGTACGAACAGGCCTCGAATATAAGTACCGTGTAGGAGAGGAGGCTGCGCTGCACACAAGCACACGGGCGGGAGGCAGGGGCTTCTCCTGCGGAGTCGTGCGTGCGCAGGCTCCTCTCTTTGTGCTTTCTTCTACTCCCTACTATCATCTCGTTCCCGTCTCCTACCAGAGAAGTACCGTGTGTATAGCCGCGTGAGCCGAGGGCTCGGACTGGACACCAGCGAGGTATGGGTGAGAACGCAAGACAGTGACGGCACGCTGGAGCGACACACAGACACACAAACTCACAAGACACTCGAATGGGAGAGTCGTGTTCGTTTCGATCCATTTTTCGGTCTTCCCCACTCATAGTTGCTGTTCACAGAAAAACACAACCCCGGTCCAACAAGCGACGCTCTTCACAGAATCACCCCACCACCACGATCGAAGACGCCTCTTGCTATTCACTGCCCACTCGCCATGCCACGCTCCAAAAAGGGATCCGCAGTGCCGCGCGGGGCAGCACCACCGCAGAGCGCCGGCCGGAGCAGCAGCTCGCAGAGCCGAAACCTCAAGCCGTCAGCGGGCACGGTCGGCGGCGCCGCCGCAAACTACCGACTTGAGATCCTACAGCTGGAGCCGTGCGCGCTTCGAAAGCGTGGCGGCGATGACGATGACTACTTCAAGGGCGGACAGGCGTGCTGTAGTAGCACAAGGGTGGCAGCCTGCTTGGCACGGTGCCCGGTACCCGACGCCCAACGTACCGCACCTGCCGCCCGACCACAGCGCACGGCCGCGCCCCGTTTTTGCAGGTGTGCGCGCTTCTGGCACTCCCCGACCACGCCCTCGTCGTGGCGGGTGGCTGCACCGTCAGCGCGTACGACATGCGCTCGCTCGAGGCCCTGCAAGATGGGCCGGTGGATCTGCTGGCCAGCCTTGTTCGTTGCCCGGTGCGGAAGACGTGTACAAACTGTACTGGGGTGGGTTTGCAAACACACAACAATGCTGAAAGCATGTAGGTCTGCGAGCGGCTGCTCGATCCGCCGTGCAGCAAGCCGAACGAGCCTGACGTCAAGGAGAACGCGGTTCTCACGCTGGAGCGGAAGGGCGCGGTCCTGCGCATCTCATCCATTCAATGAATATTGTTCCTGAGGTACATCTCTCGTTTGTGTCAGGCGAGCCCGGCTTTTGGACGCCGCGGCTCGTTTGCCCCTCGTGCCTCCTCTCTCTCGTCAACGAGCAGCCGGTCCCGTGGTCAAGTCTTTCGGCCCTCCCCGAGCAGCGCCTGCTCCCACCTCTCGAAGACACCCCCTTCGACATCGATGAAATATCGCGCGTGCTGGGCCTCGGGGCCTGCCTCGGCTCTGCTGCTGTGTCCGCTCCCCTAACCGACCTCCTCGGAGCGTGGTTCGCCACGGGGCTCCACGATTCGCTGGCGCTCACTATGGACACTCCGCCGCCCGTGACCAAGGCAGTGAAGGCGTGCGCAAATCCAAGTTGCTCGACGGGAGTCTTCGCCGGGCTCCAGTGCTCCCGCTGCAAGGCCGTCAGCTACTGCAGCAAGGATTGCCAGGCACTGCATTGGAAGGCGCACAAGAAGTCGTGCAAGTGCTCCGCGAAGCTGTGAGCAAAGCCATCGTGCCTTGTGTGGCAGACCGTGTAAAGCCGTAATACGGGGGTCGGCCGGGGACACAGGGGAGCGGGAGTCATCGGCTCGAGGGCTCGAGAGCTCTCCGTCGGCCAGGAAGCAGGATCCGATGTGAGGGGAAATATGTGTAAATCTCGCGCACATCGCGGAGGTGCAGCGCACGCAGCGCGCGATTTGAATATGTTTGTGAGCGCGAGGAGACGAAGAAGAGTCCGAAGAGAGAGCTCAGAGCTGAGGCCTGAGCACGTGGAGCTGACGTGAGACCGCGAGAGCTCACACTCTCCTCACATGCGAGACTGGTGTTCTCCTCCGCGCTGCAAGAGGGGCGTGAAATCCTGCTCCCTTCCTCCCTTGCTCGTGCCTTGTACACACAACATGCTCCACAGAAAACACAAAGAGACCGCGTGCACCTATAAATATAAGGAGGCCCGGCCGGCCTTGAGGGAGTCGCGGAGGAGGAGGGATAACGGAGGCAACGCAGGGACGGGCCAACAGCCAGTGGGACGAAAACGAGGGCCGCGACGGCGGCTCGGCGGCTCAAGCGGGAGGGAGCGGAGACGGTGGGCAGCGAGCGAAGTGGTGAGACTGATGATGCTCCTTCGACTTAGGGAGCGGTTCAGCTGCTGGGCGGGCTTCAGGGTGGTGCTTACGCGAAAAGGAATCGACGCGTCGCGATGTGCAAAGAGCATACAAGAAGAGGAGAAAGAAGAGGAGCGACGCCGGTGATGACGAAACAGAAACTATCGCAGACGAGAGCAGGGCAGACCCGGGGACGGTGGAGTCGGAGCAGACGGCATCGGCCGCCGAGAGGGAACGTTGCTTGGGAAGAGGCACAAGGTAGAGGGCCCACAGCGTCCTAATCTAAAATCTGAGGATTAAGGATTCAGACTTCGCTTTAGTGAGGCCAAAGTGAGTTTATGGATGGGTGAGAACGATGCGCGACACGGGGAGGCACGCGGACCGACTCGTCGGCGACTATGCTGCACGCCGTTTCAGAAATTTTCTCAGCGTGAGCGAGACGTGGAAGAGTGCCACCGTCGGGTAGGACGGGTCGGCCCGGAGCATCGGAGTAGCCGTCGTGGTCGCGGCGAGCAGCGCCGGCCACTCCGGCGCCGCGTCGGCAACATGGGAGCATGTCCACCGCCACTTCGCGGTCGCAGCACTGTTTGTCGCGGGCCAAAGATCGACTCGCATGTCGATTTCGACTTGACGGCGGCATGGAGGCATCACGTCTCCATGCCGCCGTCAAGTTGGAGCCAGTCTGCGGCGACCACAGCGCTCACCGCAGGGATATGCGAGCTTTTCAGAGTCAAGCGATTGCGCGAAATCCCACACTGGTGGATTTTGGGGCGCTGTGGGCCCCCTACACAAGGAGGGCGGCGACCTCAACCGACTATGCGGAGGACCCGCCGCCAGACGACGCAGGGCAGACGACGGGGTCCGACGGTGAGGCGGAGCAGTCGCGCAGGGCGAGACGAGGGAGGGAGCAGGACGTTGCGGAGATCAGCAGGAGGATGTACGAAGAGATTAGGAGCAGGCAGCAGCAGGGACCCGAGGGACCATGTGGAAGACGGCTAGTGCTAGTCCCCCCCATCGGGGAGGACGACCCCGGCTAGTCGCCGACCACACCCACAAAGAACCCTGCACAAAGATCGCAAGGGCGGGGACCTGTTCCTTTTCACCCATCTCCTAGTAGAGCTAGAGGTGTCCGTTTTTATTTATTTTATTGGAAATATATCAAGTCACCTCACCTTTCGCGGTGTGCCACATGGGTAAACAGCGAGAGGTTGTAGCCGAAGCGGCCGGCGAGCGACGCCACCTCCGCCGCCAAAGCAGCGTCCGCCCGCCGAAGCGAGTCGAGCGTCACCTCCAGCCGGCGCGAGCCTCCTCGCCCGTTTCTCACGTTGACTGTGCCGTGCGTCTGCCCATGGCCGCCGCCGCCGCGGCGTGTTCGCGCCTCGTCCTGGCCGCCGCACCGCACGCGCAACGCCGCGGCGGTAGAGAGCGGCAACGTACCCCCACCTTCTGCTAGCCTCGCCTCTCCAGCTCGCTCGCCTTCTGCTCTCGGCGCTGAGTCTGCGGCGGCCACGGCGGGCGTGGCAGAGGCGGAGGCGGCGGAGGCGGCCGAGTCGAGGACTCCGGCCAAGCGGAGCACGTCGCACGCCGACGTGGCCTCGACGCGGTACACGCGAGGGGGCGGGCGCAGCGAGAGCATCCGCGCATTGTATTGCACCCAGAACCATCCGATCCGCCGGGAGCACTCGCCCGCCGCCGCCTCCTCGGCCTCGGCCGTCGCCTTTGCGTGGCGTCGCCTCCGACGACCGCCGCAGGCACGCAGAGACGCCCTCCGGCCCGGAGGCCGCCTGCACGCCGTCTCGTTGCCGCGGGCCGCCTCTCGGGAGCGCGGCGCGGCGGGAGGCGGGAAGAGCAGCGCGGCGGTGTCAAGCATCAGCGAGGCGTCCGCTGCGGCGGCCGTGTCTTGGCCGTGGCAATAGGCGGCGAGCATCGACGCGATGGTGTGCAGAGGGTGGCGCACTTGCAGCAGGGTGGCGCGGAAGGGAGAGGTGCAGCGCGGACTGCCGCCGCCGCCGCCTCGCGCGCAGCCGATCTCGCGCCGCAGAACCCGCTCGCACTCTGCCTGCCAGCACGGGCCCCACGGAGTGCCACGGACAGCACACGAGAGGCCGTTCCCCCACGCGCCGCCGTCAATCCTCCATGGTCCGAGCGAGTTTGGCCGAGGCCGCGCGCACAGCGCACCCACCAGCGACGCCCTCTCGCTGCCGTCGCCGATCTCCGAGAAGCGGAGGGCGCCGTGGATCCACGAGACGGTGCCGTCGCGGCACACCGTGCCGATCGAGTCGGAGTTCTCGTGCGCCACCTGGAGGCCGAGCTCGCGCAAGGCTTTCGTCATCTGGGTGGTGCCGGAGGACGGCGTTCCCACCACGAGCAGCGCGCGCTCCGCCGAGAGTGGCAGCGCCGGCCTGCCCGAGAGCGAGGAGACGGCGAGGCATTCGAACGGCTGCGACGCACACCAGCGTGCGTACCGGATCGGCTCAGGGAGCCAGTACAGCAGCAGGACGAGGAGGGTGCCCAGGAGGCACGTCAGGCTGAGGCGAGGAGACAGTTCAGTCTTCTGTGCGTGCATTTACCAGCAGGCTGTGAGAAAAAGAAATCCTGCGGCCGCCTCCCGAAACCGGGGCGCCCGGTGGGGAAGTCCCAAAGAACACGTCCTGAAGGCGGCTACGGACGGCCGTGTGGGAACGGTGCGATCGTGGCTGAATGACCCCCGGGACTCGCGCGTGGCGACCACCTTGCGGAGTCGCTGGGGAGGGTCAGATCATGCACTGACGGGTGTGCGTGGGCGTTGTCGCTGTTCGCTTTTGAGACGGGGAGCCGGCGCGGGGAGGAGTCAGGAGAGCGGGGCCGGGGATAAAGCATGTATTACAGAGAGAAGCGAAACCGATCCTCCCAGCCAACCTGCGCAGCCAACCTGCTTGCTGCTACGTACCTGGAGAGATGACCCTGATGAGGGGAGACGACAGGAGAGAGAGACCCCGCGACATTCGACATTGCCGCGCACGTGAGTGTGTGGACAGATAAGTGCTGTCCATCTGACAGATCTCGAGTATATCTATTTTCATAACTGAACTGACTCTCAGCGTTTACTATAGTGTGTTACTATGATGTGCTATGTCGGTGTGCTCGCAAGCACGGTACAAGAGAGAGTTTCGCTCTGTGACTGTGTGTGTTGCTCGGAGCTAGTTCTAAAGTGAGTGAGGTAGAGCACCCCACACCGGTCTGGACCCCGGCGCGCGGCGCGCATAGGCGCGTATCAAGAAACAGGGCGGCGCCAGCGATGTCGTCACGCGCCGATGACGCGCCCGCCCAGCATCGCATTCATCGGCTCGAACAGCATCCCCTTCCACCCGCGCTCGGTGCGCTCGCGCTCGTCCTCCGGCACGCCTGGCGGACGTGGCGTGGACGCGTCAGTGGCGTGTCAGAGGGGGGGGGGGGGTAGGGGGCTCGAGGGAGAGGAGAGGGAAGGGGTGTGGCAAAGGGCCGCCTGTCTGCTCGAGGGTGAGCTTGGTCGAGCCGTCGTCCTGCTTGACCATCGTGATGAGCACCGTCGACCAGTGGCTGCGGCGAGGAGGGGAGAGGGGAGGGGAGGGGAGCGAGAGGAGGCGGGGTGTGAAAGGCGAGGAGGGGCGGAGGAGAGGCGAGGGGAGACGGGCGAGGCGCGTGGAGAGGCGAGGGGAGGGGAGGTGGGGAGGCGAGAGGCGAGAAGAGGTGCAGCAGCGGCGCACGCCGCGGCTGCCTCTCGGTTGCCTCTCGGCTGCCTCTCGGCTGCACCTCGGCTGCCACGTCGAGAAGCGCCACTTCCACTTGATCACCGCCCGCTCGCCGTCAAAAGGTTTGAGCTCCGCGTTCTCGCCCTCAACAGCGCCCGAAAACATCATCAGCTTGCCGCCGACCTCAGTCGACATGCTCGCGTCGGAGGCCGTGATGCCTCGGATGCGCTGCGGTGTCGAGGGCGGCGGGGTTCGCGCGGCGTCAGGGGGGGCAAGGGCTGGAGGGAGAGGGAGGGGGAGGGGAGGAGCCGGTCGGGCGGCAGCGACAGGCGGGCGGCGTCTTTGCCAGCGAGGCTCTCTCGGCCCTGTGGCACGATGGGGCTCGGCGGGTGGCGGAGGAGGAGGCTGCTCGGAAGCGTCGCCTGCGTGTCGAGCAGCGTCTCATACAGCACGTGCGGCGGCGGGTTGTAGCTGTACACCACCTGCCGGGGGGCGGGGGGGGGGGGGGGGAAGCCTTTAAGCGGCGGCGGCGTTGCGGCGGCGGCGGCGGCAGCGGTGGCGGCGGCGGCGGCGGGAGAGGGAGCAGGAGGCACCTTGACGGCCCCAGTCTTTGCCGTCTCTGCCGACGCCGCCACGTACCCCGCGTTGAAGCGCTCGCGCGGCGGCGCCTGTTGCGGCGGCAGCGGCTCGCGATGCGGCAGAGGGAGACCCGAGGTAGCGCGAGAGGGAGGGAGAGCCGAGGTGTCCTCCCCCCCCCCGAGAGCGACCCGAGGCAGATCCGAGCTGGGCAGGCGCAGGCCCCGAGGGGCAGGCCCCGAGGTGTGGCAGCCGGAGGCAGACCGCCGTTTCTCGTGCCCCTTCATCTCGGGTAATCTCGGCTAATCTCGCGCCTTTTGCGGCGGCGGCTCGTGCCCCTTCATCACCGTCTCCTTGAGCTCCTTGACAAAGGCGAGGCAGGCAGCGCGCACCGCCTTGCCGCCCTCCTTGCGGACCAGCTCCTGCGCACAGCGAGCGCCGTGCTGTCGGTGCGAGCAGCCGGCCTCCTCCCCACGCCCTCCCCACGCCCCCACGCCCCCACGCCCTCCTAGCGAGCGCCTGTGAGCCATCTCACCGGTGACATCTCGCCGCCCGCTCGCCGCCCCTCTCGGCCCGCTCTCGGCTCGTCTCTGCCTTGAGCGGCCTCTTTGCGTCGGTCTCTTCGTCGCAGAGGACCGTCATCTCGAGGTCGTCGTACGTCTCCTCGGACAGGTCGGGCACCTTGATCCGCCCCTTTGCCTGCGGGACGGCGGGGAGGCGGGCTGGCGGCGCGCTCGGGCTGGCTGGTGGTGCATTCACTCGCTCCGTGCCATGCATGTGCAACATGCTACGTGTGGCGAGGCGGAGGTGGAGGTGGTGGGAGGGTGATGGAGGTGGACGTAGTGGAGGGAGGGAGAGGGAGGAGGGAGGAGGGAGGAGGGAGAGAGAGAGAGCGCGCCTCCACGGCCGTCCCTCCGCTCGCATCAAAGAGCTGGCCTTCCCATCGGATGGTGAGCTCGAGCTCGTACCTGGGAGAAGGGACGGAGCGAGCCGGTCGGTGCTATGGACGAGCAGCGCCCGACCCGCCACCCGTGCCGCGCACAGAGGGAAGCGCTTCTGCTTGCGCGACTGCACAGTCACATCTCCCTTCATCGTCTCGAGAGAGAGGAGCTTGCCGGCGCTGCGCGTGCCGTCGCCGATGGCGACGCCCTCGAAGCGTGCGCCGAGCTTCTCGCGTGCCCACTCCGTGTAGCTCGTCTCCGACCAGTGCCAGTTGTTCACATTGCGGCCGTCCTGCCGGCGGGAGAGGGCGAGAGCAGTGGAGCGGCCGGCGCAGTGGCGTGGCTGCCCTCGCAGGCACGTGGAGGCCACGCACCTCCCGCTCCTTGACGATCCACCGGTCGTCGCCCTCTCCGAGCTTGGCCATGGGTGGAGGCTCTTGTTCGCGGGTCCAGAGGGCGCCGGAACAATTTGTGGGGGCTACATGACCCGTACGTGAGGGGTGGAGGCTCCCGTCCGCAGAGCTAGGCGGCGCGGGCACCCACACACTCCCACCCCACCACCCAGGGCTCCTGTGCTGCTAGCCGCCTCGCTTCCGCGACACGGGATGGCAGGCACGACTCGGCAACCGCGAGCCGCTCACTCACTCGACCACAAGACCGGCCACGGCTACGTCAAGGCGCATCGCGGTTTCTACCACGACGCGATCTTTGTCAAGCGCAACAACTTCAACCTGCTGCTCCACGAGACGTTCGGCGGCGGCTTCTCGCCCACCGCCGTTCTCAAGCTGCGCCGCCTCGCGCGCAAAGTCGCGCGCGGCAGCGTTGACCGCACGGCCTACTCGCCCAAGTACTCGCTCTCTTTTATGTCCCACCATGCAGAGCGCATCTCTCTCTCTGTTGTGCGAGGCGTGAACCGCGCCATTCGCTCTCACCTGGCAACCCTGTCTGCACGTCTCGCGCGCGCGTGAACAGGGCTCCAGGCCCCAAATTACGTGTGAGTGTTAGAGTTGTTTGGTATTGCTAAAAATCTCTCTCTCACTCCCCCAGTCCCATTCCAGCATCTTCCCCGCCTCCTCCACCGGGCGGATCCGCTCCCGCACCGCCTCCCTCACCACCTCGCGGTCGCGATCACTCATGCACATCCCGAAGGAGCACCGGAGCCACTCTCGCGTCGGAGCGCAAAGTCCTCCTGGTCGGCGCCGGGTCCCGCCCCACGCGCCACTCGCGCCGGCGGGTCCATCCACCAACGGCCGGGGCGGGACCCGCACCGGGCGCGCCTCCACCACACGCTCGTTGTCGCCGTTCTTCATCGCGAGCTCCTCCGCCCGCAAGCGCGCCTGCACGCGCTTTGTGCCGGGCTGGATGTTCTTCTCGATCCATCCAGCGCAGCTGCTTAATATCCAGCGCATACACCACCTCGCACAACACCCCGTCGACGAATTCCAGCTCCTTCGGCTCCTCGCCGGCGACCCAGCGGCCCTTGCCCGAGAAGTGCGTGGGCACCAGCCGCCCCATGGCTGCCGTCGCGCGTCGGGCAAGTAAAACAAGAAATCCTATCGTTTGGTTTTGTTTCTTTCCCTTGGGTTGTCTGTTTTCTTTCTTCCTTTCTTTTGGGGGGTTCTTCTAGCAAATGTATGTATGTATGTAGGAAGGTGCAATTTACTTCCTCCTTTCCAATAAATGTAAAAAGAAATCCGCGCGCCAGACTGCCGACAGCCATGCACTACCAGATCACGCTCTCTCTCACCTCGGCCGCCCTCGCTCGTCCGCGCCCAGAAATCAAGCTCCCCGCCGTCGCCGCTCGTGCCCCGCCCACTCGCCTGCGAATTTCGCAAGCGGATGAGGATGGGGACGACGGTGCTGCGCTCTTCCGACCCTACTCGCCTGCTGAGGAGACGGTCACCGTCCCCGAGTCGTCGAGGCGGCTCTTTGTGACCCTCCTCACGGTGCCGACGCTGGCTCTTCTAGCTGGCATAATCACGTACAATCCGACCGCCGACGAGCTCCGCGAGGAGCAGCAGCGCAAGGCGATGCGGCTGCGTGGGGGCGGCGGTGGAGCAGCGGCGATGGACCTGGTCGTCTCGATGCTCGTGCTCGTCGCCGTCTCGGCAGCGGCCCGCTCGAGCTCGCCGCTTCTCGCAGCCGTCTTCTCCACGGCTCCCACCGGAGTGCCTCTGAGCCTCTGGCTCGTGCGCCGCGCTGCTCCTTCAGCTGGCGGGTCGAGCAGCGCAGCCTTGGACCAGTTTTTGACCTCGTGCATAAAGGGCGTGCTTGCGCTGGCGGGCTTTTGCTGCGGCGCGCTCGCGGTGGTCCGTAAGACTGGCGGCCCTCCGACGCTGCCGGGTTTGTTGGTGGCGGGATACGGAAGTTGGGCGGCAGCGTGGCTGCTGCTACGCCGCCTGTAACGGGATGGGGTCGACGGAGAGCAAGAGGTGGCAGTGAGTCTAACCCCGACATTTCTACTTTCTTTGCACTCAACATTCACCATACCACGATACAGAGCGAGAGACATACGTACGGCTATACCACCGGCACCCCGCAGCGCAGCTCGCGGCTGCGAGAGGGAACAATCGAATTCTCACACAGTCCCTCACTGCTGTTATGAATAAGAGAAGAGAAGGAGGGCACGACGGGAAAACGTACTGAATTGGTGATTGTCAAGGCACCCCGAAGCCAAACCTGACCCACTTCCCCGCGTGCCCCGGTTTGGCATCCATGCCCGTCGCCGTCGCCACAGCGGCCCGCTCGGCTCTGTCCAGCCCGAGCAGAAAGTCGATGTCGTCGAAGCCCTCGGAGTCAAACGCGGCGGCGTAGGACTGCAGCCCGATGCGCCCGAGCGCGTCGGCGACGGCCGCCATGCCGCCATTGTCGGGAGGCGCCTCTTTGTGGACGGTGCGGCCGTCGGGCAGGAGCTCGAAGAGGCGGCTCGGAGGCAGGGAGGGCGCGGGCGGGGCAAAGGAGGCGGCGGCGGCGGCGGCGGCGGCGGGAGCGGAGGAAGGGGCGGTGGGCTCTGGCGCGGGCGCAGCGGCAGACTCGCGCGGGCGCTTCGCGGGGCGCGGCGGCGGCGCCGGCCCCTCCTCGCCGACCGCCCGCGCGTACGCCACCGCCGCCTCCACCGCCGAGCCAAAGCAGCCGAGGGAGACATCCTTTCCACCCAAATTGTGCCTCGCCTGGAACCGGCCAGAAGAGGGGTGCGACACGCCCCTGTACCCGGTGCTGCTGATGCTGGAGAGGTGCAAGCGCAAGCCCTCTGCCTCCGCCACCACCGCCACTGCCGGCGCGTGAAGCGTGCAGAACCACGTCTTGCGCCCCGCCTCCGCCTCGCTCCTGAAGCCGGCGCACGCCAGGCAAGCCCAGCGCGAGCAGCCGCCGGCGTCGCACCCGACGGAGGGCGCCATCACCTCGCCCGCCTCGTCGTCGAGCAAAGTGCCGCACTCGCAGCAAGTGGCGGCGGGGGCGGCGGCGGCGGCGGGGGCGGCGGTCTGGAAGGCGGGCGCGGGTGGCGGCGCGGGCGCGGGTGGCGCGAGGGGCGGAGCGCTCGAGTCGGAGAGCGCCTGACAGAACAAGACCGCGACAGGTCTGAGGCGAGGCAGCACGGGTCCGGTATCAGCTCCGCTTCGAGTGCCTTGACCAGCTCGACTCGCGAGCGGTAGTGGCGGGCGGGCTCGGCGAGGCGGAACGCGTAGTAGTCGCCCGCAAAGGTGGCCTGAGTAGCCCGCGGCCTCCAGTGCACCGCCTGCAGAGACGAGGAGAGGTGAGAGCCCAAAGTACCGACCGTGTCCCCGCAGCTCGTCCTCACCCACTGGCCATCGACGTGCACCGTCGCCTCGGGCGAGCCCTCGTCCTTCAAGCGCGCCGCCACCGCCAGCAGCTTTGCGAGAAGCGCCGCCTCCGCCGCCCCAAGCTCCGGCGACTGCAGCCTGCCCTGCGACCCGAGCGCGGCAGCCGCTTCGACGTTCGCCGGGTCGAACGGGCGCTTCGCGCAGCGCGCCCGCTTGGCCGGCAGCGTCAAGTCGTGCGGCCCGCCGTGGCCTGCCGGCAGAATGCAGCCAAAGGCGCCGCCGTTGCACTCGTGCGTGTTGCCGCAGAGCACGACCGCGGCCTCGGCGGGCGGCGCGTGGAATGGCGCGCTCTCGTCGTTGGCCGGGAGGCCGCATGAAGGCGCAACAGTCGAACGCCGCTTTGGCGGCGGCCCTTCCGGCGGCTCGTATGGACGCTTCGACGTGCGGATCCGCTTGTGCGGAGCGCCCGCCGCCCCCGCCGCCCCCGCCGCCCCCGCCTCCTCCGCCCCCTCCGCCCCCGCCGCCTCCGCCGCCGCTCCTGCCGCCTCCGCAACCACAACGTCGCCGTCTGCCGCCTCGGCCTCCTCATCCGTAGCCTCCTCATCCGTAGCCTCCCCTTCCGTAGCCTCCTCATCCACCTCCGCGTCCACCCGGTAGGCCTCGCCCGCCGCCTCGTCCTCCTCGTCCATCGGCTCCGCCACCGCCGCTGCCACTCCCGCACCCTCCTCCAAGCCATTCTCCGCCGCGTCCGCCGCCCCCGAGTCCTCCTCCCACTCATCCTCCGGCGCCTCGCACTGCCGGCGAGCCGGGTCCGGGTGCATCCAGCAGAACCACTCGGCAGGGAGCGGGCCCGGCGTCTCGGCGGGCAGCCGCCGCCACCTGTCGCACCGGTCGCAGGCGACCCACAAGCAGCGGGCCTCGCCCTCCTCGTCCTCGCCCTCGCCCTCGTCCGAGTCGAGCGCCTCGCTGCCGGCCGCAGCCGACCCCTGGGCAGGAGCCTGCCCGACCGCCCGCGCGTACGCCACCGCCGCCTCCACCGCCGTGTCAAAGGTGCCGAGGGAGACAGCCTTTCCGCCCCGCCTGTCCTGCGCCTTGAAGCGCGAGCCGTCCTTGACCACGCCGTTGTAGCCGGTGGTGTTGTTGTTGCGGCTGGAGACGTGCAAGCGCAAGCCCTCCGCCTCAGCCACGAGCGGTGCCCGCCGTGGCGGCGCTGTAGGCACAGGCCCCACCTGGACTGCTGCGGAAGGCCCGCCGGAGGACGACCGCAGCTTCGCCTTGGCGACCGCCACCGCCGCCTTCACCGCGGTGGGGAAGACGCCGAGGTACGTCAGCCGCATGCGATGCCCGTCGTGCAGGCTCACCTGCGCGACAAACTTGAGTCTGCCGCAATCCTCGCGGCGGAAGACACCCAGGTAGCCCGTGGAGCTCTTGCCGTCAGTCTTGAGCTTCCTCGCCCCCCCGCCTCTTGAGGACAGGTGCAGCCGGTAGCCCTCGGACTCCGTCACCAGCCCAGCCGCCGCCTCACCCTCCTCCCCGCCCTCCGCCTCCGCCCCAGCCATGCCCTCCTGCCCCACGACGCTGGCGGCTGACGCGAGGCCCGCCTGCGACTCCGTCGGCGCCACCACCGTGCCTACTGTTGCCGCTTGGGCTGGCCCGCTCGCCGGCGCTGCCGGCCCGGCCGGCGCCGCCGCCTCCTCAGCGACCGCCCGCGCGTACGCCACCGCCGCCTCCACCGCCGTGTCGAAAGTGCCGAGGGCGACGCGACTCTTGCCCACCCTGCGCTTTGCCTCGAATCGGTGGGATTTGGACTGCCGGAACACGCCCTTGTAGCCGGTGGTGTTGTTGCTGGAGAGGTGCAAGCGCAAGCCCTCCGCCTCAGCCGCGAGCGGTGCCCGCCGTGGCGGCGCCGCAGGCACAGGCCCCACCTGGATTGCTGAGGAAGGCACAGACGCCTCGCCGGCAGCCACCGCCTGCGCCGTCGGCGCCACCACCGTGCCTACTGTTGCCGCTTGGGCCGCCCTGGCCGGGTGGCAGTCTTCGATCCGGTCTTTGATCCACTTGGGGTCGACGCCCTCCTCCTCGTCCCCGTCGTCGTAGGCGATGTCCGCCCTCCCGTCGGCGTGCAGCCTTGTCACCGCCCCCTGTGGGAGATGTAGCCGAGTGTGGCCGAGATGTCGCCGAGATGTCGCCGAGATGTGGCCGAGATGCGGCCGAGATCTACCCGAGATGTGGCCGAGATGTGGCCGAGATCCGATGGGGCCGCCGTCACCGGGTAGAACTTTGTGCCGACAGCGCCAAGCGCGGTCGCGCCGAAGCGGGCGCGCACCTTGGCCCCAACGTGCAGCTGCGGCGCCTTCGGCAGCACGGACCTGTCCGAGCCCCCCCCCTCCGACGCCCCCTCCTCCCCGCCGCCCCGTCGCACCGCCGCCTCCTCTGCGACCGCGCGCGCGTACGCCACCGCCGCCTCCACCGCCGTGTCGAAGGTGCCGAGGTTGTTCTGCACCTTGTTCACCATGCGCTGCGCCATGAAGCGGCCGCCGCTGGTGTACACGCCCCTGTAGCCGGTGCTGTTGCTGCTGGAGAGGTGCAAGCGCAAGCCCTCCGCCTCCGCCACGGGCGACGCGTCGAAAGTCGCCTCGCCCTCGCCCTCGCCCTCGCCCGAGGCCGCCTCCCATGCCGTCTCGACGTTGAGCAGAGCTGCCGCCGCCGCCGCCGCCGCCGCCCGCTGCTCCACCTCTGCCGCCGCCGCCTCCGCCTCCGCCGCCGCCGCCGCCGCCGCCCGCTGCTCCACCTCTGCCGCCGCCGCCTCCGCCTCCGCCTCCGCCGCCGCCGCCGCCGCCGCCGCCGCCGCCGCCGCCGCCGCCGCCGCCGGGTCCGCGACCGCCCGCGCCGCCTCCACCGCCGTGTCATAGAGGCCGACGTGGACCTGCCTTCCGTGCTCGTAGCGAGTCGCCACGAACTTGCCGGAGGCGTGCCTGCGCACGCCCTCGTAGCCGGTGCTGCTGCTGCTGGAGAGGTGCAAGCGCACGCCCTCAAACTCTGACGCCGCCGGTGGCTCGCCGACCGCCCTCGCGTAAGCCGCAGCTGCCTCCACCGCTGTGCCGAAGGAGCCAAGAAAGAGCCGCGGGCTCTGCGCGGCGAGAGGGCCAGAGGGCGAGAGGGCGAAGCGGCCAGAGGGCAGCTTGTAAACACTCTTGTAGCCGGTGCTGCTGCTGCTAGAGAGGTGCAAGCGCAAGCCCTCCGCCTCCGCCCCAGCCATGCCCTCCTGCCCCACGACGCTGGCGGCTGACGCGAGGCCCGCCTGCGACTCCGTCGGCGCCACCACCGTGCCTACTGTTGCCGCTTGGGCTGGCCCGCTCGCCGGCGCTGCCGGCCCGGCCGGCGCCGCCGCCTCCTCAGCGACCGCCCGCGCGTACGCCACCGCCGCCTCCACCGCCGTGTCGAAGGTGCCGAGGGCGACGCGACTCTTGCCCACCCTGCGCTTTGCCTCGAATCGGTGGGATTTGGACTGCCGGAACACGCCCTTGTAGCCGGTGGTGTTGTTGCTGGAGAGGTGCAAGCGCAAGCCCTCCGCCTCAGCCGCGAGCGGTGCCCGCCGTGGCGGCGCTGTAGGCACAAGCCCCACCTGGATTGCTGAGGAAGGCACAGACGCCTCGCCGGCAGCCACCGCCTGCGCCGTCGGCGCCACCACCGTGCCTACTGTTGCCGCTTGGGCTGCCGCCGCCCTGGCCGGGTGGCAGTCTTCGATCCGGTCTTTGATCCACTTGGGGTCGACGCCCTCCTCCTCGTCCCCGTCGTCGTAGGCGATGTCCGCCCTCCCGTCGGCGTGCAGCCTTGTCACCGCCCCCTGTGGGAGATGTAGCCGAGTGTGGCCGAGATGTCGCCGAGATGTCGCCGAGATGTGGCCGAGATGCGGCCGAGATCTACCCGAGATGTGGCCGAGATGTGGCCGAGATCCGATGGGGCCGCCGTCACCAGGTAGAACTTTGTGCCGACAGCGCCAAGCGCGGTCGCGCCGAAGCGGGCGCGCACCTTGGCCCCAACGTGCAGCTGCGGCGCCTTCGGCAGCACGGACCTGTCCGAGCCCCCCCCCTCCGACGCCCCCTCCTCCCCGCCGCCCCGTCGCACCGCCGCCTCCTCTGCGACCGCGCGCGCGTACGCCACCGCCGCCTCCACCGCCGTGTCGAAGGTGCCGAGGTTGTTCTGCACCTTGTTCACCATGCGCTGCGCCATGAAGCGGCCGCCGCTGGTGTACACGCCCCTGTAGCCGGTGCTGTTGCTGCTGGAGAGGTGCAAGCGCAAGCCCTCCGCCTCCGCCACGGGCGACGCGTCGAAAGTCGCCTCGCCCTCGCCCTCGCCCTCGCCCGAGGCCGCCTCCCATGCCGTCTCGACGTTGAGCAGAGCTGCCGCCGCCGCCGCCGCCGCCGCCCGCTGCTCCACCTCTGCCGCCGCCGCCTCCGCCGCCGCCGCTGCCGCCGCCGCCGCCCGCTGCTCCACCTCTGCCGCCGCCGCCTCCGCCTCCGCCGCCGCCGCCGCCGCAGCCGCCGCCGCCGCCGCCGCCGCCGCCGCCGCCGCCGCCGCCGCCGCCGCCGGGTCCGCGACCGCCCGCGCCGCCTCCACCGCCGTGTCATAGAGGCCGACGTGGACCTGCCTTCCGTGCTCGTAGCGAGTCGCCACGAACTTGCCGGAGGCGTGCCTGCGCACGCCCTCGTAGCCGGTGCTGCTGCTGCTGGAGAGGTGCAAGCGCACGCCCTCAAACTCTGACGCCGCCGGTGGCTCGCCGACCGCCCTCGCGTAAGCCGCAGCTGCCTCCACCGCTGTGCCGAAGGAGCCAAGAAAGAGCCGCGGGCTCTGCGCGGCGAGAGGGCCAGAGGGCGAGAGGGCGAAGCGGCCAGAGGGCAGCTTGTAAACACTCTGGTAGCCGGTGCTGCTGCTGCTAGAGAGGTGCAAGCGCAAGCCCTCCGCCTCCCTCTGCAAGGGCGGCGCTGCTGGCTCGGCTGCCTCCTCCTCCTCCTGCTCAGCCATTCCCTCCGCACCAGCCATGCCGCCGCCAGCCGCCTCCCCGCCGCCGCCGCCGCCGCCTGAAGCCGCATCCCCAGCACAGCAGAGGGCTGCCGCCGCCCGCTGCTCCACCTCTGCTGCTGCCGCTGCAGCCGTCGCCGCCGCCGCCTCGGCCTCCGCCTCCGCCTTTCGCGCCGCCTCCGCCTTCACCTCCGCCTCCGCCTCCGCCTCCGCCGCCTCCGCTGCCTCCGCCTCCGCCGCCGCCTCCGCCTCCGCCGCCGCCTCCGCCTCCTCCTCTGCCGCCGCCGCCGCCGCCTCCTCCACCGCCGCCTCCGCCGCCGTCTTCGCCGCCGTCTCCTCATCCATTTGAGCCAGTTGGCTGCTGCGCTTTTTGACGCTCTTCACAGCCTTGTTTTGACAAGAAAATACGTCGCTTTGCGCTGGTCTATGAGAGGTTGAGGTGCGAGCCCTGGAGGCCCTGGGGATGGGGGGAGACTACCCGCGGGCCTAGAAGGCCCGCGCGCAGGGGGGTGGGACATTGAGATTGAACATTCTGTTCAGCGTGTGGACCACTTGTCCGATGTCCAGCGTCGGCGCGTAGCTCGGGTCGTACAAGTACTCACCGGTCTCAGCGGCATTGCCATGGTAGCCAGGCCCACCTTATACCGCAGCGCAGCGCGAGCCTGCATGTGCTCGCGCAACCCCACCTTGGAAGGCAACTCGCCGCGAGGCCAGCCCTCCTCCAGGAGGACCTGCTTGCGGCGCGCTGCCGGCGAGGGGTTGAGGAGGTCGTTCACACACAGGGGCTCTCACAGCAGACTGTGGTGTCCAGTCCGAGCCTGGCTGTTCTTCACCTTTCTACCTACCTACCTGTGAGAGGTTTCACGGGGCCGACTACATGTGTACTGTACTGTACTTTTAGCTTACTGGGAGAGAAGGGAGAGTGGGTTGTGTTCTCTAGGCCCCTAAGGGCCCTACTGCAGGCTTGACCCCAGTTGGGCCACGGTGACTAGGTGTGAATGGGGGAGTTCGATATTCACAGTCGTTTACACTGAGGGAGCAATGGCTATTATTATTCGGGTTGCTTTGACGTCATCATTCACCGCAAATTTTGATCAGCAAATTTCGAGGGGCGGACGCAAATTTTGAGGTAGATTTTGATTGTCAAAACGTGTCCGTCTTGGCACAGGATAGAGCATATAGGCGGCGAACACCCAGGTGCGCAGGGACATCGCGACTCTGCCCGCTCGCTCGACCCTTTTGGCTTTTGCCGCGAGAGGGCGCCGGCCGCGTGTAAGAGGTGGCTGGCGCCCTGAGGCGGCAATTGGTGGCGTGGCTGGGGAGTGCGGAACGCTACTGGCGGCGTGACAGGGCCTCTCTCGGTTGCGTGTGCCGCCCATCGGCACGCGGGTGCGCAGACATCGCGACTCTGCCTGCGCTCGCTCGACCCTTTTGCCGCGAGAGGGCGCCGGCCGCGTGTAAGAGGTGGCTGGCGGCCTGGCGCCCTGAGGCGGCATTTGGTGGGGTCAGCGTGCGGTGCTGAGTCTTACTCGTCGGCGCTGGGGCCAGATCCCAGCGCAGAACTCTGCAACACTGGCATATACAAACACACAAGGAAGACTAACCCTAACCCTAACCCGAACCCTAACCCTAACCCTAACCCTAGGTCAGCGTGCGGGGCTGAGTCTCAGTCGTCGGCGCTGTGGGGCCAGATCCCAGCGCAGAACCCTGCAACGCTGGCATATACAGACACAACAAGACTAACCCTGACCCTAACCCTAACCCTAACCCAAACCCTCTAACCCTAATAACCCTAACCTAACCCACCCCCCAACTCCACACCGCAAATTTGAAAGATATTGTTGAAAATCAGGCCCGGCCGCAAATTTCTTCAAAATTTTCGCAGGCGCTCCGCGCCTGCAGATTTTGAAATAAATTCGACAAAATTGGTACCTGGCCCAATGCCGCGGTGCGGTTTGAATGATTGTTGCACCGAAGGGCGATCGCGTTTCTGTTATGTCATCCCGTGCCTTGTGGTTGTCATTTTAGATGACTCTAAAATTCTTTTTTCTTCCTAGGCACAAAATTATTTATTATTGTAGTGTATCTCGTGAAAGCCTCTTGATTTTTCACGTTGTCTTAACAATATGGGTGTGGTCGTACACGCCTGGAGTGCACCACTTGCACCCAGATCGCTCGCCATCCTCAAGACCCACCCTCTGTGCGTCCTTGACAAGCTTGGTTCCGCTCCCCGCCCGCCACCGCACACAGAAGCTCGTGACGCACGTTCTCGCCATCGTCCGGCAGCCGCAAAGCGACTGGATTTTTCCGTCCCCTAACAATCGTTGCTGTATAACACCAGCGCTGGTCCAAGGAGGTGGCCGCTCACCGCCGATTGTTAGGACGGTCGTCGAAGGCGAGCGGCGGTCGCCGGGCAGCAGCTCGTGTCGATCGTCGATCCGCGAGCTGCCAAGCTTGTCACAGGCCGGCACTGGGTCGAGGACGATGGCGCCGCGCGGCTGGAGGCAACGGAGAAAGGCATTGTGGAGCGGCGAGGCGATTGTTAGGAATTTCGAGGAAAATTCGGACAGGCGAGAAAAATCTTTTTTCCGAAATACCTTTTTTTGGCAGCCAGCTGGCTGTGTGTCTTGTGAGCTTGTTTGTGTCTGTGTGTCGCTCGTGCGTGTCGTCATCATCTGTCTCGCGTCCACCCATACCGCGTTGGTGTCCAGTCCGAGCCTGGCTGTTCTTCACCTTTCTACCTATGTATGTTGGTAGCCTACCTACCTTTTACTCGAGTAGTGCGCGCCAGTCCCGAGAAAATTATTCTTTGAGCTACATGTACATGTAGCCTTCGATGTTATGAAACAAACGCAAGGCGCGGACACACGCACATCGCTCTCGGGCCCACAGACATTGGGCTCGGCCAGGTTTGCCTCTCTCTCCCCGTCTGTTTTCCTTTCCTTTTTTCTCTACAACACCCTCTCTTTCCTCTCTATTTCCCCGGGAAAACTGCGTGGAAATCGTCAAATGTTGGGCTCTGAGCCGAGAGTCTGAGGCTGGTTTGGGCCCCAAATCAGCCAAATTTTAGGCCAAATCGGCAAAATGCCGGGAATTTCGCGGAGAACCCGTGTATACCTGGAAATTACCCTGCGACCGCCTGGGCATTTTGTCGATTTCCTCAATTTTGCCTCAGATTATGCCCCAGACCAGCTCTCAGACTCAGGGAAACTCGCGAGTTTCCAGAATGGAGCACCAAACACCCTCTGTTTTCCCTGGAAATTATTTTCCGGAAACGCAAAGTGCTGGGGGCCCTCTGTTTTCCTTTTTGTTTTCCGGAAAACCTGGCCGAGCCCAACACAGACATCAAAACAAATCTCTCTGTTGTGCGAGGCGTGAACCGCGCCATTCGCTCTCACCTGGCAACCCTGTCTGCACGTCTCGCGCGCGCGTGAACAGGGCTCCAGCCCCAAATGACGTGTGAGTGTTAGAGTTGTTTGGTAGTACTAAAAATCTCTCTCTCAGACATCCCGCACACCCGCCGCCCCCGGCCCCCCGCGCGCGCCCCACCCCGGCCGGGAGAAAGGGGAGTGACAGTTTGGGACGGCGACAGACGAGATACCTCGCACTCCTTGTGCGAGAACGCAGGGTAAAAAGCCCGTCGCGAGCCACAATTATTCTTTTCCGAGGTGAGCCTGTGTGTGTGCCAGTCCGCGCCAGTCCGCGCCCTTGTCGTGCCAGTGTGCTGTGAGAGAGGCGCGTCTGAAGAATTCTTTTCCGAGCGCGCTCGAAAAATCGCGTGTAAACCGTCGCCTGGCTGGACTCCTGGCTGGACTCGTTGCGATGGCCGAGACAGCGGTCCGCGCACGCAGCGGTCCGCTCGCTATCCCAGCCCGCCGCCGAGCCGCGGCCTTCCCTCCGCGCCAGGCGGAGGTCGTCAACCGCGTCGACGAGGAGATGCGCGCCGAGATGATCGAATGCCAGGCCTGCCCTCCGCCGCCTCCAATCCACACACCGCCCCCCGCGTCTCCGTCCGGCGTCGCACCACTCGCAACCAACGCCCTACTCGCTGCCGTTTGCTGCGGCCTCCTCGGCTCTAGACCTCTCACCGGCGCAGCAGCGCCGCCACGCCAGCGCCCTCGCCGTCGCCCGTCGCCCTCGCCACTGGACACGCAGCCCTGGGCGTCGTATATGCCTTTGCGACGCCGCCGCCGCCTGCCCGCGCTAGGCGCAGCTCCGGCGCTGGACCACCGAGCAGAAGCACATCGTCGACTCCCTCACGCTCGACGCGCAACGCACGCTCGAGGGCGATAAGGGTGCGCCTCCCCTCCTCCTCCTCCCCTCCTCCTCCTCCCCTCCTCTCCTCTCCTCCTCCACCCTCCTCCCACGCCGCGCGCAGAGAACCTCGCCAGCAAGAAGGAGGAGCTCAGCGCGGCGCTGGCGGCCGGCGACGCGCTGCGGCAGAGCTCGGAGGAGGAGCGGAGCAGGGCGGAGCAGCTGCGGCAGGAGCTGGAGGTGCACACCTCGAGATAGCGGGAGATTGCGGGAGATCGCGGGAGGTTGCGCCGACGAGGCGCCGCTCTCTCCGCTGCCCCTCGGCTGCGCCTCGGCTGCACCTCTGCGACTCTACCTCCCGCGGCAGGTGCTCAGCTCGCAGGAGGCGCTGCTGCCCGCGGAGCACGCGAAGCTGAGCAAGAGCCTCGAGGGGCAGCGAAGAGCGAGAGACCCGCCGAGAGTAGTCGCCGAGATTCGCCGAGATTGAGAGCAAGAGCGTCGACCGGGCGGCGGCTGCGCACGGGCGAGATCTCGGCGAGATCTCCATCTCGGATCCTCTCCGCTGTAGGCAGCGGCAGCTCATGGCGGAGCGAGAGGCGGCACTGCAGCAGTCGCAGGCGGCCGCCTCTCCCTGCACACGGCGGAGAGGCGGGAGATGGGCCCTCGCCCTTGCCTCGCCGCTTCCTCCTCTCTCCGGCCTCTCTCTCTCTCCCCTCCCCTGCAGCGGATCGCTGGCCGGTGCCCCGCAGGCAGGCAAGGAGTCCAAGCTCGCCGAGCTGCAAAAGGGGTGCGCCATGTACAAGCAGCTGCTCGCACTCGACTTCGAGCGCGTCGGAGGCGAGACGCAGCAGAGAGGCGGCAGAGAGGCGGCAGAGAGGCGGCAGAGAGGCGGCAGAGAGGCGGCAGTTAGCGGCAGAGGGGCCGACTGCCGGGACTCCTGCCGAGATTCCCTTCCCCTCCCCTCCCCTCCCCCCCGGAGCAGACGAGCGGTTGGGGCTCATCCTGACCAAAATGGAGGGGGGCCCTCCCCCTCCCGCCCCCTCCCCGCCCTCCCCACAGGGCAGAGGGGCTGAGCCTGCACACGGGGACCCATAGGGGGGGGTTCCCTCGGGGGCCTTTTCCTTCCTGGTTTTGGTGGACGGGGCCGACCGCTACCACATCGAGCAGTGGGAGCCGGGGGCGCGCGACGCACAGCCCGCCTCCCCCCCTGCCCCTCTCTGCTTCCACTTTCTCTCCGCGTGCCGTCCCTCTCTCTCACCAGCCCCCCCCCCCCCCCTTCTGTCAAGGTGCCGGCGCTGCCGCAGCTGGTCGAGAGCCTCAACCAGACCAACGACTTCTCGGTCTTTGTGCGCACGCTGCGCGCCGAGTTCAAGCGGCTCTGCGCCTGAGGTGCGTGGAGCGCTGGAGCGGGAGGCGCGGCCGTGCTATGCCGCAGTGCCGGGCCGCGCGCTTTTTCGAGAGGCGTGGTGCGCCCTCCAGTACAGTCGTACTCGAGAGTAAGGGCGCGACATGTACATGAGTAAAATGAGGCCTGGGAGCTTCTTTGAGGGTCACAAACTGTAGTAAACACGTGGATTTAACCTTGCCACTGCACTCTGCAGCCCAAGACGCCCAAGTCTAGTACCCGAGTCGGCCATTATTTTTTCGTGTCCCATACCTGAGCCCTGGCTGTCAGGCTGTCAGGTGCTGTCAGGAAGGTGATCTGTCGGGCTGTCAGGCACTGTCAGGTGCCTCTGTCAGACCAGCTGTCAGGTGCTGTCAGTGCTGTCAGGTGCTGTCGGGTGCGTGTCTGACAGGCGAGGTGATCTGTAGCTGTCGGGTGCTGTCGGAGCTGTCGGGTGTTGCTGTCAGACGCTGTCGGAGCTGTCAGAGCTGTCAGGCTGCTGCTGCTGTCAGACGTTGGGCTGTTACTGTCAGGTGCTGTCAGGTGGTGCTGTCGGGCTGCCCTAGCTGTCGGGGTGCTGTCAGGCTCTGACACACACCAGCCACACTTATGACACTATCAAGAGGAGACCAGCGGGTACGCAGCTGCCCCCCTCCTACGGCGTGATCACGCCGGCAGGGGCGGCCGCCTGGGGAGCGCAGATGGCGGCGCAGAGGCACAGGCGGCGGCGGCGGCACAGACGGCGGCGGCCACCCCCACCCAGACGCCGTAGGCATATGACTGTAGGGCCCCAGAAGGCTAGCTGGTAGCTTCATTTGTAGTAGCACAGCCGCCGGTGCTGGAGAGGGGTCCGCAGAGGTGGGGCGGGAGGGTTGAAAGAGAGACCCATGACCATCCCATGACTACATGGACATGGACATGGACCACACTCACATGTCTTTGCATGTAATTTTGTTATACCCTCATGGGGCATAAGAAAGAGGCTCTACGGGGTCTGTGTACGGTCTGTGCTGCTGTCAGGCTGTCAGCGCTGCTGTCAGGCCACTGTGTGCTGTCGGGCTGTCAGGCAGCTGTCAGGCTGTCACATTAGGGCCTGACAGCGACGGGTCACCTCGCCTGTCAGGCTCTGCTGTCAGGCTGTCAGATACGTGCTGTCAGACTGTCAGAGAAAGTGCTGTCAGCGCTGTCAGGCTGTCGGGCACTGTCAGGCGCTGTCCGGGGTTTGCTGTCAGTCTGTCAGACCAGGGCTCAGTCCCATACAGTAGGGAGTAGCTAGACACCAGTGAGAGGCGACGTGTCGCATGACTGCGGGCACTGATTGGATGCCACAACCACTGGCACCCGCGTGCGTCATTGCCGTTCAGTGCAGCCCTTTTTTTGCTGGGTCTAGACTGCATCATTGGCAGGCTTGCGTGCAAGCCAAGACACAAAGCCTATGGTGGCATGCAACACTGTGATGTCAACGAACCCCGCCTCCGCCAACTTTTCTTCATACCAGAGCGAGGTGCGAGTCTCAAGCACTCCAACAATCGCAGCGCGCTTCTTCTGGATCTCTTCCTCAGTGACACCCTGCGCCCTTTTGTAGTCGTAGTACATATCCTCAATCACTTGTGGTTGCGAAGTCTTCTCTGTCAAAAGGAAAGTGCCTCCTCCTTTGAGGACGTCAAACACGTCACGCATCAGAGTGGGGCGCGTGTCTGGTGGCTCAAAGTGCATGGCCCAATGAATCGAGACGACGTCAAACTCTCTGTCCAGCTTTGTGGGAAGAAAGGGACGCGAGGCTTGATCGACGAGCTGTACATTGACGCTCGGAAAGCGCTTCACGAAGGCGTCAAGCACCGGCTGCTGGTATTGGGTGGCGTGCAGCCGATCAGTGCGCCACCCTCTTTCCACATAGGGATCGAGATGGTTGCCAGGGCCAGTGTTGTAGAACAGGACGGACGCGTCCGTACCATGGATGCGGTCCACCACCTCGGCGAATTTCGGGAGCAGCTTCCAGTAGTCGGGAATGTGCCCCGTCACCTCGCGGTCCCAGTTGGCAACCACGGAGGCATCAAATTCCCACTGCCCTTTCTGGAAGCCGTAGCCATTGGACCTGTCATCCCCCTTTGTCACGGTCATTTGAGCTTCGGCCGGTCAGCACGCCATTCGAAGCGAAGCGATACAGATAATTCCGATATCATTATTAACTGGGAATTATATAATTCCGATACAGAATATTCATTTGAGGAAAAAAATGGCAATGGGAGAAAAGAGAGAGGGGGTTGTGTTCTCTAGGCCCCTAAGGGCCCTACGCGCGGCGTGAGAGCTCGGAAGCGAGCTTTGCACGGCGATCGAGGATGGCACGCTTCACCCCCTTCACCGAAGCGATGGAGATGCGTTCCGCGTGGTGGTAAAATTCGTTTTTCGTCACGGGAGTCACATCCCCCCATGCAAGCCTTTACGAAGTCGCCGGGCTTCCCAATGGCGCTTGCAGACGCACCACCGGAGTCAGAAGGGAGCCGCTTCAGGCACCGATCGCCTTGCCCAACGTTTCGTGGGACAATATGGTGTGGGATGGAATGGGATGAATGGCAACTGGTTCGGGCCCTCGTTCGTCCTTCCGACGCCGTGCTTGAGTTTGGAGCGCGCTACGGGACGACGAGCTGTAACCTCGCCCGAGCGACGCTCAACTCCGGTAGAGTAGTCGCAGTTGAGCCCGACTCAAGAGTCCGCGACGACCTGTTGCACAACCGTGCCCTCCACAATTGCAGCTTCCACATCGTGCATGGCACCGTTGCAGACCGGCCGCATGTTATTGACCCTCGAAACATGTTGCACTATGGCACCAGGACGGCCCCATTCCACCGCAGAGGGCGTGTGCTGCCTAACATTGGTATCAGGGAAATCGAGCAGCGCGTTGGGTGGCGCTTCAATACATTGCTCATAGACTGTGAGGGGTGTATCACAGACGTGCTGACGGGCACAGTTGCTGAGATGCTCGGAACGCAGATCGTCATGGTCCTGATAGAAGAGGACGCGGGGCTGAACTACAGCACGCATCATCAGCTTCTTCGCTCGAAGGGACTCAGCTTAGTCTGGTACTCTGAGGCCACGTTTGATGAGCGAGGTGGCGGAGGCGTCTTCCACTCTGCATGGCGACTTGGTGGCTCGCAGGGATTACCATCTTGTGCAGAGTATCAAGCGCATGCGAGAATTCCCAGTCGATGGCTGAAGTGCAGGGCCTTCCCACAGTAGCGAGTCGTAGTTGCAGTAGTGTCGGCGTCCTGAGCTGCAATTTTGCGTGGCTATCGGGACCGTGCAACGGCCCAACGCCGGCGCGCGGCGGCCGCCATGCCGCATGTGGCACATCGATGTGGCCACTCGCCCTGGGTGCATCGCCAACGTCCAACCGAACGCATACAAACGCAAACCGAACATGCCTTACCAAGTATATACCTGTCTGCGCTGTGTGCCTCTGGGCGGTGCAAGTAATGTAATGGTCGGGTGTTCCTATCCTCTATCTATATCTAGATAGTAAAAGACGCAGCGCCAGCGGGCATCCTCAGACCGACTATGGGGATTTTCCACATTCCAGTCCAATCTCCGCTCCCCCACGCACACCACCACCACACGGCCGCAGCTCGGATCAATGTCCATTATTATTGTTATTAATATCAGCGATCAGGAATCAGGTCTCACCCCCCACCCCTTCACCTCCCACTCTTCTCTCGCTGCAGACGTCGATCCCCCTGGGCGGGAGGAGCCCGGAGCCGCGGGTGCACGTCCCTCCGGTAGGGGTAGGCGCGGCGCACGGCCTCAAGGTGCCTGGGCTCGACCACCAGAGGGAGCACGCCCTCCGCAGTGCCGAGCGACGCGGCCGCCAGCGGCGCGGCGAGGCCAGGAACGTCGCCGATCCAGGGCGGGCACGCGACCTATCCATGTCGTGGGCATGTCAGGGACGTGCCCTACACACATCCCGCTCCTCTGTGGAAGACGCGCGACCGACGAGCCGAAGCGCTCGCCCGCGTAGCTGACAGAGAGCAGGTAGACACCATTCTCGACGGCGCGAGTCGCAACAAACTGCTTGGGCGCGAGGGTGAGGGCGTTGGCTGTGAGAGGCGCTGATTGAGCGTGCTGGCTTTGAGGGCTGCCAGCGGCGTGGAACCAGCCACGGAGGCCTCCTCTCGGCGGCGTCCCACCTGGTGGTACATCGGGAAGGTGGCGTCGCGCACAAACGCGGCGGGGTGCAGGATGAGGTCGCAGCCCGCGTCCCACGCGAGAGCGCGGTAGAGCTCCGGGAAGCGGAGGTCATAGCAGATCGTGACGCCGACGCGGACGCCGTCGCACTCAAAGACGCCGAGCTCGCCCTCGCCCGGCGAGCAGCCGTGTGCAATCTCGCTGCAGTCACCCATGTCGCAGAGGTGCATCTTGTCGTACGCGAGCACCAGCTGGCCGCGAGGGTCGACCACCGCCTGGCAGATGCAGGTGCGGCCGGCTCCGGCGTCGCGGAGGAAGCCGTAGCTGATGTGGGCGTCGACGTCGCGTGCGAGCCGGCAGAAGAAAGCCGTGACGCTGCCCGACTCGGCGTCTTGCGCCGGCCGCTCTGGCCGAGTGGGGTCGAGCTGCGACAGCACCTCGTCGCAGTACCCGTGGCTGCTCAGCTCTGGCAGCACATAAAGCCGGTGGCCAGGGTTGGCCCGAATCAGCGCCTCGGCGCGCGCCAGGTTTGCCTCCGTCTGGCCCGCAAGAAGCTCGACCTGAAGGCCGAGGACCCGGAGCGGGCCGGTCGCGGCGAGGAGCATGCTGGCCGACCAGGCTGTTCACAGATAGGGTGATAAGAAAACAAGAACGTTTCACACAACCACAGAAGGAAAAAGGAGGAGAAAAATAGGAGAAAGGGACTGGCAAACAAGACACTTAAGCTCACACAGAATCACAGCGGGAGGAAATAGCACAGTGACAGTCAGACATGCAACACGGGGACCCAGGGAAGGCGAGCAAAACCCCTTTTTCAGAAAAAGAGAAAGCGCAGGGCTGCTGCCGAGCCCAAATCACTGTGGCAGCCGTGATTTCTTGTTGGTTTTCTAAAATCTCTCTCACAAAAACACCACCGGCCCGGGTTCGACATTTTTGGCTGGTAAGGTATGGTAGGGTCACGGCCAAAGGGTGGGGGGGTATGGTCCTGGCCGCCGGAGGCGGCCTCCTCGAGGGGTGGGGGGGTATGGTCAGGCTGGCGGCCCTCTCCAGGGGTATGGTCATGCTGCTGGTCTGCACCACACCGGCAACGCTTTCGGCACGTTTTGCAAACACACGTTTTGCTCTCTCTCTCTCTCTCACTCACTCTCTCTCTCTCACGTTTTGTGGGCGAGCGGGACGCATCCTGCTTCCTGGCACTATCTGGCCCATCTATGACAGTGACGACCTGCTATGAGCCTGAGAAGTCCCTTTCCTGAACATTAAGGTCTGCTGGCGCCGCGGTCAGCTCGATCCGGGTACCGGGAGCGTTCGACCATACGACCATCCGTTACGTCCGTTACCGGATGCCGTTATGGCCGTTACACCCTCGGGGGGAGGGATGGTCCTGCCGGCCAGAGGCCATGTCCTGCGCGGGTGGGGTATGGTCGCGGCGCCAGATCCGTGAAATACCATACCTTACCAGCCAAAAACGTCGAACCCCGCGCGGCAGGTGTAGTTTATTTTTGCTTGGGGCGGCCCTCATGCCGGAGGGTAGGTCTGGGCCCTCCCGTCGGGGTTTTCCCTCTCTTCAAGCTGGAATTTTCACAGCAGAAAAAGAAATTTTCCGCGGAAATCACGATGTCAACCCTCCCCAAATGGGGTGATCTGATGCTTGTAGGGCTTGAGAGTGGCCTGCCATGTCACAAGAAGGACTGTGGTTGCAGGAGAGTACCACCAACCATCACTCTAGTTGGTATAGTACCCCACCTTCACCCATCGAGTGTTTTCTTTTTTAGTTTCCCATAAGTAAGGTAGGTAGGTAGGTAGGTAGGTAGGGGCGGGGCAGGGGCCGGCCGGGTTTTTCCAGAATTTCAGCATGAGGGCCGCCCAAGCAAAAAAAGAATACACCTGCGCGCGGCACCTTTTTGCAAAGCGCTTTCTGGGTGGCCTCTCTTAGGTCGGTCGCGACGCAGGGCAGCACGACGCTCCGACGGCGACGGCGCAGCGGGCGGATGGAGACGCCGACTGCGGCTGCGGTTGAGGAGCTACGTGCTCTTGTGGCTGCTGCGCCCGACCTCGACGCCTCCTCGCGCGAGTGGGCGCTCGGGCCGTCCGTGTGCCATCGCTACCTCGCTGCGGGCATTGCCTCGGCGAAACCGGGCGCGGCTGAGGCTCTCCCGTTCCTCCTTCGCACCGCGCGCTGGCGAGAGAGCCAGGCGGTCGGCGGCGCCATGCTCGCCGACGACGCGCTCTCCGCCTTTGAGGAGGCGCTGCGGCCAAAGCTGCTCTACTCGCTCTCGCGCGACCGCGCCGGCCGGCCGCTGATGATCGAGCGCGTTGGCGCCTGGGACCTGACCGAGCTGACGCGAGTGATGACGGACTCTGCCGGCGAGGTGATGCGCGCGCACGTGCTGGTGAATGAGCGCATCCGCGTGTCGGTGGATGAGGCTGGGTTCGCGAGCGAGGGCGCCGACCCTCGCGCGGTGCTCGTCTTCGACATGGACGGGCTGGGCTTGCGCCACCTGGCGTCTCGAAAGCTGCTGCAGGTCTTTTCGGAGATGTCAAAACTCGACTCGGACCACTTCCCGCACACTGTTGGCACCATCTTCGTCGTTGGCGCGCCGCGCGCCTTCTCGGCGCTCTGGGCTGCCGCGTCTGCCTTCGTGGCGGAGGGCACCAAGAAGAAGGTGTCGGTCTTCTCGTGGGCGGCGGCCGCCGAGGCACACGCCACGCTGCGTGAATGTGTGGGCGAGGCCTGCCTGCCGAGAGAACTGGGCGGGGAACTGGTCGGCGCGCCGCCCTACAGCACGTTGGCCTCGTCGTCGACGTGAGCGGTTGAGATTTAAATGCACGTATCATCCTGGCAGTGGCACGTATGCTAGAGCCGACGGTCGTGTTTTCGGTTTGGGCGTTGCGTGTTTTCTTTTTTCTCGCGTTTAACGGGGGGGGGGGGCGCGGCGCCGGCTGGGGCATCGCTCGTAAGTCGTAATCGTCGTGGCGCTCGACAACACCGGGCTCACCTCACCTTCAGGTGCAGATCCACGCCGGTGCTGCCTCTCCGCTTCCGCTTGGCGCCCGCCCCCGCCCCCCTCGCCTCGTCCCTCCACTCTCCAAAGTCCCACCCCGCGAGCGCGGCCGCCTCGAACGGCACCACCCTGTGCGCGCCGTCGATGGCGCGGAAGTCCACCCGGCCGTCGGCGCCGCTCGGGACGAAGGCGAGTAGCGCCAGCTTGCGCGCGCCCGCCGCCATCCGGCTGAGGCAGCCGAGCTGCACCGCGCGCAGGGGACTCGCCGGCGGACGTGTCGCGGACGCGTCCCGCCCGGCCGGCGGCGGGGCGGGCAGCACGGTGACGACGGCGGCGGCGTGGCAGCGCATCGGGTCGTCGGTGTAGGCGAGGAAGTCGCCCCCAAACTTGAGCCCGCACGACAGGTAGCAGCCCGCGTCCCACAGCGCGCGGAAGACGCGCACCTGCGGCCGCCGCTCGGCGTGCCGCTCCCGCAGCGCCTCGGCCGTCAGCGGCGGCAGAGAAGCCTCGCGCCAGTCGGAGCACTCGCGCGCTATCGACACGAAGCCCGTCTTTGGCAGGACGAGTCCTCCGCCGCCCGCTTCGGCGCCGCCGCTCGTGTCGCCGCCGCCGTCGCCGCCGCCGCTGCTGCCGCCGGCTGCCGCGGCGGCGGCCGCGCCAAAGGTTGGGACGTCCTCGGCAGGCGGCGCGGAGCCGTTGCACTCGAGCACGGAGACGGCGCCAAGCTCCGCGAGCAGCACGACCTCCTCCGGCGAGAGCGCGAGCGGCGGGCTGGGCTCTGCGGCGACGCCCTTGCAGCACTGGTTGGGCGCTCCAATCAGCGCGCCGACGATGCGGTGGTTCGCACGGAGGTCGTAGATGTCCTGCGGCTGCCACACCAGGTACCTGCCGCCGCTGTGGAAGACGCGGACCATACGGCGCCCAGGAAACTGGCGAAGAGAAATCGAACTCCGCTGCTGGGTTCGTGCGTCGCCCATCTCTCCTGGAGAGATGCCTCTATTTATTTTTTGCCGCAGAGACCCATGGCCGCAAGACCCGAGCCCCCGCGAGGTAGCGGGTCGGCTGGGGCAATAAAGAAAGAAAGAAAACAGACAACCCAAGCAAGGGAGGGATGGGAGGACACGCCGCCACCACACAGGGATTTTAAGAAGAGGGGTGTGGTGCGCTATCCGTCGCCCAGCCTTGGGCGTCTCGCGTCTGCCTCTCCCTTTGGCCTGCACAAGCTTTTCCGGCAAACAAAAAGGAAAACAGAGGGGCCCCAGGCCCCCAGCACTTTGCGTTTCCGGAAATTTCCAGGGAAAACAGAGGGTGTTTGGTGCTCCATTCTGGAAACTCGCGAGTTTCCCTGAGTCTGAGAGCTGGTCTGGGGCAAAATCTGAGGCAAAATTGAGGAAATCGGCACGATACCCACGCAGCCAGGATATTTTCCAGGTATACCCTGAGGGAGGGTGTAGAGGATGTAGAGTGTAGAGCGCTGTAGAGCTGTAGAGATGTAGAGCGCTCCGGAGTGCTGTAGAGCTGTAGAGCTCTACATCCGCCGCGGGACGAAGCGGGTGCGTTGTAGAGCGAGAGGCCCTCTACAGCGTGAAATCTCTACAACAAACTCTACATCATAAGCGGCGAACGAGGCACGGTGACATGAGAGGCGCGTTGCACTTGCCAGTGCTGCCCTGGCCTTCTGTCTGCCCGCCCAATGGGTGGCAGGTGCCTCTGCTGCTGTGGCATGCCTCACGGCTACGACTGGCCGGCGCCTCGGCGCGTCAGCTCGGCTCGGCGTAGCGATCGTAGCCAGCGCAACTCGCCTGGACTCAACGCTCAGCCAGGAGCTCCCGCACACGCTGGCGCGAGTCATGGCGCATGCAACGCGTCTGAATGCTCGCCTCGCCTCGCGCAAATGCGACCGCCCTCGCAGCCGACAGTCCACCGCCTGCTAAAGAAGCACAGCGATGAATGCGGCACCGGCGACGCATGGCAGGCTGGTCATGACGCAGTTAGGGTGTTTTGTGCCGTCAGAGTGATTCTCTGTGTGTCAGGGATAGTCAGGGCCGTCCATCAGAGCTCCAGTAAGCTCGGAGACACCCCATTAGTGCGACTCGACCTCTTTGAGTCACTGCCTTCCCGGCGGTTTGGCTGTAGAGCCTCTACAACAAACTCTACAGCAAAATCGCGCTCTACATCGCTCTACAACGCACCCGCTTCGTCCCGCGGCGGATGTAGAGCTCTACAGCTCTACAGCGCTCTACATCTCTACAGCTCTACAGCGCTCTACACTCTACATCCTCTACACCCTCCCTCAGGGTATACCCGGGGTTTTCCAGGTATACCCGCAAAATACCCGGCATTTTGCCGATTTGGCCTAAAATTTGGCTGATTTTGGGCCCAAACCAGCCTCAGACTCGGCTCAGAGCCCGGAAAATTTGATGGTTTCCCCGGGAAAACAGAGAGGGAAAAAGAGGGTGCTCTAGAGAAAAAAGGAAAGGAAAAGAGACGGGGTGCGAGAGGAAAAGCTTGTTCAGCCTAACTCTTCCTATCTCTCTTCGCAGTCCCTCGCCGATTCTCGCTGCAACCTTCATGCCACCTCGGTCCTCGCTGTCTTCCCACTCTCGTCGTTCTCTCTCGTGTCGCTTCTTCCTCTGTCGCTTCGCTCTCCTCTGCCTCGTTCTGCGACGACGCCGCTGCCTGCCGATCCCTTGTGCCTTGTCCTCGCCTCTCGGCGCAACTCTGCCCTCCTCGCAGCATATCCTGGCCCCTCCAGACAGGCTCTTGGAGCAGCCGCGTCGATTTCTCTCTTCGCCTGGCGGGCCGGACAGTGGTTGCCTGCTGGTGGTTGCCTGCTGGCCTCGTCCCGCACATGCTCGCCATCTTGCTGGCCGTCCCGTCAACCTCGTGCTCAGCAATGCAGACCCTCACGCTGCGTTCTTCGAAGGACCAGATGCCGGTGTGGGCTTCCGCTGCCGCCGTTTTGCAATCACCTGGCTGCGGCACACTTCCCTCGGCATTCTCGCTCGCAGGTCGTGGGGCTCGGGCTCTGGAAGGTGCCGCGGGAGACAACGGCGGATGCCGTGGTGGACGCCATCAAAGCTGGCTATCGCCACTTTGACTGTGCGTGCGACTACGGAAATGAGGCAGAGGCGAGGCTCCGTCCTGTGGCGCTGTGCTCCTCCTCCTCACGCACTCAGCACGCTGGCGGGTGGCACGCAGGTGGGAGCAGGGCTACGCCGCGCGATCGCCGAGGGGCTGGTCACGAGGGAGCAGCTGTGGGCGCGTTCAGCCCCCACGCGCTTCCACCGCCTCTCGCGCCGCTGAGAGAGTGCCTTCAGAGTGAGTAGCGACAGCCAGGAAGCCCCTCGGGCCAGGTGACGACCAAGCTGTGGAACACGTACCACGCGCCGGAGCACGTCCTTCCCGCGCTGCGCCGCTCCCTCTCCGACCTCGGTGCCTGACCGCCTCTCCGCTGCGGGAGGCGAGAGGAGTGCTCGCCGCAGGAGCACCCCCCCTCCAGCGCCGCGGCGTGTGCGCAGGCCTCGAGTACGTGGACCTGTTCCTGATGCACTTCCCGCTCGCGCAAAGGTTTGTGCCGTTTGAGGCGCGCCCGCAGAGACATGCCACGCGGCTCCCGGCCCCTTTTTCTCAATCACCTCCCACCGCCCACCGCCGCACCGCCGCTGCCCTCGACACCCGCACCGCCGCCGCCCCACGGCCCTCCCCGCGCCAGGTGCGCTACCCGCCCGAGTGGGTGTACGACCCGGACGCGCCCACCCCGACCGTCGAGCTCGCGCCCGTCCCTCTCGCCTCGACGTGGGCGGCGATGGAGGAGGCGCGGCACTCAGCTCACTCACTCACGCACGCACGCACTCGCTCTACTCACCCGCTCCGGGCCTCGCACTTTGGATGCCGCGCGGCTCGACTCTCGTGCCACCCTAGCGTGCTCACCGGCCCTCCCCTGCCTCGCCCCCTCCTCAGGCGCTGCCCGCCGGGCTCGCTCGCAACATCGGCGTCTGCAACTTCAACACCGCGCTCGCCCCTTCTCGACCGCCGGAGCTCGCGACAGACGCCTCTCCCCTCACCCCGAGCCGTCTCTGCAGGCGCTGCTTCGCGACCTGCTCGCCTCGGCCACGCAGCCGCCTTCGGTGCTGCAGGCGGCGCCGCACGCCGTCGGATGCGTCGCGGAAACCTCCTCCCGACGGCACCGTGCTCGCTACCTCAGGTGGAGCTCCACCCGTACAACCAGCAGCCCAAGCTGGTGCGCTTCGCGGCGCAGCACGGCATCGCGGTGACGGGCTTCTCGCCGCTCGGCGCGGCCACTTCCGCGCGCCCCCTCCCCCACCCCGCCCCGCCCCGCCCCGCCCGCCCCGCCCCAGCACACCACCGCTGCGCATACCTCGCGCACCCTTCTTTGTCACCTCGGCGCGCGGTGACCCTCTCCCCCCTCCCTCCCCAGGCGCGGGCTCGTACGTGGAGCTCGGCATGGCGGGCGAGCAAGACTCAGCCCTCCGCGATCCCGTCATCCAGTCGATCGCCGAGCGACTCGGCAACCGCCGCCCTCGGCCGCCGCCGCCCTCGCCGTCGCCGCTCTCGCCGCCGCCGCCCGCTCTGCTCACAGCGGAGCGGCCTGAGAGTCTCGGTGCACCAGTAGGTGTCTCGGCGGCGCAGGTTGTGCTGCGGTGGGCGGTGCAGCGAGGCTACTCGGTCGAGACTCGCAGATATTTGCCGAGACTCGCCGAGATTCGCCGAGATTTGCCAAGATTCGCTACGGCCGCCATCTTGCCGCCCTCTGAGGAGAGGAGAGCGTGGCGCCTTCTCCGGCTTGCAGGTCGTCCCGAAGTCGTCGCGCCCGGAGCGACTCGCGCAGAACCTCGACTTGTTCGGCACCGCACGCCGGCGCCGCCCCGCCGCCGCAGGGTTCAACGCTCCTTAGGTTGCTGCCCCTCTCCGCTGCTAGGCTTCGAGCTCGCGCCCGACGACCTCGCCGCCATCGCCACGCTCGACCGCGGCAAGCGCTTCAACGACCCCGGCGTCTTCTCGGAGGGGATGAACGCGTTCCTTCCGATTTACGACTAGTTCGCCGCCGGCTCGGGGGAAGGCAGGTGGGGCGGGGAGGTGCGAAAGGGCCGTGCCCGCCTTCATGGGGGGAGGCTGCAGTGGTGGGTTCAAGTTCTCGACGTTCGGCGCGGTTCTCCAGCAATACCAGCATCAATGATCAAAGAGGCCGCCTCCAGCGCAGTCACTGAGACTCGCGCCCCTTCATTCAGGCACTCAGTCCCACGACACATCCGCACACTCCTCTATCGCGTGACTGCCCCTCTCCCGCTCTTTCCTAAACGAAATATGTATATAAGTAGAGGAACGAGTCGAGAGGACAGGGAGGGACGTGTCCGAGGGGGGGGGACATCGGGGTTGGATATTAAACGGCGGTTTCGGATTTTGCATCTCGGCTGCATCCAATGGCGGATGCGGCTTGCGGGATGGACGGCCTCGGATCACGGGGTCACGTCGGCGAGGATAGCGACGGCGTCGTTGGTGGTACCATTGTTCACCCTCATGGTACCACAATTCAATGTGCATGCCGAGGGTGGTATCCGAGTACCGAGACCCCCCGCCCCCCCCTTTACCACTCCACATGCATGTGTGTAGATGTGTGCACACGACAAGTCAAGGAACGCGCCACGCAATGCTCTCTGCTCCTCAACGTGGTTTGATGTGTCTGTCTCCGGGTATGGCATCCCTCTTCCTTTGGTGACCTGATCTATGCAGCGCCCTCTGGCTCCTTCGGGCGACGCACGCCTTACACAGCCTGGCTCCTCGGCCCATCCGAGGCTTTGAAGAGAGTCGTGAGATTCTTCAGTGAGCCTTGTACTTGTGCAGGGCCAACGCTCGGGCCAGGGCCAGCACCGGCAGGCAAGATCTGCCCGCGGAAGGTGATCGACTGCTCTTTGGACACCGGCTCCGTGGCCTCCGCCAAACCGTCGCCCTCTTCTCCCTGGACGGTATGCCGCTCTGCGAAGTTGTCGGGCCATAGGCCACCGGTGATTCTCTCCATCTGCATGTCAAAGACACGGGGCTCGCGGATCGCTTTCCTCAAGGCATAGGTGATTGCTCCGATGCAAGCCAGCAGGCACAGGCTACCGCCCACAGAGGCGCCGACAATGACCTCAAGGGTGCTCTTTTTGAGCTCGACGTCGGCGGGAGGCGGATGGGGCGACGGCGGGGGCGAGGGGGGGGTAGGCGGATCCGGCGGCGGAGACGGCGGAAACGGTGGAGGGCGAGGCGGCCTCGATGGCGGGTCTGGTGGATAGGGCGCACGGAAGAGCGGGATTGATGGCGTGGGGGGGAACGTCGGCAACGGTGGCGGATTTGGTGGCGGCGGCGACGGCACCGGAGGCTCTGGGTTCGGAGGCGGCGGTGGCGGCGGTGGCATTGGTGGCGGCGGCGGCGGCGGCGAGGGTGGCAGCGCACCGGGAGGTGACGGCAGCGGCGATGGCGGCGGCGGCGACGGCGGTGGTGCGGGGCAGTCTTGCGACGTCCACACAGGTTTGAGATCGTAGCCGCAGCCTGTGCCAGAGCAGCTGCGGTCGCACAGCGTGTGTCCCCGTGCGTCGCAGTAACGCCAAGCGTCATTGTAGGACGCGGGGTATGGCAGAGCATTGCAATCTTCAGGCACAACACAGTCCTCCCCTCCGTCCTCCCGCGCGGAACAGCAGCGGACGGCGATGCCCAAATCGGTCCCCGTCCCCTGCGTCGGAGCGTAGCGCTCGGAACGAACCTGGTCGCCAGTGAGCGGCACGCACCGCGGAACCATGTTGGGCATGGATGAGGGGTGTCCGGGCTGTACCATTGCCCCTCGGGCGGGTACCGGCACTGGTCCCGGGGGAGGCGGGCTGACGGCGGGGGGCGACGGCGACGCGATCTGGCTGTGACGGGAGATCCAGTCGCGATAATAGGCGACGCGCGTGTAGACCCCCGGATGCCTGCCGCATCCGATTCCCCAGCTCACAATTCCAATGAGCAGGGGCTTGCCGTCCTCAGGGTATGGACTGACCAATGGACCTCCTGAGTCACCGCCACACGCGTCCTTGCCATGGATCGAGCCCGTGCAAATCATGCCCGAGCTGATAGTCTCGGCGCCTTTGAGCAGATTTCCGTACGCTTCGAGGCACTCGTAATTCGTCATGATGGGCAAGCTCACCTCGTGCTTCCGATACGGATAGTCACTCCGCCAGCTGGTAGTGCTCCTGTCACCCCATCCGATAACCCAGCCATAGACCCCCTGCCAAAAGTTAGGCGTGGACCGAGGGTAGTCGAGCTTCACGATCTGTCTCTCGGCACAGGGGGCCGGGCGCTTGAGAAACAGCAGCGCGATGTCATTCTCGTCTGCGGCGGCCGAGGAGAAGGGGGGAAGGGGTCAGCTCGCACAGGACACTGCCGGCGGGGGCGAGAGGGCCTGCTCACCTGTCGCCTGGACGTAGTACTCGTGGCGAGTGACAGTTTCCACCGCGATCCACCCGTCGCAGTGGTCGTCGTGTGCTCCGGGCACGCCGTCCTCGTCATGTTCTGCGCGGGCAATGTGCTTGGCTGGTGAGCACATAGGCGGGCGGGGAGCAGGGGCCGGGCGGGGGCAGGGGCGGGGGCAGGGGCGGGCCGGGGCGGTGGCTCGGGGGGGCAGGCGGGGAACTTACCTCGCAGGTTGTATGCGCTGACCTTCAGCCACCACCCGCTGCCGGAGGCCGTGTTGGGAGCCCCGTAGTAGGCATTCGACCACGTCATCGGTTTCCAGTTGAAGCAGTGTGCGGCCGTGATTGCCACGTCGCTTGCGATGAGCACCGCGCCACAATCAACGCACGGATGGTTCCCGCCGCAGAGGCGCATCTCGTGCTCGTACGGTGCAGTGGAGCGGGCATTCCACTTGAGCGCGAGGGCGTGGGTGTGGTCGCCCTCCTGTTGGCGGGGCGAGCGGCGCGCTAGTGAGGGTGACTCACACGCTTGGCGCTGGCGGCACAGCGTCGAGGAGAGCGGGGGAACGCGCGGGCCGGCCGAGGGCACAGAGTGCAGGAGCCGCGGCAGGGCGAATCCGCACGTCGGCTAGTTGGCCGGAGATGACGAGACCACGGCCATGGTCAGCGTGGAGTCCACCCGGCGAGGCGACTGCGGCCACCTCAGCGACCGAAACACACGCAAGCCCGAATACCGTCACCATCGGGCCGCTGTGTTTCAGCAAAATCGCCCGTCGTGTGCGCGGCAGGGGATGATCTTGAGCACTTGAGCACTGGATAGGGCCGATTCCGCGTGGTACGGGACCCCTCGATCGTCTCGCCCTCCCTCACTGGTATGTTCATTGGGGGGGGTCATAACAAACACGGTACAGGGGATGATCTAGGTACGTACTTTTAGCGCGCGCTCTCTCTAGGTATGTTGTTAGCAGATCAAGACAGAGAGCTCACACGTAATCACAGCGGGAGGAAAGCGGCGAGTCGCAATCCCAGGGGAGGATGAATGGCGTGCGGGGATTGGTTGTGAACACCAGAACACCCTCGCTTTTTCTTTCTTGCACAGTCCCGAGCAGACATCTCCTGGGGAGATTGGGCGACAACCCGACGGGCAGACCCCGCCCTGCTCACACGGCGTGCACCACACAGCACACAGACAAATGTCTAGGCGCTGCCCGATAAATAAACAAAGTCACGACACACCACCGCGGCCGGGAGCTCGTTCCGCTGCCATGGCGGCCCGAGCTTGCCTGCTGCTGCTGGTAGTCGCGCGCGGAGCGCTCGTGCGGCCCGGCGGCCAGTCAGCGCATTGGGGTGCGCGGCAGGCTCAGCGGACAGCGTGGGGCGCGCGCATGGCTATAGCAGCCAGCGCTCAGTCCGGCTCGGTGCTCTCGCTGGTGGACACTTCTGGTGACGATGTCCGCTTCCAGCTGGCAGGCGAGGAGGAGATCCCTCGGCTTGAGCTGTGGGTGGGCGACGAGCTGTTTGCGGACGACGTTGACGTTGTCCGCTTCGATTCGAAGGAGCGGCGATTCAGCATCGACGGCACGATTGACGACGAGGAGGACGGCGAGTCTTACGAGGTGGACGGCGAGTTCCAGGTCGCTGAGGCGGAGCGTAACATGGTGGCCGCGACGCTCGCACTGCTGGTGGCGCGCGCCGGCGTGGCGTGGGAGGGGGAGGTGCCGCTGCCGCTGCCGCCGAAGCTGGAGGCGAAGCTTGTGAGCGACGAGCTTAAGGCGGCCGCCTCGCCGCTGCTGCCCTCCTCTGCTGCTGCCTCTCACTGCCGCCTCTCACTTCTCCCCTCGCCGCCTCTCACTCCGCCCCTCGCCGCCTCTCGCTCCCAACCCTCCCTCGCCGCCGCCTCGCTCCCCTCCGCCGCCCTCCCGTGCAGGCGTCGAGGCCGGGCGTGGTGCTGCTGTGGGCGCACCTGCTCGACGTGTTCGGCGGGGACGAGGGCGCGGCGCTCGCGGCGGCGCTCAAGAACACGGCGATCATCTTCCCGTACCTCAACCGGCCGACCAACATTGCCGGCTCGTGGGCGGTGCTGCAGGAGATGCTCGGCTCGCGCGAGGAGGCGCTCGAGGTCGTGACCAAAAACCCGGGCATCCTCGCCTGCAACCCGGACGGGCTCAAGACGTCCAACAAGGCGGCGGTGCAAACCATGGCCGCCGTGGTGGATACGGTGGAGACCGTGAAATGGTGGTGAGTCGCGGCCGCCGCCTCCCTGGGGAGGGTGGGGGGCGGAGGCTCGCCAGGCCGCGCCATGAGCATGCTTCCCACCGCGCGTGGGTCCACGGCGAGGGGGCGCGGGCTGCGGCGACGTCGCTATGCGCTGCCCGCGGCACGCGCACGGCCCTCCCGCCTTCTCTTTTATTGTTGTGACTCTGTGAGTACGAGCGTTTGGCGTGCCTCGGCTTTTTCCGGGGGCACGCCCTGCGCACGAGCATGTGTACAGGCATTTTTCGGAGTTTACTGGCTACTGCATTACGAAAATTACGGAAACGAAAAAGAGAGAGAAAGGCGAAGGTCGAAGCGCACTTCGAGTGTCGAGAAAAAGTCCGAAATCTCCTTCGTTTTAATATTTAAAGCACAACGTCAACGACCCACACGTCAAAAGAGGAAACTCACATGGCTCTTCGGTGTGTGTGGCTGGTGTGGCTCCTCTTGTGTCACTGTCAGTGACTCGTCTCCTCATCACATACCGTACCCTGACTGAGCCTGACTGACGGATACTAGCCCTGATCCATGTCTGATGTCACCTCTGGGGGGAGGCGGGGGCCCCCGGAGGCACCGTGCGCCGCGCAGCAGTGCGGAAACGGGGCTCCGGCGCTCAGAGTCGCTCAGAGCACCGACTTCCCGAATGATTACGGTTGATTAGAGGGCAGATTCGGAGAGATCTCGAGGAGTACATACAGATAGACCCTCCAATCATCAGCAAACTCCGACCTGTTCGGTCGTACTGACCGCCGACAGATCACTCCAGACAGCAGACAGGCCGAACGTCTGCACGCGGCTGGCCGGGCGAGAGGCTTGACACGATCCGACCCTGCGAGACCCTGACGCTGCTGCTCTAGCTATCAGACATGCACTGCTGACTGCTGCCACAATGTGCGACCTGTGCTGGCCCACTTGGCGGTCTTCCCGGTCAGTGGTGATGCGCAGTTCAGAGCTGTCGATGGCGCGATGCCGCACTGGTCCCACATTGGTGACACGAGACCACCAAGTTTTCCGGTCCAAGAGAGAGGCACCGGCGCTGTCCTGAGAAGGTGCGTGGTCCCTCTTGACTGCCCATGCGCGCGAGGCTGTGTAGGCATAGCCTCGAGAGTGCCAGCAGCCAATCTGAGGCAGTTTGTGACGCGCTAGGGCCCCCGCGCCCCCCAGACACAGAGGATGTCACGTGTCAGGGTGTCACAGATTTAGCACTCCACCTTGTTCGTATGAGCCACATACTGAAGCGTGCCCGCGGGCCGTGGCGGGCGCGCAAAAAGCAAAATTGCGGATCCAAAATCTTCAAATCGGAGGTCCTTGTGCCCGCCGAATTCGCCGGAAGGAGCTGTCCGCATCCCCGCGAGGAGCTGCGGACGAAATGCTGATCTCCGTCCTAGTTAGCCTGCTCTCCGCTCCCGTCCCCCTCGTGCCCGCAGCCATCGACACGCCTCTCGAGCCCACCGCCACTGAGCATCCCGTCGACTCGACGGTCGAGCCAAGTTCCGCCGAGTACTTTGAGCTGGTTGACTCGGACCACGACGGCTACTTGGACGCGGAAGAGATGGCCACTCTGCCATGGGATGAGGGCGAAGCTCCCGACTCTGCCGAGTTGAAGGCATTCCTCGACTGGTACGACGAGGATGGCGACGGCCGCGTCTCGCTGACAGACGTGCTCATGACTGACGACGCTGTCGAGCTCGAGGAGGAGGAGGACGAGGCCTCGATGGCGCCCGAGGAGAAGCGATCGCGGCGAGGGCACCGCGGTCGCCCAGGCCACTTTGGATCGAAGCTCGGCTTCTTTGGCGGCCGCCGTCCCGGCCACTACGGGCGCCACAAGACCGGCATGCTCTTTGGCCGCCGCCTTCAGGATGAGACCGCCACAGACGACTACTTTGCGACGGTCGACATCAACCACGACGGGTTCCTCACGGCGGAAGAGATGGCCACTCTGCCATGGGATGAGGGCGATGCTCCCGACTCTGCCGAGTTGAAGGCATTCCTCGACTGGTACGACGAGGATGGCGACGGCCGCGTCTCGCTGACGGACATGCTCATGACTGACGACGCTGTCGAGCTTGAGGATGCCGTCGAGTACGCCGGTGCCGAGCACAGCCTTGCGCCTGAGGAGAAGCGCGGCTTTGGCCGGATCAGGCCGGGCCCGGGCCGCTTGGGGTCGCGGATCGGCTTCTTCGGCGGCCGACGCCCCATCATTGTGGGCGGGCGCCGGCCGATTGGCGGAGCGGGGCTGGGCATGCTCGGCCTGGGCGCGGGAATGGTGGCCGGCTCAGCCATGGCCAGCAACCAGGGCGGCGCCTACAACCACTATGGGGCGCCTGAGCAACAGGGGCCGGCGGCGCCTTGCTACAGTGTGTATCACCGCCAGGTGCCTTGCGACGGCCCTTGATTGAGGACCCCGTTCCGCCACCGCGCCAGGTTCCGCCGTCGGTGGCCAGGTCGTAGGTCGATTTCGCTGGTCGGTGCGGAGGCGATTGCGCGAAGGCGAAGGAGTAGAGGATTCGTGAGAAGAGCTCTCATGACTGTCCATGTGCCTCTCGCATTGCTAAATATGCATGTGCATGTCATGTGCATGCCATGTGTCAAGATGTGTGTGCACGAGGTAGCGTGTGATATACAACGCCCCCGCGGGTTGCGGGTAGAGGCTGGAGCGAAAATGAACGGAGCTGTGGGCTGTTTCCGATGAGGAGGAAGGCGGTTGACGTCGAGGACCTCTCACAAAAAACAAAATCGTCAATATGGCTTTTTACCCATGCGACGGTGTATCCGAGTTGCCTTTGGCCTTACGTGCCACCGACGACCGAGCACCAGCCACCACCGTTGTTGTGGGTGTGGCGTTGCATAAATATCCGGCATTCCGGATCTGCAACGGCGTGGCAGCGGATCCGGATATGCAACGCCAAGATGAGCGCGAGCGCGAGATATAAGGCGATTGATACACCGTCGCAACCCATCTCCACAAGGCATCTGTTTTGTCATTTGACAAGAGATTGGACAAAGGCCCGGCCTTTCAAACCGTGGCGCGTGCGGGGTGTTGCGTGTGTGGGGGCGTTGTCACCTGGTCGCCTCTCTACGCTCAGCTGACAACCTCTGGCGCTCCTGCGCACACATCACCCCCCCCCCACGAATAGTCGAGACTCACAGCTATCGGCTAGGAATATTGAGTGCCCCCCTCGGCTTCGCGCGCCGCCGCGCAGCCTCGCCGCCGCGCCGCGCATCGCGTCGACATACCGCTCGGCCGCCCGCACGTCCGCCTCGGCCGAGCCGTCGGGCCGCACTGTCCACACGCCGCCGAGCACGCAGACCCCGCCGACGCCGTCGCGGGTGAGCCGCACCGCCGCCTCGGGCGTCACCCCGCCGAGCGCGTGCAGCGTCAGCCCCGGGTGCGCCGCCTGCGCCGCCACCACCGCCCGCTCGCCGAGGTGCGGCCGCGTGTCGCCCGGCTTTGAGGCGGGCTGGAAGACGGGGGAGAGGAAGGCCCACTGCATGCCGAGCTCGGCCGCGCGCGCAACCTCCGCCGCGCTGTGCGCGGACACGCCCAGCCGGCCGCCGAACCGCGCCCTCTCCGCCGCCCAGTCGGCGGCGCCAGAGAGGTGGAGGCCGACGCCGAGCGAGGCGGCGACCGCGCGCGCGCCGGCGCACTTCTCGTGCAGCAGCAGCCCGTCGCGCGGGAAGACGCGCAGCAGCCCGCGCGCGAGCCGCCACACCTCTTCCGCGTCCAGCGACGGCTCGCGCAGCAGCAGCCGCCGCACGCCCGCGCCCGCGAGCGCCCGAGCGCCGCGGTCGAGGCTCGCGGCGTGGCCGCGGCCGACGCCCGGGCTGAGCACGAGGAGGCCGGCGCCGTGCGTGCGCGGGAGGACGACTGGAATCTTCTGCTCCTTTTGGTTGGTGGGGGCTTGCGAGCGTAGAGAGCGCAGCGTTTTCTTTTCCAAAAAGTAAAAAATTATGAGGAAGGCCGGGGGAGACCTTGGACGACGAAGCCGAAGTCGGGAGTGCTAAGGCGAAAAGAAACAGCGAAAAGAAACACGCTCTCGCCTCGTGGTGCGCCTCCTCCCAGTGCTGCTGCGGCGCCCGCCTCCCCCGAATTCCCGCTCGCGTCGGCACTGCGCCGGGGCTGCGGGCCCTCTCGTGGGCGGTCCCGCGCCCACCGCCTCAGAGACTCGCCGATCCCCCAATCTCCCCCGCGGGCGGGCGCGACGCCGCGGGCGCCTCGCCGCTCAGTTTGCGTTCGCCGCCGCGCAGGTAGCCATGGCGAACGTGTCAGCTGAGCTGTTGTGGCCGATGGTGCGGGACACCTCGTGCTTTGCGGTCAAGCGCAAGGTGCCCGGCCGCAGTGGGATGGGCAAGGCGGGCCCGCGCTTCACGACGGAGCCCAACAATGTGTCTGGCGTCAACTCTTTCAAGTACTCGGGGCTTGTGAACGCCAAGACGGTGTCGCTGGAGGAGGCGGAGAAGGGCGTGACGCTTGTGAAGAAGGTGCGCAAGGCCGACCGGCTGAACAAGCCCAACAAGATGTACAACAAGGTTTCGCTGACGAAGGATTTCCGGCGTGTCGCCAGGTGTGAGGCTCCGCCGCCGCCACACCGCCGCTCCGCCATCCCCGCCTCCTTCTATCCCCCCCCCCCCCCCCCGGTCCTCGTCGCCACCCAAGACGCCCTTTTCCACCGCCCTCTCCTCCCCGCATTCACAAGCTGATCACGCCCCCTGCCCCACTCCCCCTTCAGCGCGATCAAAAAGGAGACGGGTGACAACTTCTACCGGCCCGACCTGACCAAGGCGGCGCTCGCCAAGTGGAGCCTTATCCACAAGGCGCAGAAGCGCGGCAAGGCCTAGAGCGGGCAGTGTTGTTTGCGCGCGGGTTGTTTTGGGGCTTTCACCTCTGTCATTTTGAGTTGCCGAGACGCGAGAGAGATAGTAGTGGGGGAAATGGCTCAGTCTCCGAATAAATTTTCTCGGGCTGCGGCTGAGTCGGGCAGGTGGCCGCCATTCTGTTCGGTTTTGGCCTCTTTGTGTCCCTCTCAGCTCACAGCCATCACCCTCCCGCCTCCGCTGGCACGCGATGCACCCTCCTCCGATGGTGCCGAGGGTGCCTCGGCGCAGTCCTGACGGCTGCCGCCACCTCCGCCCTCAGGAAAGGGGCACGACCGCTGCACGACCGCTGCACGATGCCGCTGACCGCGAAAGCGGAGAGGCGCAAGCGACGCAAGGCCTCCGAGGTGGCCGCTGCCTCCGTCGAGCCCACGGTCGCCACCGAGGCGCCGGAGCCGCCCGCCGAGCCCCACAACGAGTCGGAAATGGAGGTCGAGCCGGCAGCGCCCGATCAGACGGCGAACCGCCTCCTGCTCATGACGGCAGAGCACGAGGCGGCGGTGGCGCGGCGGTTGCTCCAGCAGGGCGGTCGCTGTTGGCTGCATCAGCTTATCGATGACGACTCCGAAGTCTTCGAGAGCGAGGCGAAGGAGGAGATGGTGATCGTCGCGCAGGAGGTGGACGACTACTGCTTGATGGTCGGCGACACGCGGCCCGAGGGCATCTTCGGCTCCACGCTCGCGGCCGAAGCCGTGGTGGCGGCCCGCGATTTCGAGGATTGCGTGAGAGATGGGACGATTGTCGGCCGAGGAAGATTAGGCGACTGGGTAGTTCCCGATCTCTCCGAGGAGTACGACGACCTGACGGAGGCAGAAGAGGCCGAGGCGAGGGGGCTGGCGGCTAGAGCCAGCTATAGGCGCGCGATCCACCAGCTCAAGGCGGCCTTCCCGGAGCTGCCGACGCCCGATCCCGTGGTGCGGCGGTGCGTCTGCAGCCCAGGCGCCCCACGATGGCCCTGGGCGCTTGACATCAATTGCGTCGACTGGTCCTACTGCCGCGGCCCGGACGAGTGCCGACCGTTCAGCGAGGTCAAGTTTCTTTGGCGCAGGTCGTGGGGCATGGGCTCTATCTCCGCGGAGCTCGGAAGCGCGTACCTTTACCGCGAAGCTCGGCAGCGCGTCCACGACCGCTGGTGCGCCGCCGGGCCCAGGCTCCCGCGCGGGCAGAAAAAATCCGTGGGTTGACGGGCATATCTCGGGCCCACTTTAGAGTTAGTGCGTGATCTTGGGTGTTTATGATAGCCCACAAGGGTCTTCTGGAGCATGGTAGCGGTGGTTTTGCGCGAGGCGTTCATTTAAAAATCACCATTTCCCCCACTAGAGATAGAGCGGGCTGGGCTAGCCTCTCTAGCCAGCCTTTTCTCTTGCGAGTAAATCACGTACGTACGGTCGACACAACGAAGACGTGTGTCCCGAGTGCACCCCGCTCGCGCCCCGCCGCCCCGCACATACGACATACCTGCGACCTGGCCCTGCCCCCCCGCGCCCCACACCTATCCGCCTGCCCCCCCGCGAGGCGGCCGGGCACCGCACACCGCCCAGCAGGACTGCAGGAGGTGTCAATCTCGCGCAAGTTCTCGCGCCGCTCTCTCGGGGTGCGGGGAGGTCTGGCTCCGGGCTGTGGCTGGTGCGCGCGCCCCCCCGCTGCCCGCAGCCGGGAGGCTCTCCAACTTATTTGAATGGAGTGGGGCTTGCTTCCCTCCTGCGCTCCACCGCTCGCGCGTAGGCGACGGCAGCCTCGACGGGCGTCTCATACCGGCCGAGCATCACGTTTCTGCCGCGGCCGCCCTGCTTGCTCTGCAGCTGGGCGACGAAGCAGGGGCGGCGGCGCTTCTTGCTCTTACCGCCAAGCTCGATCTTGACCCCGCGGTAGCCGGTCTTGGAGCGCTGGCTCAGGTGGAGCTGCACGCCTGCCGAGGGCGGCGAGGGCCAGAGCGGCGAGGGTGGCAGCGGCGAGGGCCAGAGCGGCGAGGGTGGCAGCGGTGAGGGTGGGTTGGAAGTGTGCGGGCGAGAGAGCAAGCCAGCGGCAGACTGGCGGGAGTGAGGCGACGGCAGGTTGAGTGGACTGGCGCCGGTGGACCGCGGAAGGGTGAGTGCACGGTGTAGGCGGGCAGAGCTCAGCAGCCGCACCGTTGTGCATGGTGACGCGGGGCGCTGTGACCTGAGTTGCGAGCCGCTCCCAGCTCTGCGCGACCTCCTCCGCCGCAGCCATCACCTAAGGCGAGGCGGTGGGCGGATGTAGGTCTCCACACGCTTGTGCGGGGCGAGGGCTCCTCCCCACCTCCGCGTCTTGAGCCCATTCAAAGCGGTGTGTGTGCGTGCGTGCGTGTGTGTGTGTGCGTGTGTGTCTGTGCGTGAGTGCGTGCGTGCGTGCGTGCGTGTGTGTGTGTGTGTGTGTGTGTGTGTGTGTGTGTGTGTGTGTGTGTGTGTGTGTGTGTGTGTGTGTGTGTGTGTGTGTGTGTGTGTGTGTGTGTGTGTGTGTGTGTTTCCGCCGCCGCCTCGTCAGCCACTCCGCCCTCGCCGGCGCTGCTTCCCCCGACCCGTGCCCCGTCGGCCTGACTCCTCTCGCTAGGAGGAGGGCGGTGGCGCACGACGACGGACGACTTGCGTGACTTGCGCCGCGAAGTGCAAGCGGCGGCGTCGGCAGGCGGTGGCACCGCCGGCGGCGGCGCAGCAGGCGGTGGTAGCGCCGGCTGCACAGCTGGCGCTGGCGCAGCCGGTGATGGCAGCGGAAGGGGCGGTGGCTCTCCGTCAGTGGTGGTGGAGGCCCACCGCTCGGCGTGCCGCAGCCAGCGAGCGAGTTTCTCCTCCGCCTCGCGTGGGAAGCCAGTGAGCGTTGGCAGCACGACGAACGCTGAGAAGCGGCAGAGGTGCAAGTTTACCCTGCCACTCTCGTCGCGATACGGCAGAGCGCGGCGCTCGCGGAGCAAGAAGCGGGAGCTGGGCAGTGCGGCGAGGTTGATCGACGCGAGTGGCGTGCAGGAGTAGCCGACGTTCTTCGTCGTCTGCGTGTCGGCAGCGCTCTGCATGGAGCGTGCTCGACGTGGGTGGTGAGCGTCAGGCAACAACGGTAGCGCGGGAAAAGAATTTTAGAAGGAAACCCCTCGCACAACACTGGGCAAGGGCGAGGACACGCACAGGCCGCACCTCTAGTGAGGCCCGCATAGTATGTGGGAGACTCGTGCCGCCGCCCCTGCCACCCCTGTGTCAGTGTGCCGGTAGCGAGAGACTGCCAGCGACAAGCTGGAGGCAGGTCGCTAGACTGAGATGAGACCGCCAGTGGATGTGGGAGTCCACCGCGCACCGCGCTGCGAGCCTGTCGTGTCCCTTGTCAGGAGCAGGAGAGCCCCACCTGTCCCCCTGATCGTCCTTCCAAAATCCTGCTCGTGCAGGTGGGGACCCTGTCCTCGTCCCATCCCTCGTTTGGCGTGTCTGTTTTCTTTCTTTCTTTCACACTGGGCACGGGACTGGCGCGCACTGGCACTAACACAGGTACACCGGGAAAAGAATTATGGCCCCGAAGCTCTCGGCCCTGGATGTGAGGTTAATGACTGCACTCCAAGTGCTCCAAGTGCTCTCTAGCCCGTAACCCGATCCCGATCATCCGGCCCGCTTTTTGCGCTTCTTAGCTCCCCGGCCCCATACATGGACATCTCTGCGCAACATCGGAAGATCCTTGGACTGTAGATCGCAGATGCCTTTTAGAGATCTCATAAGTGGCAAATCTCCTGCCAAGAGCAGCAGTAGATTGAAGAACTGGTGGAGGCAAATCTTCTCCGGTGTAGATGCTCGAGAGGAGTCTGAGATCTCGAGTTGGTGCGTGCACTCGCTTGAGATCTTGCGACAGAGGTGGAGATTCTGACTTTGCGCCAAAGGCGCCTAGAGATCGTGTGGGCCGACTGGAGATTGCAAAATGCTAAATGGCGCGAAAAGAGGGTGGAGATCCTTTTGCATTGTGAATGAATCCATAGCGCATCTCCTTGAAGGTTTGAGCCCCCCCCCTCCCCCGGGCCCCCGAATCGAGATTGGAGATTGGAGATTGGAGATGGAGATCGGAGATCTGACCGAATCCGGCCTAAGATGACGACGTTGGAGATTGGAGATTGAAGATGGAGATCGGAGATCTGACTGGATCCGGCCTAAGATGTAGCGACGCTGGAGATTGGAGAGTACTGGAGAGATGGAGATCGGAGCCCCCCAGCCCCTAGTGGTGTCTCATCGATTTTTTTGTTTTGTTTTTAAAGGATAAAGCATAAAGGTTCTGTGCGCGGACGGCCCGGGGAGGCAGGGTGCGGTTACCCAATACATGCATATTTGTCTCGCTCGACAAGGTGAGTAACGTGAAGTTCTCCGCACACACAAGGTGGTGGGGCAAGGCTGGCTGGGGCAACGTTACACGCTTCTCGAGCGTCACACCGACAATAGTGTGGCGCCGGATTCTCATCTCCCGACAACAGTAAACAGGCCACACCGATTGTTCGTTGACGTTCAACTTCTCGTCGTTTTCTCGTGTGCCTTTCCAAAGGAAAAGAAAACGAAGCCCTCCAACACGACTGCTTTGCGCTCATCATTGCGCTCATTTGCTGTATCGCACCCTCTCTCGCCAAACTCTCTCGCCAAAATTGCCAGCCATGACGTACAGCGAAATTGTGTTAGTCGGCTACCTCGTGATGTCCGCGATCCCCTTCTTCCTGATGGGCGGCCTTATCCTGCCCGACTCGTTCCCGGGCATCAAGGTTGAGGATTGCGGCCACCGCAACCGCGGCCCGTGCGTCGACTCGTTCGAGTTTGGCGTCGGCAAGATATACATGCAGGTGGCCGCCGCGTTTATGCTGCAGAACGCCGCGCTCATCTACTTCAAGGGCGATAAGAAGGGCATCATCACGGCACTCGGTTGCCTGATGGCGGTGATGGCGAAGCACATCCTCGTGGACGGGCTGATCCCGCCGCCGCCGGTGATGGTGCTAACGACGCTGGTCTTGGCCGCGCAGTTCTTCGCGCCGGGCGAGTGGGGCAAGCGCGCCTTCGTCTTGTACATGCTCCTTAACGTCGTCGTCTTCACCACCGACCCGGCAACGCCGCTCAAGGACACATACCCCACGATCGAGCAGAACGCGATGGCTCTCTTCGTCGGCGAGCGGTTCATCGAGGTGATCGCGCTGCACTGCCTCATCAACGCACTCCTCGCGGGGATCCCGGGGAAGCAGCTCGCGCTCGCGCTCTCGATGACGCTCATCCTTCCGCTGATGGGGTACCACGCCTTCGTCCACTCCGTCGGCCCGCCGGGGCCGATGCTGCTGATCAACCTCGCGATCTCCGCGCTTACGTGGATTGAGTACGGCTGGGCCGACCTGACGAAGAAGGCGGAGGCCGAGATGAAGACGCCGATGTACATCCACGGCGTGATCGTCTCCACCTCCTTCGTGCCGTACTACATCGCCGAGGCGATGGGCATGCCCTTCCCGCTCGTCGGCCTCAAGGAGCTCGACCCGACGACGCCGGACCCGTCGCCGATGACGCAGTTCACCTACTTCTTCGTCGCGCTTTTCATGGCGATGTACTCCTACACCGAGATCAAGGGCACGATGGAGGGAAAGGTATTTGCCGTGTACCACTACGCGCTCTCGTGCATCATCGCGATGTGGCAGTTCTACCCGACGACGACCCTCCTCGGCCGCCTCTTCTTCTCACTCCCGCACGCCTTCACACTTTGGTCGACGTTCATCGTCCTCAAGGAGCACGAGAAGGTGCTCTGACGTCTGAGCTTCCTCTCGGTTGAAGCGCGGACCAGGCGCCCGGGCGGCGGTCCGGATGCGAGCCGCAGCTGCCTGCCCTGCCCTGCCCTCTTCCCGTAGCCAGGCCCGAGCTCACACGGAGCCCCGGCGTTGGCGCCGTGCGCCGACTTTTATTTTCCGTGGACGTTGTATGCAGCATCGGCATCGCATGCAGGGACGGGGCCGGACGCGGGGGGGGGTGATGCCCGCCGGTGGGGCGCGGGGGAGGGTGCCGTCTCATCGAAAACAGAAAGGCTAGACCATCTCCGTCGCCTGGTTGCTCAACCTATACCACCACCGGGAGCGGCCAGGACTCATAGACTCGGTCGAGAGACCCCAGATTGGCATCCATGCCTTTCTGGACAGGGTGGCCCGCCAAAAGGACTAGCTGAGTCCCTGATCATGCATGGTGAGGGTGAAATGGCACTAGCCAAAGGGATGGAGCCAAAGAGACAGAGTGAATTGGAACAAGCCAAATTTCAATTTATACGGCTCTTTACAGTTTACTCCAAAATGCCGTGAATAAGCTGTACGACGTCTCCTAGTTAGTATGGGGAAAGAGCAAAGACGTACACGTACACGTAGACGAAAACTTCCCTCTGGCTCTGCCCTCTCCCCACTCCCCTATCTGTGACTGTCTGTAAATGCTCTTCACTCCCTGACAACAGGGCACCCAAGGCGCTCACCGCCGCTCAGGTGCGTGCGTCGAAGCGATAGCCGCTGCTGCGGGCGGCAAGCGCACAGGCACGCTGAGCAGGTAATGGATGCTATTGACCTCCTTGTACTCGGCGCGCTCCGATCTCCACGGGCGGTAGCCTGCTGCGGCGGCGGAAGCCAAGAGCTGTGTCTGCTTGAGCGTATGCTTACCAGCCTTGTGCAGCTCGAGAGCCAGCTGCGGCGCACCACTGTGCAGCAGGGCCTCCAGCACCCCCGGCTGCTTCTCAGCCCCTTCGATGTCCACCTTCACAACGCTTGGCGTGCGGCCCACTCGCGCCACAATCGAATCGAGAGACAGGAACTCTGCTGTGGGAGCTCTCTTTATGGTGCGGCTCATGCGATGCTGCGTCCACCAGTTGCGCAGCGTGCCATTGCGGTCGCGCGCGGCTAGGCCGAACGGGTGGAAGCGCACATTGGGGAGCGAGAGCGCACCTGGAGAGGTCGTGGCCGTGCCATTGGCCAGCAGGCCGCGCGTCTGTGCTCGAAACGCTTCCAGAGTGTCCTGCGTGCGGGTCGCGGCTTTTCCATAGAGCGCCGCCCACGCGGCCGCGCTACCGCTCAGAACCTCCACAACCTGGGGCGTGGGGTCGAACATGTGCACCTCGCACCACGGCAGGCGAGTGGCAGCATCCAAGTCGAAGGCTGCATCAAAGCCGACGCCAAAGGAGAAGATCACACAGCGGTCCCGCACGTGCATCGCGCGGCGGTCCACGCACAAGGTCCAGCCGCCGTCACCCGCGCCACCGAAGCGGCGCTGCTTGGCGCAGAGGGCGGTGAGAGACATGAGATGTCTGCTGGTGAACCAGTTACTACTCGCACGGCGTGCGCCTGGCAGCGAGCAGCGGAGCCGCCGTCTGAAAAAAATATTACGCCGTGATCAACTTTTTGAAAAAATCTCAGGCGTGCTTCTCACAGTACATGCACACCCACAACCGGTGCGTCATCCGAAACGCGCACGTCACCCCCAGACGCGAGCCTCTACGCCCGCTGCGCCGCCGCCGCCGAGGAGGCCACATGCTGGAGGCCCGAGAGGCGGAGCGCCACGTCCTCCGGAGCACACACCTCACGCATCCACTGGTGCTCGTCGGCGCAATCGCCCCACTGGATGGCGAACAGCTTGTTGGCGACCGCCTTGGTCACCTCTCCCCAGCCGTTCATCTCGTACATCGCCGAGCAGCCATCCTCGCCGAGCGGCGCCGTGACGGAGCCGACGGAGGAGATGCTCGCGCCGGTGCCGGTACAAAAGACCTCGGTCGCATGCTCAATCTCCTCGAGGGCGAGCGGCCGCTCCGCGACGCCAGCGGTGAGCAGGTGTCCCAGCTCCGCACGCGCCAGCGCCAGCACACTCGCACGCGTGACGCCCGGCAGGATGGTGCCCGCCTCCACCGGCGGCGTCACGAGCTCGAGCCCGCCGCTCGCCGCCGGGACGACCGCGAAGAAGTTGGACGCGCCCGCCTCCTCGATGAACGTGCCCTGCGCCGCGTCCAGGAAGAGCGTCTCCGAGAAGCCTGCCCCCTTGGCCTCCTTGGACGCCGCAAAGCAAGGCGCGTAGTTGCCCGCAGCCTTGGTACGGCCGGCACCGCCACGCATGGCGCGGCGGTACTGGCCGGCGACCTGCAGCGAGATGGGCGGCGCCTCGCCCACTCCGCCCTTGAAGTAGTTGCCCACGGGCGATGCGTACACGCAGAAGGTCGTCACGGGCGACGGGCCAACGCCGAGGGCGGCTCCGGAGCCGAGCAGCAGCGGGCGGAGGTAGAGGGTGCCACGCTTGTGCGGGGGGACCCAGCGGGCGTTGGCGGCAACCACCGCGTCGCAGGCGTGCAGGAAGAGCTCCTCGGGCAGGTCGGGGAGGAGGAAGCGCGCAGACCCCTCCCGCATGCGAGCCGCGTTGCGGTCGGGCCGAAAGATCTTGACGCCACCGTCCACCTGGCGGAAGGCCTTGAGGCCCTCGAAGATGGACTGCCCGTAGTTGATCGCCGTCGATGCGGGGTCGAGCGCGAGCGGGCCGCGGGGCACCAGGCCGCCGACGTCCCACTCGCCGTGCTCCGCGTTGAACGTCGAGACCCACATGCTGTCGGTCTGAACGCCGTTGAGCCCAAAGGAGAAGGAGTCGAAGTCGACGCCGGCGGCGGGCGGGCTCAGCGCAGACGTGTGAGCAAGCCGCCCGAGCGCAACGCGCTTGAGAGGCGCGCTGGAGGCGGTGCGCGAGACGACGCGCTGCATCATGCTCAGCGTAGCTGTAGACGCTCACGTGCCCTTGCCGGACGGTCCGCCTATTCAGCGCGCGTTTTCATCAGGAGTGTGAAAGTAAAGTGACGAATCTCGGCTCAAGACAAGGAGGAGGGAAAGATTTCGTCTCGTAGCCGAGGGCGGACTGGTCTGCGAACTAATCCCCAAAGATCGGGTACGTATGTAAGAGCTACATACACTGAAAGACATCGGTAACTGCCTACCAGCTACCTATACTCGAGTAACACAAACCTCTCTCTCTCTCCGAGACGCGAGAGTAACGGAGCCAACCAACCAACGAAAGAGAGAGATATTACTCCCACCAGCCAGACTCCCACGCAGCACTGCGCGTTAGAGAATCGGCTGAGGGCTGACAAGCTGCCGAGCCCAAATCACGCGTTAGTGCCGCTGTGTGCGCCAGTCCAGTGTCCAGAAAGACGCGACTTTCTTTCTTTTGCCCTCGAGAGAGAGATTTTTAGCAATACCTTAAAGAGAGGTTACAGGCGGGTAAGATCCAATACCAAACAACTCTAACACTCAAAGTTGGTTTTTGTGCCCTCGAGCCTCGTGGGAATAAATAAATAAACAAAGAGTCGTAGGAAATCCATCCAAATCGCAAACATAGAAACCCAAACACACACAGCCACGTGGCATAGGAGAGCAGGAGGTGAAAGGAGGTCAGCACGAGTTCCAAGGACGCACGAGCGAGAAGCACAGCAGAGCAGACAGATGAGACGATCACCACCCAGCGCACGACCGCCAACTCTCCGGCGCAGGCCGCGAAGAACCGAGTCCGGGGGCCGACGGTCGCGGCGCGCCGGCGCGGCGCAGTGGACGCAGCCCGGTTCGCAGCTTCGCGAGCTACGGGGGCGGCCACGGCACGGCCCGGTGGCCGTCCCCGCAATGAGGCCAAGCGGTGGGCATCCGGCAAAAGCCGCAAGACGGGATTTGCGAAGGCGCGGGCCACCTTCCGCGGCGGAGGCCGCGGAAGCGCGGCGGCTGCGGAGAGGCACGACAGCATGATGACAAAAGCCTGAGGGAGGGTGTAGAGGATGTAGAGTGTAGAGCGCTGTAGAGCTGTAGAGCTGTAGAGCGCTCTGGAGCGCTGTAGAGCTGTAGAGCTCTACATCGGGCGCGGGACGAACTGCGTGCGTTGTAGAGCGATGTAGAGCGCGATTTTGCTGTAGAGTTTGTTGTAGAGGCTCTACAGCAAAACCGCGGGAAGGCAGTGACTCAAAGAGGTCGAGCCGCGCTAATGGGGTGTCTCCGAGCTTACTGGAGCTCTGATGGACGGCCCTGACTATCCCTGACACACAGATAGTCACTCCGACGGCACACAACACCCTATGACTGCGTCATGACCAGCCTGCCGTGCGTCGCCGGTGCCGCATTCGTCGCTGTGCTTCTTTAGCAGGCGGTGGACTGTCGGCTGCGAGGACGGTCGCATTTGCGCGAGGCGAGGCGAGCATTGCTGCGCGTTGCATGCGCCATGCCTCGCGCCAGCGCGTGCGGGAGCTCCTGGCTGAGCGTTGAGTCCAGGCGAGTTGCGCTGGCCACTATCGCTACGCCGAGCCGAGCTGACGTGCCGAGGCGCCGGCCAGTCGCAGCCGTGAGGCATGCCACAGCAGCAGAGGCACCTGCCACCCATTGGGCGGGCAGACAGAAGGCCAGGGCAGCACTGGCAAGTGCAACGCGCCTCATGTCGGAGAGCGACCGTGCCTCGTTCGCCGCTTTTGATGTACGTACTTTTAGCTTACTGGGAGAAAAGAGAGAGGGGGTTGTGTTCTCTAGGCCCCTAAGGGGAGTTTGTTGTAGAGATTTCACGTTGTAGAGCGCCTCTACATCGCTCTACAACGCACGCAGTTCGTCCCGCGGCGGATGTAGAGCTCTACAGCGCTACAGCGCTCTACAGCGCTCTACTCCCTTAATGTGGGTAAACCATAGTACCGTATACGTTGCCCGCCGAAAAGAAAGCCAATTCCCGACTTGGGCCCTCGACTTGGGCCCTCGACCTGCGGGCGGCCTTCTCTCGAGGTCTCGAGATACACAGAGCGGCCAACCGTATACGGTCTATGAACAGAGAAGCCCAGAAAAGTCGCCGCGGCAGTCCACGACGAGCCAGCCAGCTGCCGGCTCGCACGGCAGCCTTTTCCTCTCGACCAGCCTCAACTTCCGTACAGTCAACATTTTGTCGCTGCGTGCTCGTGGCGAGCTGTGGCGGCGGTCGAAGTTGGCCCAGATTCGACGACGAGCGCCGGACGATAGTAGTGTCTCTGTTCGCCCTATGCAGTTCAGGCCAGGCTGCAGCAGGCACTACCATCGTGCTGCCCTGTTGCAGCCTGACTTTGCCCACTGTGCACAGTCGCCAGAGCACCACCACCGCCCGGCATCGTGTCACGGCGAGCTCCTTCTGCGCCCGCTCGCGAGGCTCTCGCGCTGGTACACTTTGGCCATCTGCTGCTCGCGTTCAGCGAGCTCTTCTCCGCACTCCTGCCACGGCGCCGTCACCACACACCTTGTGGCCGGCCTGAGCCGCGCGGGGTCGCCAGCGGCTGCTGGCAGCAGGCGCGAGGAGGCAGTGTGCCGGCACAGTCGAGCCGGAGCATCGGGTTCTTGATGCTTGTGGGGTCGAGTTTGACCTTATGTGGCATAATATGCAACAATAGTGCTATGCTATCTCCCGGCTTTTTGAGATATGAGCCCTCAAAGTCCAATTATGGTTTACTGGTGACCATAGTACCGTCTGTCCGGTTTGCGTTTCTTCAAACGAAACACTTTAAGGTCTCGACAATCACTAAGCTGCTTATGTGGCACCGCAGAGGCTCCCTTGGGGATGCTTGAGGCCACCCCAACCACTCACGAAGCCTTACGTGGCTCGTGGGCGTATTCAAATCTACTTCTCGGGTCCGAGGGCAGCCTCAACTGGAGTACAGCCACGGCTTGCAGAAATGGTCCGCGGGGTCGACGGCGTGGTTCCGCCAGCCGATCCGCCTCGTCTCCACCGACGACAGGAAGTAGAGCAGTCCGGGGTCGTCGGGGGATCCATACCAGTCCGTGTCGAGGTCAAACTTGAGGAAGCGACCCAAAAGGGCGGGGTGCGCGTCGAGGTTCCAAAGATCGCGTCGTGGACGTTTACGGTGGCAGTGGCTACTGTAGTAGAGGCGTAGGACCGCCGAGGCGAGGTACTCTGGCAGGAACGGGCGCAGCTCGGCGAGCTTGCCCAGGCAGGGGCGACGCCGCGAGAGGGCGGCGGCCGAAGGGGCGTTCACGAGGATGCGCAAAGTGGATCGCAAAGTGCCAGCCAGCGCGAGGTCGAAGATGCCGGCGCGCTCGTCCGGCGTGTGGCACGGCGAGCTGAGGATGGTGCGCTCGAAGTCCACGAACGGGGCGCTGGAGAACTCCGCGTCCAGGCTGCCAAAAGCCAGCCCGCCTCCCCCGTCACCTCCGTAGGCGCCCGAGCGAGAAGGGGCCGTGTCTGCTGCAGCCACCGCACTCGGTGGGCGCAGCGAGGCGGCATGTTCGACCAGCGCGGCCACCACGGACTGCGGGGACGCGCCGTTGGCAGAGGCAGCGGCCAAGACAGCCTGCCTCGGGGCAAGCGAGGCCTCCACGCGCCGCACGGCGGTGGCAAGCGGCGTGGTGGGCGCACTCATGCGCGCGTCCGGCAGGAGCGCGGTGGCGAGGGCGAACACGAGGTCGCGCGCTTCCCCCCCCCGCCGGACGTCGCTGAGGACTGAGAACAGGAGCGGGGCGCCGGGGGCGAGCAGGTAGAGGCGCTTATCCTCGACGCTGCGGCGGCCAGCGTCGTCGCGCAAGTAGGTCGCCGCATCGCGCGCCTCCTCCAGCCACTGCGGCCCCGCAGCGTTGGGGGCGCAGAGCGAAGGGGGCAGCGCGCCCTCCAGCGCGAGCACGTAGTCCTTAAAATAGCTCGCCAGTAGTTGCGGGTTAGCACTCGGGGGGAGGCCGTACGCGGAGATGCAGCCGCTGGCGAGAAGGTGGGCGCCGAGCTGCACCTGCGACCCCGCGCGATCGCGCTCGGCCTGCCCAAAGCAGGGGCCGAGCATGCCGGAGAGGTAGGCGATCACGGTCCACGGCGCGTCCCCCTCGACCTCTAGGGTGGAGAGCGGGGTGCAGGCCAGCGGGGCGAGGCATGGCGCGAGGGCCGCGCGCGCAGCCGCCGCCGGCCTCGCCGCAGACGCCGCGGCGCTGGCTCGGCGAGGCGCCCCGCGCTGCGCATGAGCAGCATCCCCCGCCAGCGCGGCCGCGGCGGCGAGGCCCCCCACCGGGAGGAGATCGGGCTCTTTCACCTCCAGCGCCGCTGGCGACACATCGAGGCGGTCGATCGCCAGCTGTAGTGCAGCCGAAGAGGAGAAGGGGGCCGCGTCGAGGAGCCCGCACGTGAGCAGCTCGTTCAGAAAGCGAGCCCACGCGGTTCCGGTGAGAGCGAGGTCCAGCGGGCAGACCATCGGGGCGGGAGTACCGGCGGGGGGCGCCGCGAGGCGCAGCCGCCGGCCAAAGACGCGCAGCATCGCGTGGTGCGGAAGCTGCACGCGCGCTGCTCCGCTCGGCGCAGCCGCAACCGGCCCCCAGCGGAGGACGGCAGTAGCCACCACCAGCGGGTGGGCAGCGGGGCCCTGGACGGGGGCGTCGGGCCCCGCGTGAACGCAGTGCACATCGATCGGCGGTACTGCCGCGGCCATCGCGCCCGACAGGGGCCGAGCGCGGCTCGCAGAAGCTCTCTTTATTCCCTAATTCAAGCAAAGAATGGGAGGGAGAGAGCGACGCGGCGAGCGCAGGCGGCGAGCGTGCACGTCGCCTGTGCGGCATCTTGTTCACTCCCCTTTGAGCTACCTTTGTGCCCCCTTAGGGGCACCCCTCCTGCGCTGCGCGTATGGTCACCCCTCCCTTCCGCCCTGTTGTTTTGGATGCCCCGCTCCGAGAAAGCATGTCTCGCAGCTGCGAGAAAAGACCTTTTATGGTTTACCTACATTATGCGAGTACAGCGCTCTACAGCTCTACAGCTCTACAGCGCTCTACACTCTACATCCTCTACACCCTCCCTCAGACAAAAGCACGCTGGCGGGGCAATCGCAAGAATAAATAAACAACCCGTGCCTAGACGAGTACAGCTAAAGAGTACCCGGGGCTCCTCCGTGTGGGGGCCCGTGAACATCTTCAGCTTGTGAGCCAGGAAAAGGGTTGATAAATAAAACGGACATTCTACTAGGAGATGGGTAAAGGTACTCCCATGAATAAATAAAAGGGCGCGTCCTCGTTTGACTCGCTTACTCACACATGGCTCTTTCTTAGGCGGCTCCCGTGGTGTACCTGTGTTCGTGCCAGTGCGCGCCGGTGATTTCTTTTTTAGTTTCCCATAAGTAAGTAGGTAGGGAGGTAGGGGCAGGGCAGGGGCCGGTCAGGTTTTTGCAGAATTTCATCTTGAAGAATAGCGAAATTCTTTTCCACTGTGCGCGGTGCGTCTGCCATGCATGCTGCCGCCGCAGTCGGCGCGCGGGTGCTCACCGCGCTCGCGGCCGGGCTCAGCCGCGGGCCACTGGCGCGGATGGCGGAGGAAGCGCTCGGCGCACCGCCGCCTGTATTCGGTGACCTGCCGCTCGGCGACGCGACTTCGGCCGCCCTGCGCGGCGTGGGCATCACTCGGCCGACGCCGATCCAGCAGGCCGCCATGATGCGGCTCTTCCGCGGCGAGCACGCCGTCATCCACTCCGCGACCGGCTCCGGCAAAACTCTTGCCTACCTCCTGCCGCTCCTGCAGCGGCTCCACACTTCGAGGCCCGGTCAGCTCGTCGTCGTGGTGCGACACCCCGCCGCCGCCGCCGCGCCCGCCGCCGCGCCTTGCGCGCGCCCTCGCGCTCCTCCTCCCTTCGCGCGAACGCCGTTTCACGATCCGCCCACGATCCGCCCACGACCTGTGGTGGCCCCCTCGGGCTGCCATCGAGCGCTCCCTCAGACGGCCCCACTCTGCCGCGCCTCCGAACCCTCCGCCCCTCACCCGTCCGGCGCAGGTCCCGTCCAGAGAGCTGGCCCTGCAGACGGCGGCGGCGGTCGAGTGGGCGTGGCCGCACCACGGCACGCAGCGCGCCTTCCTCCTCACAAACACGTCGGCGCCGCCGGCCGAGCTCGCCGAGGCGATGCGCGTCGCCGCGTGCCCGGTCGTCGTCGCGACGCCGCGGCCGCTGCTCGGCGCTGTCCGCCACCTCGCAGGCACCGACCGCCTCCACTCGCGCCGAGCGCTGCGCGCGAGCGGCGGCGAGCTGGCGGCCTTCGCGGCGCGGCTGCGCGCCGTGGTGCTCGACGAGGCGGACGCCCTGCTCCTCTCGCGGCAGCTCGCGCTCGCAGGCCCGCCAAAGAAGATGCGCGCCGGCCGGGCTGCGTGGAGGGACCCGGCAAAGGCCGGCCTGCCCTCCGGCAAGGGGCAGGGCGGGCCGCGGCAGGGCGGGCGCGGCGGCGGCGAGGAGGGGGAGGGCTACTTCGAGCGGGCCGAGCTCTTCACACTCCCCGTGCCGCGGGCCGTCCAGGCGCTGATGAGCGCGCGCGCCAACGCGGGGGCGGGGCCGCAAGGCGGCCGGCGCGGGCGCGGCCGGCCGAGGCCCAAGCGGGCGCCGCCGCTTCAGCTGGTCGCTTGCTCGGCTACCGTGAGCCAGAGGCTCACCGGGGAGATGGGGCGGCTGCTCTCCCTCCCGGACGCCGACCAGCTGCCGCTCCTCACAGAGGCGAACGCCGCCGCGCCGGCGAAGAGGAAGGTCGGCCAGCGAGGCCGCGGCGCCGTCGGCGTGCCTCCCGCCATCTCGCACTCGTGGGTGCCGGTGCCGGCGGGGGGAAGCAAGGGCGCGGCGGCGGCGGCGGTGCTGCGCGCCCTCGCCCCAAAGGCGGCCCTCTACTTTGTCCGCGACGACGAGCCGATCGGGCCGCCCCTCGAGGCGCTGCGCGCAGAGGGACTGGACGCGCGCGCGCTCCACGAGGCGCTCGGGCTGCAGGGGGGGGCGGCGGGCGGCGGCGGGGCGGCGGGCGGCGCGGCGGGCGCGGCGGCATACCATGCGCTGCAGGGGCAGCTGCGGGCGGCCCTCGAGGGCAGCGAGGGCGGCGGCGAGGCGGGCGGTGAGGCGGGCGGTGAGGCGGGCGGCGAGGCGGGCGCGGAGGCCGGGCGGCCGCTCGTGCTGCTCAGCTCGTTTGGCTCGTCGCGCGGCCTCGACCTCGGCGGCGAGGTGGACTGCGTGATCCTCTCGGCGCTGCCAGAGGCGGCAGACACCTACCTCCACCTCGCGGGCAGGACAGGCCGCTGCGGCCGGCCGGGGCGCGTCGTCTCGCTCCTCGGCCCAGACGAGCACCGCCGGGTCGGAGCAATCACGCGGCAGCTCGGCGTCTCGATCCGAGGCGACGCCGACCTCGCGCTTGCCGTCGCCGAGGCGACAGGCGAGGCTGGCGGCGAGGCGGCCGTGGTGGCGGAGGGCGACGGCGCGGCGGGCGTCGAGGGCGAGCTCTTCTCCGGGGCGGAGTGGGCCGAGATCAGCTGGTGAAGAGGGGTGGTGCGGCCGAGGGACTCAAGGGGGTCGGGGGCTGAGTGGCGCGGGTTTGCACGTGCACCGCACTATAGTGAGAGGCACCCGTGCGCGGGGTCGGAGAGCGCGCAGCGCAACAGGTGCATGTGATGCTGCTGGGCGCCGCGAGAAAGCGAGAGAGACTTGGGGCGCGGGCCGAGTGTGGCGCTCAGAGACTCTGCTTACACCGAGAGGCCCCCGGCTGGCGCTCTCTGGCTCTCAGTCTCTAGCTCCCCCCCGCGGGGTCGCTCTGCCGGTCTCGTCGCGCTCAACGAAATCGAAAAATACGTGCTCACTGATACGTAGATCTATGATATACAACCGAAATGATAACGTATTGGTCGGTCGTGACCACACATTTGCGGCACGTGGTCGTGTCGTGGAGATGGGGCGCTGTGCCTGTGGGCTGTGGCGCGCTGAGCTGACTCGGCAACTCAACAAGCGGAAAGCTGGGACGGTGCTCGGTGCCGCGCGTGCGTCCGTGATGCGTCTGCCCAAGAGAGACTCGCCACGCCGAGGAAGTGGAGGCCGGAGCCTATGCCCCCCGCCCCCGGAGGCGGGAGGGGAGCGACGAGCGACTCTCAGCTATAGAGCTACTGCTCTCAGCATACGTGTCTCAGCGCCACGGTCGTCGAGCCGTACCCGTTTATCTCGATCTCGGATGGGCGCTGTGTCGAGCGCCAGCACCGCTGGCCGCCACGGCGGAGGAAGGTGCGAAGAAACCCGACCACCATGCGAATGCTCAGGTCCTTTGCGGGGCACGCGCGCGTAAAGGGATGCGCATTGTCGCCTGCGACCGTCGCCTGGTCGGCCCAAGCGACGCCCTTCTTGTGGTACTCGGCCATCGGGCGCAGCCGAAACTCGCGTGCTGAAGGCCCCCAGCCGTCGCCCCTCTCGTCGAGGCTCGCCATGAGCAGGTCAATGAGGACGTGCTGGTTGGTCCTTCGGTCCCACGAGGCGAAGCCTGCCACCGGTGGAAAGCGGCGAATCACTTCGAACGCGAACGGCAGCAGCTGCTCCTCCCGCAGTTCGAAACCTTCGCCAAGCTGCCCCCTACCGTACTCACCGTACAGCACGGCAAAGGCGTTACTGACGACCGAAGGGACCGAGACGCCACCAGCAAAGAGCAGCGCATCCAGCACGGCCGACGCGACCTTGGTCTTCTCGAGGTCCGACAAGGCCTGCCACTCGGCCGGAACCACTCGCGACAGTGCCGTCCGGTACTCTACCAGGCGCGCCGCCTTCCAGGCTCTGAGGCCCTCGCAATCCACCAACAGGCATACCGCCGCAGGCGGGCCGCCCGCCATCACCAGAAGCTCCTGCTTCTTCCCAGCAAAATCCCTGGCCATCGTGCTGGAGACGGAAACGTTGAGCAGCGCCTTGTGCAGAATGGTCTGTGTAAAGACGTTCGCATCGACGGCGACCGTGGCATCGCTCCAAAACGAACGGGCGGCCTCTTCGATGGCTCTCTCCACCATCGAGGAGACCGCTGCCGCGGGGCCAACCAACCTATCGAGGAGAGGTCGGAGACGGCCATGGTCGAGCGCGTTGTCTGCCAGAGCGATTGCGTGATTCGGCTTCTCCGGCCACATCTCACCATTCAGGATTTGCGTGCCGAGCTCGTTGCGGCGAAAGTTGTCGTTGGACTGAAGTCGCGGGCCGAGATTGCGCATCGCCTCTTGCGCGTAGGCATTGCCGATCACGCTGGTCGTGTCTGCGCCCGGCCCGTGGGCGAGCCGCTTCGAATCGAAGGAACGGCTCTCGACCTGGCGCCATAGGCCCGAGACGGGCTCGCCTGCGCTGTCCGCCGTCAGGCCGCCGAGCAGGTACCTGATCTGGCTGAACTGGTAGGAGAGATAGGCGAAAGCCGACAACCAATCGCTCGGCTGGAAGACTGGGGTCCACGCGTCCACGGCTTCGATGCCGGCTGCGTTGAGCGCCGCAGCACGAGCGCGCATGCTGTCGCCGGCAGCGATGTAGCCTGTTGCCTCTCCCACATCATAATCTTCGAGCCTCCAGTCACGCCAGCTGAATCGCTGTCGGTAAATCACGGTGCGGAATGAGCTGTCGAAGGTGGGAGGGGCGGTGGTGGCGGAGGTGGTGGATGGGAGCGACACTGAAAGTACGCCGCATGCCATCTCCATCGTCATCGGCAGCTTGGTGATTGGGACGTAAAAGTGCATGCTTGGGTCATCGGTTTGCAGAAGCTCGCCGTCAAAGCGGAGGCCCCAGGGCGTCACTCTCGCACGCAAGTCGGCTGCTGCAGTCCAGCGTTGAGGCTCGTAGCATGACAGTCTCTCGATGCCGATCAGCGCCCATCCAGTGGACGCCGAGCGGCCGAGGAGCACATCGAGGGACGGCGCACCAGGAGTGGCGCCAGTGGCCATGACTCTGGACAGTCCCTGGTCCCTTGAGCGTGGCGCCGCCGGAAGATCGGGCGTCGAGTTTCTTTTTTATCCCATCACTCTCGTGAGGGAAAACGTAATGTGCACCCAGGCTACCGGCCTTGGGAATGTGAGTCTCAGCAAACTGCAAAGCAAGCAGGTAGGTGCATGTACATGTGCGGGACGTGTCAGCTGCGTGTCTCCGGCTTGCCTTCTGCCCTGTTTGTCGGCCTTGCGAGACGCTCGCATCCCATGCTTCTTTCGAGGCCCAGCCTGCAGATCCTTCTTGATGTCGTCGAAACGGTGGCGTGGTGCGATGGACGACCACGAGGAAGAGGAGGAGGAGGACGATGAAGACGAGGAGGAGACCGTCTCCTTCGATGGAGCCGTCGAAGCGTGGAACATGGACGGAAGCTCGGACGCTCAAGCTGAGAGCGGATCATGGCTCCGAGACGCGGAGAAAGCGACCGGGCGAAGGCGAGGGCGGTGCTCGTTCGACGGCTGCCCAAACCAGGCCGAGGTGGGCGGCCACGTGTGGATTAGAGGCGAGGGTTGCTTCATCGCGCCCATATGTAGGCCGTGCAATCGGCACGACAACCCTGAAAGGATGCAGGGCGCGGGTGCCTGCCTTCGCGCGAACATCGTGGTGACGAAGACCGCGATGACGGACATGACCACGACAATTATGCTTCCCAAATCACCTTTCCTGCGCACTGCAAGTGGTAACCTCTCCTCCCCAAGCCGTGAGAACTTGGACACGCACTTGCGAAGTGCGCGGACCTTCTCAAGACGGGTGCTGGAGGTCGACCTTCTCACGGATCCGCAGGAAGCCACTTTTGGAATAACGCCAGCAAACGTGGCCGTCCACCTTGAGCAGCGTTGGCAACTGCTGGATGTTGCCACGCAGGAGATCCGAGCCAGCCTCACAGCAACGGGGGTAAACGAGCAGCCTCTGTCCGCCTTGGGCTTGGGCAGCTGCGATCTGTGGAAGGGATACATTCCTCTGGCCACCCTGATTGTGAAGCGCTGGCAGCAGCACAGAGCCTCTGGATGCACCGGAGCATTTGTGGTGGGCATCAACGCGCCTCCGGGCAGCGGCAAAAGCACCCTTCTTCAAATCCTGCAGATGCTGCTCCACAATGCCTCCGCACAGCCACCCCGGATAGTGCAGATTGGCTCCGATGATCTGTACATGGGGGCATCCAAGAGAGAGGCCCACACAATCAGCACCCGCCTCGACCCGCGCTCGCTCGACCCGGAGTTTGATGGGCTGATTGCACAACTCAAGCATGCCAGTGCCTCGGATGGCCCCATCATGCTGCCGCGCTTCAACAAGGGCACTGATGACCGGGAGGCGCGTGGCATCCCTGTCCAAGGCCCGTTCGACATTGTGCTTTTTGAAGGCTGGAGGGTGGGTGTACCATCTGGTGAGCTGCATGGGAGCAACTTTGACTACACCAACCTCAATGCTCCCATTGACTTCATGATATATGTGGATGCCGAGCCGGAGCACGTTTGGCACTGGAAGCTTCAGTCAAGCCGCCGGGACTATGAGCGTGAGCACAACCTCAAATGGACTAACGAGCATACACGCAGGCTCCGTCAAATGTGGGAGCTATGGATACTGCCATTCTTGCGCCAGCATGAGCAGCCACTGCGTGAGCGCGCAGATCTCGTGCTATTCAAAGATGCGACACACCGGCTACAGAAGGTTGAGCTGCATTGACTCAAAAGGTGTCCAAGTGCGTGGGGCTGGCCGGTCGCGACAGTGTTTGCATATTATGTATGTACTCTCTCTCGCATATTATAGTTCGCAAGCGACCGTAAACCGATATGAGCTGCCAATAATATGCTCCGGCCGAGCACGCCTCTGAGGCGATTCATTGTCAGAGCAGTCGAGCCGTACTGCGGCACGTCACTGAGACGGCGACCGCTGCCGCGGACTGGTATGAACATGACGTACCATGACGGAGCCAGTGAGGGGTGGACGTATTTTTTATCCAGTGTTCCATACATATCCCCACTCTCGTGCGGTACAGTCGTAATGTGCACCCAGGCTACCGGCCTTGGGAATGTGAGTCTCAGCAAAGCAAGTAGCAGGTAGGCGTGTGTCTATAGGCGTGCACAGCAAAACTACGAGCAGGGTAACGGGGCTCGTAACTGAGCCCTGGCTGTCAGGCTGTCAGGTGCTGTCAGGTGATCTGTCGGGCTGTCGGGCAGCTGTCAGGCACTGTCAGGTGCCTCTGTCAGACCAGCTGTCGGGTGCTGTCAGTGCTGTCGGGTGCTGTCGGGTGCGTGTCTGACAGTCGAGGGGCTCTGTAGCTGTCGGGTGCTGTCAGGGCTGTCGGGTGTTGCTGTCAGACGCTGTCGGAGCTGTCAGAGCTGTCAGGCTGCTGCTGCTGTCAGACGTTGGGCTGTTGCTGTCAGGTGCTGTCAGGTGGTGCTGTCGGGGTGCTGTCAGGCTCTGACACACACCAGCCACACTTATGACACTATCAAGAGGAGACCAGCAGGACTCTGCTGCACATACTCTAGTCTCTACTCTGCCTCCGGTCCCACCATCTTCTTCATGGTGGACGTCACCATCTTCTTGTCTGCCGCACTGAGAGAATAGCAGAGAGGCAGACTGGAGTGCTTCTTCAGGTACACCTTGCTGATGATCTGGTAGTTGCTGGTCCAGCGGAAGGCCTCCCCATCGTTGTCGCTCGTCAGCTTGTAGTACTTGCACGCTCTGTTCTGGTAGCGCGGGCCGTCTGGGGGGGTCCCGTCACCCTTCACCTCACGGTACCACCGGAGGATAAAGAGGCCCTTGGGGTCGTTGATGAAGACCCCGTTGCTGCGCTGACTCATCGAGAGCTGGCGCAGGTACTCTGCGCTCGAGCTGCCAGTGGCGCGGCGCGCGTCTACCGTGCCGTCGGCGACGGCCACCTGCTCGATGTTGCCGATGGCAAAGACCTTGGAGCTATCCTCCATGGTGAAGAGCACCGCAACTGCGAAGAGAAAGAGAAGAGGGAGAGATGAGGATGCACGTCTTATGTGTCTGTGTGACAGGCAGGCAAGGTCACCGTCATCATCATCCATGTAGAAGTCGAGCTCCTCATCCGGCGGCTACGCAGCTGCCCCCCTCCTACGGCGTGATCACGCCGGCAGCGGCGGCCGCCTGGGGAGCGCAGATGGCGGCGCAGGCGCAGGCAGCGGCGGCACAAACGGCGGCGGCCACCCCCACCCAGACACTGTAGGCATATGGCTGTAGGGCCCCAGAAGGCTAGCTGTAGCTTCATTTGTAGTTGTAGCACAGCCGCGGGTCCGCAGAGGTGGGGCGGGAGGGTTGAGAGAGAGACCCTAGGAGAGACCCATGACCATCCCATGACTACATGTCTTTGCATGTAATAGTTTTGTTATACCCTCATGGGGCACAAGAAAGAGGCTGCACGGCCTGTGTATGGTCTGTGCTGCTGTCGGGCTGGTCGGGCTGTCGGGCTGTCAGCGCTGCTGTCAGGCCACTGTGTGCTGTCGGGCTGTCGGGCAGCTGTCAGGCTGTCACGTTAGGGCCTGACAGCGACAGAGCCCCTCGACTGTCAGACTCTGCTGTCAGGCTGTCAGATACGTGCTGTCAGGCTGTCAGAGAAGTGCTGTCCACGCTGTCAGGCTGTCGGGCACTGTCAGGCGCTGTCCGGGGTTTGCTGTCAGGCTGTCAGACCAGGGCTCAGGCTCGTAAACTACCCTTGTAACTAGCCTGGTTTACGAGGAGCTCGTGGCACGGCTCGTAGTTGGGCAGGCGCTCGTAACGGGTCGTAACGGGTCGTAACCAGGCTAGTTACAAGGGTAATTTACCAGCTTCGAGCCGTCCGACGAGGTCTCGGACCTACACCGTACACGAGCTGGAGCGGTCGAGGGCTCGTACCGAGCCCCGTTACCCTGCTCGTAAGTTTTGCTGTGTGTGTCAGAGAGGTTCACTGAGTGAATTAAAAGGCTGCTGCACAAAGCGCAGTATGAGCTCGGGCGTCGGTCAATTCAGACTGCAAAAACAAAACCCTCACCGTGCGACCGCGGTGATGCCGTACGCTGCGGGAGTCGTCTTTGCGTCGAAGCCCGCCTCGCGCAGCCGCTGCAGCACGCCCTTGAAGAGCCTTCCGCTCGCCTTCGAGGCCGGGTCGCCCACGTAGTGGAAGAGAACCCCGCCCGGCCGCAGCAGCCGCCGCAGCGCGCGGTACACCTCGAGCGAGTAGAGCTCTCCCGACATGGCGTTGGCGGGCGGGTCGTGGACGGCAGCGTCAAAGTACCTACCGGCGCGGCGCCGGGCGTGTCGCGGACGCGTCTCGCGGGTCGTGAGGCGGCGGGCGGCCACGCCACCCCTCTGGCAGCGCGGGCAGCACCTCCGTCGCGTCGCCGAGCAGCCGCGTGATCTTTGGGTCGTCGAAGAGCTGCCGCGACCACGGGTTGGCGCGCTGCAGCTCGACCATGGCGGGGTCGAGCTCGATCGTCACCACCTGGCGAGGCGCGCCTCGGCACGCGTCTCGGCACCTCTCCTCTCGTCTGATCTCGGCGCATCTCGGCTGGTTGCCTCGCGCACGCCAGCACGCCGCGCAGCGGCGCAGGCCGTGTAGCCGAGGCCCGTGCACACGTCGAGCACGCGGCCGCCCTTCTTCCCCAGCGCGCGCAGCTTGTTGTCCGTGTCTCCCGCCGGGTCGATGCCCTTGGTGCGGTGCATGTTGAAGCCGCCCAGCACGGCGGTTGGCGGCGTCGGCGAGGCCTCGTCCAGCGGGAGCAGGGAGGCGGGCCGGCTCGTCAGCTCGCTAAGACCCTCCACCTTTGTCGGCGCGAGGTCATCCTCCTCTGCCTCCTCCGCGGCCTCCGCCTCACCCTGCCCTGGAGCGTAGCACTGCCACACGCCCGCCCGCCGCTTGCGCGCCACCCGGTCGAGGAACGCCCACGGCACGCACGCCGTCCACTCCTCCTCGCCCTCGATGCCGCGTGTGCCACGCAGCCGCACGTGCGACGCCGACACCTCTGCGCTCGCCGGACGCGCCAGGCCGAGGTCTACGGTGAGGGCGCCGAGGTCGCCTCTCCCGAGGGAGACGGAGCCGCTCGCTGAGTCGGGCCGGCGAGGCTGAAGCGCGGTGTGCAGCGCGATCGCCTCGTAGTGACTGACGCAGCACGCGACACCGGGCTCGGGCAGCGCGGGCGGCGCGAGATAGCGGCGCGGAAGCTCTGCGGCCGCCGCTCTGGCGGCCGAGTGGGCGCGGCGCAGCGGCGGCTGGGCGACGAAGAGGATTGTCCGCAGGCAGGCACGCATGAAGAGGGCTTGTTGCGTGCTGCTACTTTGAAGGGTTCAGGCACCGACTCAAGCTAGCAAGCGAGCGAGTGGCAACGGGAGTGGGAACGGAGCTGAGCGGAGATCAGTTCCTCCGCCGGGCCGAGCGTTCCTCCACACGGAGAGAGCAGGTTCCTGGCCGGCCGGTGCGTTTTCAAAGCTTTTTTTCTTCGGAGCTCGGCGGGGCGGGGGGGCGGCGGGCGCGGGTGCTGGGTGCGGTGCGGTGCGTGCAATCGTGTGTTTGGCGTCATGTTGTCTGTGCCTTCGCTTGTTTCTATTTCGAAGTCTAGCTCAAAAAAGAATTCTCCCCTAGTCATCCGCGTTCCGAGAAGAGAGATCAAAAACGCTCAACGTTAATTGAGAAGAGAAGTGTAAAGGAACGAGTCCTATTCTCTTCTAGTTACCCTCACGGCTCAGGTCCTGGACGCCAGAGCAGGAGCCGTCTTGCTCTTGGCTGGGCGCAAAATCGCATTCGAACTCTTCGCGGTCGCGCTTGCGCGCCGCGCCTTCCGGGCCGTAAGAGCCGAGCCTGATGTTGGCCCGCTCCAGCCAGAGGAGAAGGCCGGAGCGGCAGCGCTTGTAGGCGAGAGCCGCACCCACCGCCGCGTACCAGCGCATCTTTGCGGGAGGGAGGCGGAGGACGGTGGTGGTGGAGGGGAAGGCGTCGCCGCCGACCTTGGCAGTGGTTGGCACGGTGACGCGAGTGAGGGAGCAGCCGTAGAAGGCGCCCCCATCGATTGAGGTGCGGCCGCCGGCAGAGAAGGAGACGTCGTTGAGGCAGGAGCAGCCGGCGAAGGCGTTGCGGCCGATCGAGGTGCTAAACTCGTGCTCCGCGATCTCCCTGAGGGTCGTCGCGAGCACCCCGACCCACGACGTCGGCCCGTTGAAGTCGATCGCATTCTGCCAGATGAGGTCGATGTCGCGCCTCAGGTCGGCGACCGTGGCGTACCTGCCCCGCTCAAAGTTGGAGGAGACGGTGGCGAGGTCCATCGGCTGCGTGATGATGGTCGGGTAGTGCGGCAGGTTGAGCGCCACGTAGTCCACCGGCACGCGGAACGGCTTCGAGCACTCGTGCGACTGCAGGGCGCGCAGGATGGGCCGCAGCTTTGAGGCGGGCACACCGTCGGTGAGGAGGCCAGCGGGGAGGGTGACGGAGGCGAGGGAGGAGCAGCCGCGGAAGGCGTCTTCTCCGATTGAGGTGCGGCCGGTCGGGAGGCCGAGGGAGGTCAGGGAGGAGCAGCTGTGGAAGGCGCCCTGGCCGATGGTCGCGAGGCTGTCCGGGAGGTCGACGGAGGCGAGTGAGTAGCAATCAGAGAAGGCGTAGCTCCCAATGGACACGAGGCTGTCGGGGAAGGCGATGGAGGCGAGGGACGAGCAGGCAAAGAAGGCTCGCCCACCGGCAGAGGTGAGGCCGGCGGGCAGGGTGAGGGAAGCGAGGGAGGAGCAGCTGTGGAAGGCGCCGTCGCCAATGGAGGTGATGCCGGTGGGGAGGCCGACGCGGGTGAGGGAGGCGCAGCTGTGGAAGGCGAAGTCGCTGATGGAGGCGAGTCCGGCGGGGAGGTCGGCAGAGGAGAGCGAGGAACAGCCGTGAAAGGCGGCGTAGCCAAGAGACGTGAGGCCGGCGGGGAAGCTGATGGCGGTCAGGGAGCTACAATCGAGGAAGGCCCAGCGGCCAATGGAGACGAGGCTGTGCGGGCAGGCGACTGAGACGAGCGCGGTGCGGCCGTGGAACGCCTGGTCCGGCAGGCGCGTCATGCCTTCGGGCAGCTGCGCGTGCCCATCGGTGACGACGACCTGCCAGCCGCCCACCAGATTCCAAAGCTCCGAGCCACCAATCAGCGTCTCCATTAGCGTCGTCAGGATGGATAAAAAAGAAATGGTCGGCGCCCAGCGCGTTGTGTGTGCCTTCGCTTAGACCAAGGCACGGGCAGAGGAGCGAGAGAAGAATATAGGGTGGATAAAGCGCCTGTTCACGGCATGGAGGGTGAGCCACACCGAACGTACCGAGCGAAGAGCCGAGCGGAAGGAGGACGGGGAAGATGACTCCGAGGAGGACGAACCAGTGGAAATTCAGTTGTCAGATGTCACGATGCATCCGAAGGGGACCCCAGCGCCGGCATCATCCGTAGAGGCACGAGTGTTCGAAGAGAGAGTGAGCCTGAGCAACAACATGACTTGGAGGCAAATGATCGCAGTGGGCGTCAGAAGACTCGTCCTTGCTCGAGGAGAGCTCGATAGACTCGAGGGGCCATCACCTCGCAGATCACCCGGCGTTTTTCAGATCACCCGGCGTCTGCGAACTTTTGCCTCGCAGATCACCCAACACGGCGAAATGTCGTTTCCAGATTACCCAACACGGCGAAATGTCGTTTCCAGGTTACACGGTCACGAAATTTCTTTTTCCAGATCACCCGGTTTTGAGCTTCGCCTCGCAGATCACCCGGCGTTTTCCAGATCACCCGGCGTGAGCGGTTTCAGATCACCCGGTGCGGCAAAATGTCGTTTCCAGATTACCCAACACGGCGAAAAATGTCGTTTCCAGGTTACCCGGCAGGCGAAATTTCTTTTTCCAGATCACCCGGTAGTGGGATGCGCCGGGTAATGTGAAACCGTTTGGGATTCACGACTGCGTCATTCAAGCAAACGAGGCCGGGGATTCCGAGTGGGAGCTCTCCTTAGGACCAAGTGCCGCAGGTGCTCGCTCTCTGGACGAGGTGCACGCTCGCGTCCGGGTAAGCTGAAACGAGAAATTTGCGGGTAATCTGGACGAGAAATTTGGCCGACCGGGTAATCTGACATGAGAAAAGTTAGCGGCCGGGTAAGCTGAAACGTGAATTGTGGGAGACTGGGTAAACTGGTTTCTCAGTTTTTTGATGAAATTGCTGCTGAGCAGGAAAATATCGTTGCCGGGTAATCTGGACGAGAAATTTGGCCGACCGGGTAATCTGACATGACAAATTTTAGCGACCGGGTAAGCTGAAACACGAATTGTGGGAGACTGGGTAAACTGGTTTGACGGAAATCGCGCTAAAGCAGGAAAATATCGTTCGCCGGGTAATCTGCGAGGCGAATCTCAAAAACCGGGTAATCTGAAATTTATCCATCGCTGAACACAAATGCCGACGCGCTGTACGGTGGCCGCGTCAGCTCTACCCATCACACCTAATCACGACATCATCTCACCGGCAGCAGATCACCCGACTGCGCAAATACGGCGTTGCGCCAGCCGCCCCCGCACAGCCGCGCCGGCAGCTTGCCGCCCTCTCCGGGGCAGACGCGGCCACACTTGTTGTCCGCGACGCGGGTGTGGTTCGCGCCGCCGACGTACGCGTGCCCGCAAAAGCACTGCCCCCCGCCCTGCAGGCCGAAGAGCGGGTAGCCCGTGCAGGCCGCGGCGCAAGCCTGGCTGGTGTGTCCAAAGCTGCGCGGTCCCTCCGGGAGGCCGCGGCTGTCGGCCACGTCGAGGTGGCAGCCGACCCACCGCAGCGTCTCGCCGGGCCTCCGCCGGGCGCGCGAGAAGGCCGACTCCGCCGCGAGCACGAGCCGCTCCTCCTCGAGCGGCGCCGTGCCGAGAAAGCGGAGCATAGCGTGCAGGCTGGGCGCAACCGTCGAGCTGTTCGTCAGCGCGGGCAAGTGCGTCGACCACAGCACACCGCCGAGCCCAGCGGCGGAGATGGCCTGGTCGAGCTGCGCGTGGTGCAGCTCGGAGAGGGCTGTCGAGAGCAGCGTCCCGCCGCGCTCGAAATAGTGCAGCGACGCCTGCCACACCGCCGACGCAAAGTGCAAGATGCGCAGCTGCCGCGGCGCCAGCGCCTTCGACGCGGCCGCGGCGGCGCGCGCCAGCCTGCGCGGGTGAGCTCAAGGGTGAGCTCAACCGGGTGAGCTCAAGGGTGAGCTCAACGGTGCGCGGCTCGAGGGTGAGCTCGAGTAATTATGTATCGATTAATTCATGGATGACTCAATTCACTACTGAACTCGCCGGCGCGGCTCGAGGGTCAGCTCGTGCTCAATCAGCACGTCCCAGCTGCGCAGCCCGCGCCGGCCGCTCGCGCCGTGGACGCACCGGAGCTCGCAATGGCGGCAGATGGCCTCCCACACCTGGGGGGGGCGGGGCCTCTCGGGCCATCTCGAATCTCGGGGGAATCTCTTGGAAAGCGGCCCACACCTGGTGCAGCCAGAGCGACGCCGCCTCGCCGCCGCTGCTGCCGTGCAGCGCCACCAGCACCGCGGGAGCGCCTTGCTGGCGCCGCTCGCCCTGTGCGAAGCAGCGCGAGCGCGCGTGCGGCCTGGCCGCCTGCAGTCCCTCCACGAGCGCGCGCCCCGCGCCACGCGGCGAGTGCGGCAGCGGCAGCGGCCTCGACTCCTCGGGGGCGGCGCGGACGGAGCAAGCCAGCTGCATCAGGCTCGCCACGTCGGCCGCCTCTCTGTCGTCGGCGAGGAGGCGCTGCCAGTGCGCGCTCGAGGCGGCGGCGAGGGAGAGGCGGACCTGCGGCTCGAGCAGCACGCGGCAGAGGTGCCTGCCCGAGGCCAGCCGGGGTCACAGGGAGGGAGGAGAGGGAGGGACGGGGAGGGGGCAGGGGGGAGTGGGAGGGGGCAGGGGGGAGGGGGGGGGCAGGGAGGAGGAGGGGGGCAGGGAGGAGGAGGGGGCAGGGAGGAGAAGGGGGCAGGGAGGAGGAGGGGGCAGGGAGGAGGAGGGGGCAGGGAGGAGGGGGGGGGGCAGGGAGGAGGGGGCAGGGAAGGAGAGGGGCGGCGGGGAGGAGGGAGAGGGGCGGGGAGGAGGGAGAGGGGCGGGGAGGAGGAGAGCCGCGCCGCTCAAACGCGGCGTCGTCGTCGGCGATCAGCGCGACGGAGCCGTCGGCCGGGATCGCGAGCGGCGTGGCGGCGACCGAGGTGAGCACGATGGGCACGCCCCACTGCAGCGCGGGCAGCAGCTTTGTGTTTACGCCGGTCGAGTGGAGGATAGGCACTACCATCGCGCGCCT